ATATCATAGAAGTGGCATCTGCGTATGCTAATTATTTTCACAAGCAAGTCATTAACATACAATATGTAAACAAAATAAGAGGTTCCATTATTGTAGCCTCTGGAACTTCAATTTCGATTATTTGATAGCCACTAGTTTCATCATTTAATCTAACTCTTTGTTTTCTATCAGATAAGTAACTTCATAGAAGGTCATGTGCTTTACCTCTTATTCCATATCTACATTTTTGCAGTAATATATTATGATCTTTCGTATGTTTTAACCAAATCCATTGTCTAATCCATAATCGAAACCCAAATCCTTGAAACAGTCTTATCTACCTTTTCCCTTATAATAATAGTCCAGGAAAATTAAATAATTTTAAGAGTTAGACCCCGGTCCCATAGGTACGTACGGATGCGGACGGATACGGACGCGAATCGCAACTGTAGTAACATCACTAAAAATATCTAGTTCGATTATTTAGTACCAACACTACCGGTAGTGAGTAAAAGTGACTGTTGTTTAAAACTGTAGCGCCGAACGTACCACATTTAATGTTCAAATGTCAGGTCTACAATTTACTTTTCAAATTTTCATGAATATTGCTTATTGATGAGTATGCTAATGTAAAAAAAGTTTTTGGGATGATTAATACATATCATTTATATATTTTTTTTTCTTCTTCTCATATATTCAAGTACTTCCATAAAATTAAGGCCTAATTCCACTAATTGTAGTTGAAAGTCTATCAATCCTCTATCATTTGCCATCTTATAGACTGCAATAATGTAAAGGTTAGATAGGCGTTCATTCAATGTGGTACGTTCGGCGCTACAGTTTTAAACAACAGTCACTTTTGCTCACTCCCGTTAGTGTTGGTACTAAATAATTGAACTAGATATTTTTAGTGATGTTACTAGAGTTGCGATTCGCGTCCGTATCCGTCCGCATTCGTACGTACCTATGGGACCGGGGCCTTATATATATACAGAAGAAACAGAAAAGTGACCATAGGATACTACACAACGGCAAAACAAATGTTATACGGAGTCTGGTATATTGCCATAGCATAATGCTACGGCAGAATAAGCAGACAGGACAATCTTATACAATTTAAGTTGTGTATGTATTTTTTTGTCTTGAGTTTAGTTTTAAGTTCTCACCAGACCAGCGAACAGGAATGAACTTCCTCTGCTGGATTACATTTAGTATGTAATGTATGTATATATATTGTGTAATTTATGTATATACTCTGGCAAATAAATAAATAAATAAAATAAACTTTACTCATTTTGCTTTATCATTATTTAAATTTTTGTTTTTTTGATTTATCTGACGCCCTACGTTACAAAAATAATTATTCGAATATTCTGATATAATATTTTTATTATCAAATACTTTTTATTTTTACTTTTGAACTTTTTTGTTTAATTTTGATTGATCATCTTCCATACCGACTTAGGATTTTTGCTAACTTTGAATTGAAAGAGCGCCTGATCAGGGCAATATCGAATAGTCGATAAAGTGAAATGTGTATCAAATTGTTATTTAAATAGCCTACTTCTGAAGTCTGGATTAGACGATTATAGACGTGATAGTTCCGTTATACTGTCTTGTATATTTGATACTATGTATACTCTTAATATCAATTATCTTTATTAGGTTAGGATCATTTCGGATATCAAGTTGTTTTACCAATGACATTCAAGTATTTCTGCATTATCCCTGTTTAATTTATATTCAGGGTATATTTCAGATATATATTAATCAATACCTTGTCATTTTTATTATTATTGGGTTTGTTAATTGTAATGGTCGCTTAATTCGTTTCTTCCATATAAACTACTTAGTAATATTTACAAATGAACGTCTCGTCAGGTCAATCAAGAAAATACCACAAAAAAAATTGCTCCAAGAAGGTCCTACGTCGTACGCTCTTCCAATAAAGTCCTATGTCGTAGGAACCTTGAATAAAATTCTATGTCAATTTTCTTAAAAAAGGTCCTATCTTAATTTTCTCGAAAAAAGTTTTACCTCGAAAATTTGTCAACTTTCAAACTAAAATTGCTTACATGTCGACTTTTAGGTAGATATTTTCTCAAATAAAAATAAGAACATTAAATTACGTAGCACTTGTTCATCAGCCATGAAAAAAAGGTTTGAATTGCGTTTCGTAGTTTTCATAAGTATTTAATTATAATGTGATTTTAATGGCGTGAAAATATTAGTAAACCAGAATTCGTTTATAAAATAGATTAATATAGTTATCTAATAACTACATTTATATGTTACTTGTTATTAACGACTTAAGATTAAATATTTCAGTCATAAAGATTAATGATATTATAGTCATAATTATACAATTTGTTATATCAAAACATTATATATAAACTTTTATTTCGTGTCTTAATATTCAAATTAGTCTTTTTTGACCAAGGATACATTCAGTACTTCGTTAGTATTGATTTTGCAAAATCATAAATAATGTCAAATTAATTCTAAAAAACTTAATTTTTACAATTTTTACGATTTTATTTGAGTTAAAAACGACTGAAAATCTTAGAAATGCATCCGTGCATAAGCAAGACGTATACTGAACGTTGCAACTCACGCGTGCTGTGCCGGTGGGCTGACAGCATTGGAATTCTCGGAATATAAAGCTAAAGCAGGTCACTGTTATTTGTTTACGTTTTTAGATGCCACACAATAAACTAAATTTTATAGCCAAAATAATTAAGCAGCCCATTTTTAGGAAGTTGAAAATTTTTACTGATTGTTTTAAAGGGAATTTTATTAAAAAATAGATAGATATTCACATGACTATTTATTATGAAACATCGATGCGAGTCTTACTTCAATTTTAAATCGTTAAAGTAAATTCATGTAAATTACTATTCACGCTGTTTTTCGCCCACTAGCTAAGTTATAATTGAACATAATTATTTGTGTAAAAATTTTTAATTAATCTTGATGCAAGCAAAATGATTTCTTCACGTACTCAATTCATGTTTAATACTTTTTCAGTTAAATAATATTTATGACATATTTTAAGTTAAATACACTTGTTCATTGACTAAGATTATTCCTTTTAATTAAAAAAAAATAAACAAGATTTTTGTTAATGCAGATATTTTCTTGTGTTGAGTGTGATCATTGGCTAGAAAATAAAATTTTTTTATTTGGTTTTATTTTCATTTATCTATTATTAATATAATAAATCTAACTATTAGATGATTATTGATCTATTTTATAAATAAATTCTGGTTTACTAATATTTTCACGCTTGAGAATTACATTATAATTAAATATAACTGCTAGACGCCATTCAAACGTTTTTCCATGGCTATGCTGAATCAGTGTTGTACAATTTAAAATTATTATTTTTATTTGAGTTAATAGCAATAGGTGATGTACAAATCATTTTTATTTGAATGTTGAAAAATTCTCAAGAAAATTGTGATAGAACCATTTTCAAAAAAGTCGACATAGGACTTTTTTAAAAGAGCCTTCGACGTAGAATCTTCTTGAAGCAATTTCCGATATGGAACCTTTTTGGACTGATCTGACGATATATACTACGTTGGTTCCATCGATTTTTTAAGTTACGTATTATCTGAATTTACCAATTGTGCATGATTAACAATATTATAACAGTATTACAGTATGAATATTGCAAAGCTTTAAGTCCAATCTTTAAATCATATTACAACATCTATGGCTATGTTTACAGTGAAACATCAACACTCACTATAAAGATTTAAATTTCGTTAAGAATATTTGAAAGTTATTACTTTTATTATTAGTCAAATTATTATTTGACTGATTTATTCTACTCTCCATGATATATTCCTTATTTTGTTATATTCTGCGGGTAAATCAATGCATTGTTAAATTAATCGCACTTATAGTAGAATTAAAAAGTAATATGGCTGACAAATAAAACTGGATGCTTGTTGAATTCTATATAACTTCGAGTTGTTCTCGTATCATCGAAAATTTACGATAATCCAAGAGTTATTACGAATATAAGTTATAAATAAATTAATTTATAATATGAACAATTGAAGGCTTATTTGCCATTGTTCCTTTACATACAAAACATAACCGAGAAAAAAACTAAAAACTGGCTAGACTTGAAAAATAAAGCTTTTTCATTTGTAAAGAGAAGTGTATTGATAATTAATAATAATAATGCAAATTACAAATAAATATATTAATTTTAATATTTCTGCGAAATATTAAAATATATTATCGGCATATTTTTCATTCGGATTCTTTAAATAGATCAATTGTAAAAATAATGCAAAGTACTGGCTTTATAAAAAAGTACACTGTATCTATTTCAGCCATTCTCGTTAAACGGCTGCTACGACTACAAACACTGTTCTGAAGGTATAATCCGAGCCCTTTATAAAGTATTATCACTTCTATGTAGTAGATAATTTTTACAAAATAGACGAATTATTGTATACAAATGTACACATCTATATAGCGAAAGGAATTAAAATAGATATTTTTCAACGTTGTTGTTGAAAGGATTGTATAAAAACTCTATAATATCATCATTTATAGAATATTGTGATATCAATTAAAACAGTGCATTTTATATATTTCATTTTTCATTTTCAAATGTAAAGTATGTAGTTTTTGAGCAGATAACATTCAAAAGTAGTAAGTCGGTATAAAGCGATTCATTTTTTTCAGTTATCTATAACTATTAAGATTGGGAAAGTTCGCAACAGCGCCTCTATTAGGGTCTGTCTCCATAGGGCCTGCCTGAGTCCGTCCGAGCCGGCCGAGATTTTTTATGGGCACGCCATCTCTATAATTTCGTATCCAATGGCGAGTTTCATAGTGAATGGCTGCGTTTACATAAATGAGCCCGATCGGACGCAGCCAATACGAGAAACGCATGAACACGAAATTATAGAGATGGCGTGCCCATAAAAAATCTCGGCCGGCTCGGACGGACTCAGGCAGGCCCTATGGAGACAGACCCTTAGTTAGTGACGCAAATCGTGAGAGTAGGCTGCACTCTGCCCTCTCTGCAGTCTGCTCCGTCATAAGAATTACAATACGTCAAATATATGTAAATTTTATATTAATGTTAAATTTAATCATAACGTAATTGTAAATCAAACTTCTGTGTCTATACCAAATCTCACTTCGATATTTATAGTTTTGTACAACTTTGATGTAAAAAACGACATTAATTCGTACTTAACAGTGTGAAATATCATTTCAATTTTGAAAATTAGAAAGAAATTATATGAATATCACATATATATACATATGTATGTAGATATATATATATATATATATATATATATACATCGTAAGATTTATATAGCATCTATAATTGTCATTAATGTTTACTAGAAATTGTTTGCTGATTCATTTATTTGAAAAATAATTACATTATTTATTGTGTACGTTTATATTATTTTGCGAGATTAAGAATATACTTGACAAGCACAATAAATTAATGATTAAATTAAGGACTAATGATATTCTTACAAGTACTTACTCAGCAAATATATCATCAATATTTACGACTATTACGGGTGATATCTCTTTCAAATTTTTAAAATAAAAATGATTGTTGATAGTTTTAAGTACCAACGTTAAATAAAAGCCGTTTTACATAAACAAAAACATAATTTGACCCTCAAAAGTCCTACAAAATAATTATTGAAGTGATATTTATTGCTTACATAGAATTTTGATTTGTAATTGGTGTTACTATTCAATTAAATATAGCAATAAAAAAACTTCATATATTTCAATGCAAAATAAAGGCAAAATCTCTCGGTGAAGTAAAATGCAACCTACTCTCACGGCTTGCGCCACTACTAATAGAGGCGCTGATGCGAATTTTTCTAATCCGAATTGCGAGAGAAGACAGATACACGATAGCATAACCTGAAACTTCAAATAGAGAGCAGTTGTCGAGTTGACTATGTAGCAGTTAGCACTTGCATTTGCGCAAGTTATGTAGAATAATAAATAAATACAACTCAAAATGGAAATCAATCCTTTAAGTATAATTCTTGTGAAAAGTGATAGTAAAGGGGACAGAATGCTTTTTCGTTATCCACACGTAAGAAATCATCAACGAGATCCAAATCAATGTTTGAGGCGGAAAAATCCTTATTCAATGATCATTGCAGAGGATTCTCTACAGGTTTTATTTTATATTTAATCTTGACTAATATTGGTAATGTTTATTGTAAAACGAATTATTATTCTGCAATACAGCCTCTACCATTCCCTAATCAAACCCATGGGAATCTTACTGGATTATCTGATGAAGTATTGTCAACACTTTTTGCTGTAAAACCAGAGTTATGCGAGACAAAATTTGAATTAAAAGTCAATGAGGTACGATTTGTTGGTCATCCAACATTACTTCCATCACGAGGACCAAAAGAAGTAAATTCTTCCATGTTGTTTAATGTAGTTTTTGCATTGCAAGCTCAAGCTAGTCATTCTGTTGTTAGGTGTTACTATGATTTAAGCAAAAGGTTTGTAAGTAATAGTATAGGATTTGGTCATTATTAATAAAGCGACTATAATATCAATAATTTTTCAGACTTGGAATAGCTTTGAGGCATGAAGAAAAAAGATGTGGTTTTCTTTCAGAAGAAATAAAAACAATGGTATCCACACTTGATGAAGTTGCTGCTAGGTAATCAATTTGTTTATAATATTTTGAATTGTGTCAGTGATTCACTGATTTTGAATGAGTAATTGTACTTAAAATTTAGGTCTGAAGAAGAAAGTGATCTAGAAGAGTCACCCTATGAAACCATTTTGCAAAAAAGCTCATTGGCTCGAGATTTGAAGTCAATTTTTAATAGCTTAAGCACATCTGGTATTATTAATATAATGATAGATAAATGGATACAAGTTAGTTTTTGTTTGCCTCAAAAAGTACATCAAACTCATAAAAAAGGTTTTGTGGTAGACCCTGAAATCATTGACAGATGTCTTGATAGCTTAAGGCCATATCATGGACTTTTACTTTTGACTGAACCAATGGATTTACTTGATTCTTTACCAACAGACCATTCACCTGCACTTTGCCGTTTGATTCAAATGTATAATCCTTTGAAAAGCTTACAAACTTTGTCTGCTGACTCAGATTTGACTTTGGCTCAAGTTTTTCAATTGACTGGTCATTTGGTCTATTGGGCTAAAGCAACAATAATTTATCCGCTATGTGAAAGTAATGTTTATGTAGTTTCACCTGATGCAGTATTAACAAATTGTATGTTAGAAGCATTTTCAGAACAATTCACTGGAATGTGCCTTTTACAGGTATATATTAATGAATGTATAATTTTTTTTTGATTGCATAGTTTATTTTATTTAAATATAATGTCATCTAGGTAATAAGTGAATTTTCTTTGCCTACTTCAATAAGTCAAAAACTAAATCCTTTGAGCCAACCTCAACAACAAACACATCTAGTGAAAATAATAATTTGGCTCTTGAAAAATCATTTATTACTGCAATTGCATACTTATGTTCAATATATGCCTACAGTTCACGGTCGCTCATCTCTTGTAAGTATTATTAAAATAAAAATAATTAGTTCTTTTTATTTTCATAAAGTCTCGATATTTGAATTACAACAATTTCTACTGCCAGAAAAATATAGGAGGAACAGTAAATGGTACTAACGTATTACTAGAAGATAGTCCAAATGTAACATTAGATGATGGTACTTGGAGTTTAAATGATACACTCAAGGGTACTCCACATGACTCAAAAGTTGATATTTCTTCAGACAAGACAGATGAAATATACTCATTTCAAACGGATGGTTATCCATCTGATGACGTTATTTTGTTAGAAAAGTTATGTCGCATGGGGTACTTCAAAGGAGGACATCATTTAGAAGAGATTATGTATTTAGAAAATATTCGCCGATCTCAATTGTTGCAAATATTGGATAAATTTCGAGACGTGTTGATCACGTGTGAAAGTGAAGATCCTGCTATGGCAATGTTTTATTCTCGGCAAGCTCCTAGATGAGAGAATTGAAAAGCATTCCACATATTTATTGTAAATTACAAATTGTAAATATTCTCGAATTAATGTAAATGTTATTATTTTTCATATTTTTATAAAAAACAAGTCTGAACTGAATGATCTACAACAGATCTCGAACTAGTTATTAATTCTTTCAATTATTAATTTAATAATTATTAGTAGCTTAAAACTAATAAATATTTTGATAGCAAATATCAGTGATTAAGGTGCGACTTTTCAAATAATTTAATTTTAAATAAAAACAGTAAATGTGTTTTGAAAAAAATTTGTTGATTACCGTTTACAATTATTAAAATATTAGAGCAATTTTCATTAAAATAATTTTTTGCAATGATGTTATAGGATGAAAATTTACAACACCAAATGAGATCATTATTGTCTTTACAGTACATATTTTGACGCATAATAAACAAGTCACGTAAGGACGGAGTTTAAATATTTTCGAAAAATCGCGCCATAATATTTCTACAGGCAAGAGGCAAAACTCTTCCAATTCCCTAGGAAATCCCCTAGCTTGTTACGTTAGCGGCGTCGCCAAGAGAGCGTGTCACTAAACTGGGCAGGTAGAGGGAAAGAGAGAGAGAAACAACATTAGCTGCCGACAACAAGCGTCGTTTAGCCACAATTAAAATTTTAGTAGAGCCATAGATTCATTGAAAACATTATTGGTAAGTGATTCAAGTAAGTAAAATTTCGAAACACGAATATTCTAGGTAATCTCGAAAGAATGGTAATGGTCAAATAAATCTTAAGGGAGTAAAGTGCGCGAAAAAAAGAAGCATATATTAAAGCATATAGTGTCAGTGAAAGAGAGAAAGAGAGAGAACTATAGGCAGGCACGCGCGGAGACGAAAACGAACGAGGGAAACGAGAAACCGCCACCGCCGCCGCCGTCGCCGCCGCCGCCGCCGCTGGGTGGACCGACGCCATCTAACGTCTGGCATTCCCGTTTTTTCATTGCTGTTGCTGCTCTGCGTGCGTATAACGAGCATCTCTGGTGGCAGAAAGTAGTTGTGTGATCGACTCTGTACAATACGTTTCTACAATTGACTAGGAGCGGATAGGCAAGGAGAAGTGTTGCCTGTGCGTGTTTGTTGATTCGTCATCGGCATACGAAAGCGCAACAGAAGGACATAGGAAGGAAGCCGAGAGCGGTAATAGTGTGTGCGTGCGTGTCTTTGGCAATGTCGAAGGCGCACCTCTCGTAATTATTTATCACGGTTTCGAGGAAAGATGCGCCGGTGAAGCTACATTGCTATCACGCTGTACGCCGACAAGGTAAGCTTCCGCGGTATATGTGACTACGTGTGCGCGCATGTATATATACGAGTTCGAGTGCGATGCCGGAGTAGTCTCGGTATGCGGGAGCTTATAAAAAAGTGATGGCAAAAGTGCGCGTTACGTCCACACAGGGGCAAATATAGCCTAACTCTTCCGTCAGTATCATTAATTCGGGACGTAGACCGAGCGCAGGTATGGCGGGAACGAGACAAGAGAAATAAAAAATGAAGAGCGACGTCTTGAGATTACCAATGAATTGTCACAGTCGAGCTAAGCGAGCAACGTTCGAGAATAATGAAGCAGCGCCTCTCGCGGTTGCCTGTCTCTCTACCTGTATACGCGCGCACTCTTTCTTTCGCTTTCTGTCTTTCTCTCTTTCTGGCTTTGTGCACTTGCATTTTCCTTTTTGCGCCACAAACGCCCGCGCGCGTCCGTTCGCTACCCGACGCTACTTACACAGAGACAAACATAGATAGAAAGAGAGAGAGAGGACTCGTAAAATTCGATTCGTGTTTACGTTTCAACCCCCCACCCTCTGAGTTCGAAGCTTGGCGGCGCCACCCCCGTCGTAAATAGTACGGCCCCCAGCGTCCCTCTTAAATGCCCCCGCGCTTTTTCGTGCCTCCTCCCTTGCATTGCACTTCCTCGCACCCGCGCTCAAACTCGAACTTTCTCCGGTTATTCCCCTCTGCTCTATGGCAAAGCGAACGAGAGAGAGTGCGTGATACGTGTGCCCTCTGTATTCTGTACAGTCCCCATCTCGACTTTGCCCGCGTTTCGCGCGCGCGCAATTCCGATAACGCCAACTTCCACGTTGGCCTTGCGTTTCGGCCCTAGAGTTAGTTGCTGTTTTTATGCTCCTGCTGTCTCTCAAAGCCGCACATCGGCAACGCTTTTCTCTTTTAATCCCGTATTCCTACCAATTGAGAGAAGACAGTTACGTCTGTGTGTTTGCGCGTGTATTCTTGGTATGCAACATTCTTTTCTAGAGTTACTGATATACTCGTGCATTGTGTTTATGTTGATACGCGACAGCTACGAACATCGCGAATTCTACAGCGAATGAATGTTTGGTATATTTTATTAAAATTGAAATTCTTATGATTCGCCATAGTGAATGTTTCTTAGAAAAATATTTTGAAGAAACAGAGTTGTTAACTTGCTTTATTTTGTTGTATTCAGTAGAGTTATGTTTGGAATTTTTTGTTTATATTATGCAATAAGTCTTTACTGTAAAAAGAAACTAATTACTTACAGACCTTTAGTAAGTAGTTGATTAAAAATAATAATGTTTTGATGAATATTTCATTATTTTGTAATCATTTAGTATAGATAAATTGCATAACATAGCAATGAATTATTTTTAACGCTAAATTGAATCCTAGTCTAATTTTTATATAGTGTGTATAATCTTTTCTAAGCTTGTTGAAATATAGCAAATAATTTTGGTAGTTTAAAAGAATTACTTGGTACAATTTTAAATAAGTTAAATTATACTAGACATTGTATATAAAATAATAATTATAATTCATTTTAGATACACTGATAGTGTACTGAATGGTCCATAATTAAGGACTGCTCGGATTTGGCTGATTGAGGAGCCAAAAAATATCTAAACTGCAGTAGAGCAGGTCATGAGTGCTCCTGCCATAAAGTCATCAATGCCTGGTGTAGGGACCCCTACCGCGTCAAGTGGTCACACCATGTTGCCAATGAACATGGTTGCCCAAAAAGTTGTATCATCCACTGATCAAACTTCTAGTGGAATGAAACCACTACAAGGAACCAATCTCAACTATGTAACTCTTCAGCCTCCCAATCTTTCAACCTCTCAACCTCTCAGTCTCATCCAAGAACACAGAGCTCCTCCTTACCAAACACAACCTTTTCCCAACAACATTCCAGCTGATCAGCAACAGCAATCGCAATCTCAACAGCAACAATCATCACAACAGCAACAACCACAAATACCTTCACAATCAACGCAGCAACAACTACATAAAGAACCAGAGCCAGTTCAGGATCCTGCTAAGCTCGTGCAAAATGGCATGGAACCAGCTAAAGTAATTAATTTATTACACTTATCGTTATTCAATAAAAGTCATTCATATTGAAATACAATAGCACTTCATCATAAAAAATGATTAATCGATGATGTTTGTCTTTGAAAACTATGAATAAATCATTAAAAATTTAAATAACAGAAAATTAAGGATACACTATTAAAAAAAAATCAAGGACTATTGTAATATCTATTAATAAAAGATGATAATTGACGCAATTTAATGATTTTTACAGGATAAACAAGACGGATTGACATCAACTGTACCACCTGCAACATCAGTCCCCAGTGGTGTCGCTGTACCGAGTCAACTATCAATTACAACAGTGGCTGTAGTTCCATCTGCAGCTCCTCCTGCAAGTAATGTTACGCCAGTTTCTGTGGCTAGCAGTGTTACGAACGCGGTTTCCACTACTCCAGTGACAACTGCTCAACCTGCAGCTGCTGTACCTTCTGCTATTGCAGCTGCACCAACAGTCTCTCCTGTTAAACCTACCGTAGAGCAACCTAAGGTCAACAGCTCGATGGTCGATGGACCTGCTCAAGAACGTCCAGTTGGTGCAACTTCCGATGTACAAAAACCGAAAGAAGAGCCGAAGTCAGAACCTCAAGGTATTTATTTTATTCACTGTTGTAGTTTTTTTATATTAAGATTATTAAAAATTTAATTACAAAATTTTTAGCTGCAACGCCGGTAGTGCAAAACAAACCAGAAGAAAAGAAATCTCCAGCAAATAGTGGAACAAAAGAGACTCCTACACCAGTGAGTGCTTCTCCACAGAAAGAATCACAACCTCCAATACAATTGAAGGTCGAAGAGCCAGCTGTCAAAACCGAGATTCTTGCTCAGAAAACACCAACTAAAGTGTCTCCAACTAAAACTAGTGACAGCCCGAAAAAAGCTGAATCTGAAGAACTGAAAGATGCTAAGACGCCAGTTTCCACAAGACCTCCCGCTAAAAGGAAATCTCGCGAGCAAAAAGAGCCGAAGAGTGAAAATGTTGAAACTCCTGGAAGTTGTAGATCTAGGCGACAAAGGATCCAGACAGCGATGTATCAAAGTCCGCTTCCCGAAATGTCCTCTATCGTTAAAAATTTATCGAAACCTTCATCTAGAAGAGGTACAGGAGGTGCTGACGACAAATTGATCGTATTTTACAAGTATGTTTTTCTTAGTATCAAATATTGTTCTCTTGTGTTTATTTATTTACTTATTAAACATAACATACTTGTGTTTAGGAATGAATTCTTGGCTGTGAGAAACACTGAAGGAAGCTTCTACGTTTGTCAAGCCATGCAGAATATTTATAAATCTAGCAAACGTATACGCATTCGTTGGCTTTCACAGGATAAGGATAATGGCGAAATTTACTCACCGGACTTTTATGATCACACAGGTAATTTGAAGAAAATATTTTCAATAAGAGACTTTTTTTATTTATTTAATTTGAAATCTCTAGCTGCAATAAAAAAATTTTCAGACTTTGACTGTATTCTAACCAATCTAAACTTGAACAAAGTTGAGAAAAATAAGTATCAATTAACCAAGTATGAGCTTCTCCGGACGGAAAACATTTTGAAACGAGCCATTGATGTTGAAGCTGGTGTTTTGGAAAAACCAGCTATCATTGAAGACCATCCTGATGGATGTGAGTGGTTTTCTTTAAGTTAATTTTTTTTTTTTAATTTTATTATAGTAAAATTGTGTTATACATATATTATTCTAAATTTTAGTGGACCTTTCATTGTATAAGGATGAAGCCCAACTAAAAAAAAGAAAAGGCAAAGGAAAGGGAGGAAAAAGTAAGGCAAAGCGTCCACGCAAAAAGTCCAGCGAATCTGAAGAATCTGAAGATGACGACACAGATGAGGAGGATGACGATAATGATTCCTCTGATGAATCGGACTCATCTGATGATCAATCTTCTTCGACAAGGCGAAATCAAACCAAGAAACGGTCGGGTAGTAAAGTTGCAATAGCACAAGTCTCCGCTGCACCAAAAGGTCCTAGTAGGGCTGAACGAGCGTTAAATCGAAGTAAAGGTGTAGTAGCCGGTCCCAGTACTTCTGCCTCGACCAGTGGTATTGTTCCAAAAAAAGCAGAATCCAAGAAAACTTCGGAACCGAAAAAGAAGCCACCTCCAAAAGCATTAGCTAGTACTTCAGGACAATCTAAAGGAAAAGCTCGACGTAAGTATATGTGCTTATTGAAAAAATTAGATAAAGCAATGCTAGCGTATTATACCTTCATAAAACATTGGTAAACAATTAACTTTATCTTTTTCTTATGTCTGTTTAGCTGTATCTGTCGCAGCTGCTCCTTCACCGGCTACACCATCGACTTCAGGAACATTAACGACGCAAGAAACGAAGTTAATAGGCGGACGTCCTAAGCGAACGGCAAGCACGTCATCGGCATCCACACCGTCGACAAGTGAAGAAGGTCCATCACGTAAAAAACAACGCACTCGTACATAAAGCGATACTGCGCTCACCCTAATCACTCGTCATGCGTACAACAGCGTCTGCATTGTAAGTAACGTCTATACGTCGTGCGTGGATTTGGTAAATAGAGCAAAAACAATGATGCTGAGAATTATAGCTAATACGTTAACATCCTCTCTTTGAACCTTTGAAAATTAATAACTAAGGAACAAAAAGATGTTTGATTTGTTGTTGGCACTCGTGTTTTTGAGATAAAAATAATTAACAAAAAAATGAGTAATATTAATGGCTTTCTAATAAAAAAAATGTAAATAAAAAAAATAAGGGAGATTACGTTAACGCGCATTTAGCACTGAGCGCATAAAATCTACTGCGATCGGGGACTGTAAATCGATGCGAATCAAGTGTGCTCGAAAAATGTACGAGTAAATCGACGACAGTATGGCTTTCTGAGCAAACAGCTGAACAATCGGCAGGGTGTCGCGCATCACCGCATACTTTGGCGATAGTCTATTTTTGATGTTGTAAGTGAATCGTGTATGGATTCGATTGGGCTTAAGAGCATACATTTTTTCTTTCTATTGGATATGATAATTACCCATGTACAAATATTATATGTATGTATCTGTTGGGAATGTGAGTTATATTCTGTAAAACAGAAACGCGTTAACAGCGTTAAAAAGAATAAAAAAGAGATGATTAATCTGTTTTAAGCAATCTAACAACTGGAAGTTTGAAGAGCCCTATAGATCTAGAAACTCGATTATAAGTGATTGGTACGTACAAAGGCGATTGACAGCGAAAAAATTCGATGAAAAATGAACATCGAACTAATATTAACGGACTAAGTATTTGTTTTTAATGAGTTTTTTCTTTCTTTTTTTTTTTTTTTTTTTTTTTTTTTGAGGCTGAACAAGCAACTTTATTTTTAGTCCTAGAAAGGATCTGTAACTTGCGTTTGCAATCATCTTTCTTTTTATTGATTTTACGAGTAAATATTTTTAGTTCAAAGTAAATTCCATCTAGGTTGGAAGGAAGTAAAGTTACAAATGCAATTTGTATTTCAGATTATCTGCGTTTTACAAGGCGTACTTTTACGCTTGATCTGGAAAACCCAGGTGATCTCTGCACTGGTGCCGCGTATAATTGAGCCTCTTTTGCATTATCTACTTTAGATAAAGAAACTGCTAGTAGACTCAAAATAACGATTGAGTCATATGTATAGATTTATTTTAGCTTTGTACTTGTCTACTTTTATTCGAAAAAGGCAGTGTATATTTACCAGAAAAGACAAAAGTTGCACATTCATCTGCGTTTCAAATCTCAAAGTAATGATTTGTTAAATGTAGCCAATGTTATAATTTTAGAATGTATTCATATCAACATAAATATGATCTTGTGAATAATTTTGAAAATAAAATTAACTACAATGTATGATTTGAATTAATTCTAAAGGATAATCATTACTTCAAAGTTGTGCAGGTAAAAAAGAAGACATCATTTTTTTAGAACGTTTTTAATATTATGCTAAAAGCCGCAGTAATTTTTTTACACATCTATTATGAGTCATTTAGTCACTGACATAGAACTTTTTCTAGAATACGATAATTATCTTTACATAGTATACATTATTCGATTTCACAGCTGCTAGCAGAAATCTGATGATTCAGTGAAGCATCGCAATTTTAATAATATAATATTCACTTTGCTTTTATGAATTTTGATGAAAATTAAATCAATAAAATCAGCAATCGAAATAAAAAAATTAGCATCATTCTTTCAACATTTATGTGTCATAAATGACACAATAATGAACACCAACTAATTTCAACTCGCGATAAATTATTCACAAATGTTCAACAAAATAAACTCATTGAATGTTTTATTACTTTAATAGAACGATCAACAAGTTTCGTAGATTGTGCATTACGTACGCGATGTGGCATAAATGTAGGTAGGTATTAAAGATACTTTCTCTGAAATTATGTTTGTGACACGAAATATTTTGTTAGGATAGTAAAAATTCGTCAAGCATGTTCTTACGTAATAATTTAAATTCAATGCCAAAGGCAAATAACATTTTTTACAACAAAGATTGTACAGAATATTGCCTACAATTAGGGTGCATCCGCGCTCTGGATTACATACCAATTGGTCATTTTTCATGTTTTACATGAGCGTAAAACAATGGACGTCTTGCACATTCTCATTATTACTTTTAAAATATTTCTTACAACTTCTACCATTTTTTTCTTTGAAGAAAATACAAATTTCCAGTATAGTCCATTTTAATATAGTTTAATGAAATATAATTTAGGGTAAAACGTTCGATTAATGCGTTACCCAGTACGATTGAAGGCACGCGTGAATCGTGATTCGTTCAACATATTAATATTAGATTCATACATACTAATATTATTTTTAATCTCGACTTACGCATTCAACAACTATATAGTATATTCATTTGACTCTGGAGCAAAAACTTAGTACCTTGTGTTCTTTCTCGTAATGGAATATTTCGTTGAAAACCGGTACATTTTCACAGAAATTTACTCGCACCTAATTTTTTTTGCTACAAATACCAAAGAGTTTGGTAAGTTTAATGCTATGTCACCTTAGATAAAAGAAAAAGCTAACACTTCAATTTATATCTTCATACATAGTTTCATTTCAAATTATAGGTGATTATTATATTTTGTATTCAAGATATATTATTTTCAGTTCTAGTTTATAAACAATAAATATTATATTTGTTCTTCAACTTATCAACGATTAGATTAGAAACACAATTTCAAAATTAAATTGATAAGTAAAGTACTCAAGCCACAATTTTCTTAAATTTAACATGTTATGGAAAAAGTGAGTTATATTAGACTTATTCCAGACATTTATACGCACATAAACAGTCTATTTAAGTTGAGCAATTATTTGTCGTGTAATGTTTTTGAGCATTCAAGCAAGTATAAACGACCATAATAAAAAATACTACTCAGTATTACTTACATGCAGACTTACATCTCTAACGAAAAATTTACGACTTTAGCCAAAAAAATCTAAAGCAATTACTTTTTTCAATGGAATTTTCTAATCAGAATTAATCAACAAACGTTAACTACTACAACTGAAACATTTCGTCTTGTTCCTTTTGCAGCCTTTGTAACGAAGTTTTAACTTTCTTTCCTTGTGTCATGACTATTGCCGATGGTAAGTTTTGTATGTCACCAGATGATGAAGGCCGCTGATTTTCTACAGATACCAAATGCGAATTAGATACGATTGGATGAGAATTTCGCAGCCTAGCTGTTGCTCTCCGTCGTTGTATATATATGTCATCTCCGTCGCTAAGGAACCTAATAAAAAATTATATTTTGTAAAAGTAAAATTTCTAAATTCTAAAACAATTTTATTAATTTTTGGAGTTAGAAATAATTTCAAATAACCTATTTTTGTACTATATGGCATCATTTAATAAGATAATATTACTTTCAGTATCAGATTTATACTGTAAAAATATGTATATTTAACTGCACTATCGTTTCAAAAAAAATTAACAATGCTAATTTTTTTATATTGTTTATGATAATATGAGTAATTTATGAAAGATAAGTAGAGTTAACTACTTAGAATCAACAATCTATAAGTTGTTCATTATAATAGCACATACTCAAATGAATATCAGTAATGTTATTTGTTACTTCCAATTCCAATAGTTAAATGAGTACTTAAATTTTTACTTGACGTTGTTCTAAACAAAATTTACTTTTACAAAAGTTTCATATGATTTTAGAAATAAAATAAAAACAATATTCCGATGCTGTACTTACTCGCTATTCCCTTGTACTTTCTTGATTTCTTTTTTTACACTTGCTATGGACGAGTCCATTTTTGCTAAAAAGTCATTCACTGAAGAATTCTCATCATCAATAGAAGAAGACACAGAAGATGGACTAGAAGCCTATAAACATATCATAAATTTATGATTGGACTGCAAACTAAAGAGCAAAGGTAATTGAAAGACTCACAGTGGTATCAAAACTTTCTGGCATAGAGTTGACTGCATTTGACACAGAGAGCTGGCTGTCAGCACCAACTGGAATTAATAAATGTTCCCTTAAAAATAAACTGTCCGAAGCCCACAGTCTGTTTACCCTTCTAATTTGCTCTGTCTGAAAAAAATAAATCATAATGGCAATAGAAGACAATATTCAATTTAAGTTGATGATAAAAATAGATTAGTATAAAAAGTATAACTCTGAAAAATATTTCATAAACTTCAATAGTTGTAAGTTAATTGGAAAAAAATGTAGCAATAATTACAAAAGATACAGTTATACAACTTGAGCATTGAAATTCAAGTTGTGTAACAACATGATACACAAAGTAGTAACGAACAAGACACTGTTGAGTAAAAAGTTTTGAGTATGTTAGTCATATTACTGCCATTGACATTTTATTCAACGTAACAAACCTAACAACCAACTTTCAAAAAATTAAAAATTCTTGTTTTCAAGGAAACTCACAAATTTTTAAAATTGATGATTGTGTAAAATAGTCACACATGAAAAGGCTGTAGTTAACAATCGATCGAAGGTTTACAAAAAAAATTAGCAAAATTGCACGAGTAAAACTAGGCCATTGATGAACATACATCACATAACTGTTTCTCGCGGATGTGTGGAAGATGCACGATGATAATAAACAAAGTGGCAAAAAGAAGTTATAAATAAATGATAAATTACCGTGACACCGTATTTGAGTGCAATGCCTTGGAGAGTGTCGCTCTTGGAAACAGAGTGTTTGACAAGGGTTTCAGTCCTGGTCACGTGCCTAGCGGTGCTGCCGTATCTCTTGGGAGTCCTGCCTGAATTCCGGATAGAGCGTCGTTCTTCCATCTCGTCGCCACCGCCATTCCAGTGAGCTCCATCCATCGGCTGTTATCGCCGAAGCACTACAGCTCGAGGACAAGCGACAAGTTTCGTCGATGTTCTCTCACTTCTCTGCTGCGACGTCCTTTTCGTCGTCGTTCGTTGCTCGGTGCTCGTCGCACGCGACTTCTATGCGCGCGCAGCCTCGAGTTTATGTACAACTTCGCGCTCTCTTGCACATTCAGCAATGTTGACTCACTATCTCAATCTCATCTGTCTGCGCGCGCCTCTTGTGAATTTGCGGCAAAGACTATAATACGTGCGTGGGATGAAACGAAAATATATGAAATTCTTCGATGGGAGATGTTTTATCGCGTAGGAAAATTCGATGGATAAAGTTCTCTTTTTTGGCTTACGTGCAAAAAATACTGAGACACTAAATGCGCCTGGATTTGGCTCTTATTGGAAATCTATGGTATTTTTCAATTCGATGATTTTATCCGTTTCCGATTTTATCCTGTAATGTATTATTTTGAACAATAAAAAGAGGATCAATTTGTAAACACGATGACTATTTGTTTGCGAATTTGTTATCGCGCGTAATGCGCAAAATAATTTACCTCCAAAGAAAAAGCTATTCCGTGCGGACTTGATATTGAAAAAGATCCATGAAGTCCGCAAGAATATCCGACACTGTATTCTCCTGATCTTCATCGGGTAAACTTCCCAAGTCACTTGTGAGTTGTCATGGCAAATGTGCGTCTGTGTCATGCGCGCACGTAATTCCATACGCATCGAATCGAATTTAATATGATAGTGTTCGCAGAACATCTACTTCGTTTTTTTCTCCAAGAAAACTTCTTACGCATGGAGCCGGTTCGATTCAGATATATATATATATATATATATATATATATATATATATATATATATATATATATATATATATATATTGCTTCCGTTACACGCTGACCACAGTATTATGTCACATTTTTTAGGCGTTCGCGTAAAGAATAATCTTTATAACAATGTCCACTTTTTAAATACGCCTTTTTATCTTACATCCGCTATAATTTTTTTTCAATCTCATATTTTACTTATAATTCACAACATTATTCCTTTTCATTGTTGATTCGAGTACTGCCGTAAGGACATAATTCATATTTGATGTAATAATAATTTTTACATTTGCTTCTAATCTATTGCAGCTATGTATCGTATAACGTTCTTTTCTTATCGTTTTACACAGTGATAATCGATAAGATTAAATTATTTGGGTTTGCAACTTTTTGCTGTGCTTTATATTGATTTGCAAGTAAATGAACTTAAATTAATTGCGAAAGTGTACACTAACTATGAGCATTCAGATGTAAAGAATAATTGTGATCGATGATGACAGTACTTTCTTATTCGAATATCGATAAGCCCTACATCATATAACTAATAAGGCTTAATAAGTTGGAAAAGGTTGGTTGGAAGCTACTGAGTGAGTCAGACTATGCCTATCAAAGAGGTATAGTCGACACGCACGGTCGATGGCGATATATATTACATACACTGCCGGTCACTTACTTTGGGTTCCCCGCCAAAAAATTGGTCAAACTTTAAAGTTCAATGTCTCTGGTAAAAATTAACGTAGAGTCGCCCGGGAGCGTGTTTGAAAGGTCTTTCCAAGAGCCGAAAAAAATGCCCGTGCGTGTGTCGGTTTTGACGAAACTAATTTTTTGACCAGTGATTCAGATAGAGCTTGATATTAGTCGTTTTATTAACTTCCTCAATTCACTTACATATTCTATAAATAACTCTATATATATATATATATATATATATATATATATATATATATATATATATATATAATTCTATAAAAGCTAAAAAATGCTCTAACTCAAATTTTTGTAAGATTTTTTTCAACACTCCGTGCGGAAAGTGCGTTTTTCCCGCACGCTCGGCAAAAAACGTGCGTTAAAAATCGCACTTTCCACGCGTCGTATAAAAAAATACGATACGGCATATGTTCGGGAAAGTAGATTCTTGTCTCGTGTGGCGTTTACACCCGAGCGAAGCGAGCATTTGTATCGTAATGTACTATTTCCAGATTTGGCAAATTTTCAAAGTTAGCAAAAAACTTTTCGAATTTTCAATGTTGAATTATTACTTGCAAAAATTAAAAAACAATCGATGGCATCCATGAGTCATACCATTTGAAAGCTCTTGAAAAGACATTTCAAACGCATCTCTGGACGACTGTACGTTAATTTTTACCAGAGACATTGAACTTTAAAATTTGACTAATTTTGTGGCAGGGAGCCCAAAGTAGGTGACCGGCAGTGTAATTTAATAAATTCGGCATAATAAATTATAATACCAAAGCGTGTATTATTTAATTTATTTATTAATCGTTACTAATTGTTTCAAAAAATGTTCTATGTACAGCATTTTTTGCATAAATTTCGTACTTAAAAAAATTAGATATTCAAATATAAAACATTAATTATATTTACGTTAAAACTATAAAGTATAGTCCAAAAGCCTTCCATTCAAAACTATCGATCCTAGCTCGCATTGAAGCGGCACTTGTGAAAATACACTTGAAATGAAACTGAATTCAGTCTAAAAATAATGACGATTCTCGAAAAATAGCTGCTGTCAAAAAAAAAGTAAACATTAAAAAACGTGGCAACAGTGGCGCCAAACGTCGTGTCCTACTCCAATTTTTTTGTAAAACTGTGCCAAGTTTCTCTGCACTCTGCAGTACTATTTTGCACCATTTGCAATTTGAAAGTTCCTTCTATTACTGACAAAAAGAAATAATCAAGCATCAAATCAATTAATTTTGAACATATTAATGATGAGACAGGAGTGAAGATAATCAAGGAGAAATAATGGTTCGAGTGACATTTTTACATCCAGATTTAGGTATCGGCGGTGCCGAGAGGTTAGTCGTCGACGCGGCTCTTGCACTGAAGCAGAACGGCCACAAAGTCGATTTTATTACGAACCATCACGATCCCAGCCACTGCTTTACTGAGACTAAAGATGGTACCTTCAATGTTACTGTTGTTGGTGATTGGCTACCCCGAAATATTTGTGGCAAGTTTTTCGCCTTATGCGCGTACTTAAGAATGGTAATTAAATAAAAATTATTTTTCAAATTTTACAAATTATCTTCTTTTTAGATTTCTGAAATTTTATATTTTTACAGATATATGCAGCTTTGTATATAATTTTTAAATCTGACCGTCCTAACGTAGTTTTTTGTGATTTAGTCTCTGCATGCATTCCAGTTTTAAAACTTAGAATTCCAGTAGTAGTATTTTACTGTCACCATCCCGATCAAGTATTGACAACTTATGAAACTAAGTTGAAAAAGTTATATAGAGTACCACTAAACTTTTTAGAAGAAATAACCACAGGCTTAGCTGATAAAATATATGTTAATAGTCTTTATACGAAATCTGTTTATAAGGATACTTTTAAGAAACTAAATGCAGATAATACAGAAGTACTATACCCATCAATAAACACATCATTCTTTGACCAGGTGCATGTACTATCAATGGAAAGAATTTTAGACAAAAAGTTCTTGCCTAATACTTGTTTTTTATTATCAATAAATCGATATGAACGTAAGAAGGAATTATCTACAGCAATCAAAGCTTTAGGTGACTTAAAAAATCTCTTACCTAAAGAAGAATATCAGAAGGTATATTTAGTTATGGCAGGTGGTTATGACAAAAGGGTAGAAGAAAATGTTGAGTATTATTTAGAGTTAATTGCACTTGCAGAAGAAGAAAGAGTAGGGGATAAAGTATTCTTCTTGCGATCACCAACAGATATAGAAAAAGTCTCAATCCTCGTAAATTGTGATATATTGATATACACACCACCTAATGAACATTTTGGAATAGTGCCTTTAGAGGCAATGTATGCTTCAAAGCCAGTTGTTGCTTGTAATTCTGGTGGACCTACGGAATCTGTTATAGACAATATTACTGGTTATCTTGTTGAGAAATCTAAATTTGCTGAAAAGTTAGTTATTTTAATCAAAAATAAGACACAGAGGCAGCAGTTTGGAGCAGCAGGCAAACAAGTTTATCTACAAAAATTTAGCTTCCAAGCATTTGCCAATAATCTCAATACATCTATACTAGATGTTTATGAAAATAAAAAATCACAATAGATTAAGATATTTAAATAGGTTTACAATTTTTAGAAGTAAATTTTTTCATAATTTTTTATTGATTATTTTTATCACAAATAAGTCAAATACAAAGAGATAAATAATTGAGTGATTATTTATTTAAGTAAATATCCTATGCATTAAATTGAATTAGAAAGGAGGCAGTTTGTTACCGCTTTGGTCCAAGGTCTGTATCAAGTGCTAAAAATTAAACAATATGCTAATGAGTACCTTTCAAATTTTTATAAAAAGAATTAAAATTCTTCAATAAACTTACTTTTTCCATCACAGGCTACTATTTTAACTTTATCTACAATAGCCACCTCCTGTACTTCTCTAAACTCGACATCATTCAACATAAATGTCCATACATTATCACAAAACCTATATGTGTTCAATTTGCCAGCCTGGAATAATAATTGACTGTTAACATAAAAGTATTTAGGAGTACCCTCATAATTAATAATAATTATAATTGGTTATATTAATATAACTGAGGTTGGACAATCATTATTAATAATGAATCATTATTAATAATAACAATTAGTTTTGATAAACACCCTATTAAGAATTATTTAAATGAAGCTTAATTTATGTTTATCACAAAAACTCTATACATCAAACAAAATAAACTTACCCTAAAACTAAGTCTTGATTTGACTCTTGTCGCTAAGGCTTGGTTAATAGCTTTGTCAAATTGCAATAATACTTTGACTGCCAATTGTGGAGTTATTTGGCCATACTAAAACATGAATTCATGATACAATGATAACCAAAAATTTGTTTTTACGGCATTAGAAATTCTCAAGTGCCAAAGTACCATGCGAAATATAAAATGTAAACAATATAACCTATTTGATGGGAAAAAATAATTACGCATAATTGACAAAACTGAATTTACCTGTATTAGTTCATCTAAACTTTCTTGCAACGTGTTTCCTAACGTTGTATTTCTGTATAATTGGTACGACATCGTCGTAATTCAGAGGTATACAAATTTATGAATAGAACAAACTTAACATATATGTTTGTTCGCCTCTAGTGAAAGTGCTCACCTTACTCTGCCTAGTCTTGTCTTTGTCTCACTTCTCACTGGCATCTCGAAAGCTTGGATGCTCGAAAGTCATTCTCACACCTCGCTATACTCACGATAGTTAGATATAGTTTTCCATAGGCTAGTAAGTTAGAAGTAGCGCCGACAGCGCCAAAGTTGACATTTTGCTGATTTACATTTTGCGATTTTGACGATTTTGGTATGGGGCTGCCAACGGCGCCAACAGGGGGCCTATTCTGAAAAAAAATTTTGTGGTAAATCAGTTTGTCACTTCAGTTTACCACAGAATTAATCACTTTAGATGTGATAAATGCTTATGACATGTGCTAAAATTTTTTTTCAGAATAGGCCCCCAATGACAAGAATTCGACGATGCTACAAAAAATTTCATTTTTATGAAGTCGTATTGCATCTATATCATTTATACAACTATTTCCAAGATGCTCGGCACTACTGACTGTGAATCTTGGACATAATTATATATAAACGGTATAAATGCTATACGACTTCATGAAAATGAAGTTTTTCATAATATCATCGGATTCTTAACACTGCCTATAATAGGTATTTATATATACTATAAGCGGGACTGGTACCGTTATGGCCGAGGTAATATATTTGTAGGGTGGGATAGCATAAGAGCTGAAGCAGAAAGCGGAGTGAGTACCGAAGCTTTTATATAATCCTGCGATACAAACATTAACCCTCGGTGGTATCCACACTTGGTTCGGGTCTACAATGTTCAAACAATTTTTTGGCCTAAGGCCCTGTTCGGATTATCGTACAGGTGACGTTTAATAATTAAAAAGGTTGCTTGCGATGCAACAACGCGCAGATTTTATAATTATTTATTATTTTATTTTATTCAAAGTTGTGAATGCAATAATTATTATTCAACAAAAAAGTAAACTTATTTTTTTAAAGTATATTTTAAGTTAAATTAAGATCTTTTGGCACAGTTTTGTTAATATATAAGAATAAAATATCTATTTTCATATAAAGTATATTTATGTTTGATAATAAATAATTGGTTCGCAACATAATAATTAACTATAGTATTTATCAAAATATCAGCTTACGAAACTATCAATCCCAAACTGATTTACATTCAAATTACTTAATGATTTGCAGAAAAACGCAAGCTGATTGTTCTGGTTTGGAGTTTATCTACGTACTATTTCGTTCCACAAACATACGCCCCAAAATACGATGGAGCATCTCGCAATCAGTTGCCGTATGGAATTTAATACAGCCGAGAAACCAGAATAACTCATATTAGGCTGATATGAGCGGTTCTCGGTTGTAATAGTTGCTCATTATAGCCGAGGCGCTGCTTGCGTGTAAGCAACCTCATTACCAATTGAGTATCGTCTGCACATAATAACCCGAATACTGTCGCCTAGGCTGAAAACGATTTTTCTGCACACTGCACATGAAATGACAGTGAACTTTCCTAGTAGGGAACACAGAACCGCACAGAGAGCAGGCTTAGTGGACAGTCTAGACTAGTCTAGAGTAAAGTGCTTCGCGCATGCGTGATGCTTCTTTACCCTTCTCGTCTGTTCCATGAACGGTAAACATGGCGCATCGTATACATACACAACGCATTTTACTTTTAACTAGCCGATGTCGTTTTGTATCGTCTGCTAAGGACGCAACATTACTCCTGTATAGGGGTATATGGAAAATCGTATATCCATCAAAGGATCATAATGTACAATGGTCGCACACTATACTCCATCAAGTGCATGATGTACTTTTCAGTTAAGGTGCCCGTGAACAGTTTTTTACGTGCAAAGCGTACTCAACATAGAAAGTTGTTCATGCAGTACAGTAGCGGGGGCTCCTGGACTATAATAACTCATTATAATCCAGGAGCCTGGTTCCCGCAAAGTATTACTATTATTAACGGTACTTATTACGTCGGAGGATTAGGACAGAAAACTTCTATATAGAAGAGGGCTTTGCACAGAAGATTTTCTCAATCATAATCTCATAACCGGGTGAGGGTTAAAAAACTGCTTATGGGCGTCAAAACTGAAAAATTGTTAACGTATCTTGGGCTAAGCCACGATGTATTACGTCTCGGGTCGTTGTGAAGGGGAGGAGGCCACTGCTCGGCCTTGGACGCTCCACTGCCCCCCTTGTTCAAACTGTCCCTTGACGTAATACAACGTGGTATAGCCCAAGATACGTAAATAACTATTTAGTCTAGGCGGCCGTATTCTAGTTAATACGTACAAAGGGCGCTCAATGGGTAAATAGGTCATACAGCCTGGGAGGCAGTAAAGGGAATGGCTCCTCAACTGTTTGTAGCTGTATGGCAGCCGTGCTACTCTCGGTATATCGGCCTCTCGCATAGAATATCGAAATGATTTGAGTTTAATAGGTATAAAATTTAAAGAAAGCTAAGTAAATTTGTAGTTGTTTTTCAAGGGGATGGCTAAGTAAACATCAGAAATGGAAGGTGATTGGCAATTGCTATGAGATCATATAATAATAATTTTCATAATAAATAAGATACATAATAATTTCCTATCTATTCGTTGGACAGTGTCCTCGAGAGAATATTGCAAGGTACAGAGAAAAGTCTCTCCTGTGAGATCCAAAGAAAGTATATATATCCGGGAGCGAAGCTCTCTATTACAGTAAAAGAGCGCAGGATAATTTTTCTACGTAAACAATAAGGGATTAGCGAGCGCGGTCCCTTGGAACGACTACTCGAGATTTTTGGCCAATAACCAATTTGCTGTTTAAATGGTGTATGCTTGGAGAAAGTAGAAATTTATGATAAGAAGATGTAAAAAACTGAAAATGACAGCCGTGAAAAGATGAAACAAAGCATACAGCCTCGGTATTTATTAGCAAAGTACATAGCAGGGATAATGAGAAGCAGCCCCAATTTAGACATGAAATATAGGACACTAGCGGAAAGTGAAAGCTTTCACTGTGAGTGTCGACGATGCGACAAGCGTGTAGCCTAAGATTTTCTCTTCGCGAGTTGTTATTTGTGTGTATGCACGTATATTTTATTTTCGCGTTTAACAGCAGGTGGAATTCAGACTGTATCATTACACACGTATGTCTGTTAGATGCATATCACGCGTATTAGAAATGTTTTTGATCAAAATGTCGAGGTAGAATGGCAAGAAATGAATTAGTTGTTTGAACGTTAGTCAAGATAATAACGAATTAATTTTCTCAAATAACTTAATTTTACAATTATACAGAGAAATTTAAACAATGACGTGAAATTTAATATGCGTTTGTTGAACCTGAAATGATCAAAGAAAAAACTACTAAAAGTTACCGCATCAGCTCAATCTCCCTCATCTTTAAATTTTGGCAGTCATTGCCCATTCGCAAACAGAGGGTAACTTCTTCACGTTAGAAGATATTATATAATTGCTCTTTCTTTTTCATAAGTTTCCGGTCTTTTCTCAAAACATATTTTTAAACATAATAATCATAATTATATTTCAAATGCTCGTTAAAAAATAATTAAGCTTATTTCATTTCACTATTGAGCTACAAGAACAACTAAAATTCGAATTATTAGATAGACTTCTTTTATTTATTTTGGACTTGTCATTTTGGATAAAATATCAATCATTAAAAAATGAGATTCATTTTGAAATGACGTTTATTTATTATTATATATTTGTATTTTACAGTATGAATCGCCATAAGACGTATCACAAGTAAAAATACAATATAATATTTAAACACTATTTCCATAATATTGTAAGTGATGAATATCTAACAAGTCTAGCAAGAGTAATGAATATCTACAATTGAGTACCTACTATTGTAAATAAAATTTGTGTAGTAAATAGTTATTTTTAAAGGACAACAGTATAACTGGTAGACTTTGATAATACATACTGGAAACAAAAATATAAATTTCACTCCAACCAAAAATTGTTTCTGAAAAAATATATAGAAGAAAGTTTATGAATTGCTTAGTATATTTCATCCATAACTGAAACGTCTCATAAATATCTATAATTTAGAATATCTTTTAAAATAATAAATGATGTCAGTCTAATAATGATAATTAAAATTAAATCTATTCATTTGTAAATATTTTATCAGCCAAGTAGAATTTTAATCTGATGGAACATTTCATTTTTGATATTTACTATATGAGATTTTATAAATAACACATTGAATAAAAAAATATAAGCTCCCTTGCTAAATATAGCAAAGAGCTTTGAATTTTATTTGTACTATTCTGTTCATTATGGATTTTTGATTTCATAACAATAATTAATATAACTAATATTTAAAATTTATTAAAATTTTCAATGAGACACTTTTAAGTAAATTGTTTCAACTTGCTAACTAATTTGCATGAATCAGTGTCATTAAATTACTTTGCATCATAAATGTTAAACTACAGAAATAGATATACTCTATCATAATTAACATAACTTATTGCAGTGTAACAGGATTAATTTTGTGTCAGGTAATTTAGATCATATAAACAATATGTGTACTTATGATCTATGGTTCCTTTCACATCTCTATTCAAAACATTTTAATATGCAAATGTAATAATGATGATTTCAATGTTGTTTAACTTTGCAATCAATCTGAATAGCATCACCGATGTGGAACATCTACTTTTGAATATATTATTCTAATTGGTGGTGGTATAAATTGTCCACAATTGCACTTTCTCTGACTGACAAAATCAAAGGATCCAATTCGAGCACGACAAAGTGGACAATGCAGTTTCCCTTTTATCCAGTTTTCCTAAAAAAACAATAAGGTTATTGATTTCTGCTATTCATAGTATTTTCATTGTATATTCATGTAGATGCATAAAAAAATAATCTATACATCTATTAGATATTTAAATAATTTAGATATACTTAATGAAATAAAAATGTAAAAGCAAGATGCAATAAACATTTGTTGGAAAGTTATGAAAATAAATGTATAGTGATTATAAGTATAATCCTAGAGAAAACATCTGTAACCAAGAGAAAGTACAGCAACTACTAGCAAGTTTAATGTTTTCAAAAATTGCACCAAGACTCTCTAAAAAAAACAGATATACCTATAATTAGCCCAGAAGGTTGTCTCAAAAAACTATGTTAAAGGACAAAAGCCTATAAACACAGCAACGTTTTCACCTTGACAAGGTTCATTTATAACAAAAAAATACTTGTACAGCTAATCACTGACAACACACACATCATAAAAAAAAAGTACTTAACGTTATTAATGAAATATCAACCCGATCAAGTTTTCAATTAGCGAAAAGTCTGGTGAATGTAAAAAATATGACAAGTGGAAAAGAGGAAGAGCAATTAGAAGTAGCGCGCATTTGAGTGTTGCTTACTCGATCGACGACCTCGTGTATCCAGTCGGGCATACTGTCCTCGGCGAGATAGAGGCAATCTTCTGGCACGTCACTGTTACATCTGGTATTTCTGGAACCAATGCCGATCTCCTGGCCATGAGCTGTGAGCGAAGGTGAAGCCTCCTCGGTAAACAGAACGTTGCGGCATCGTTTGCATTTGATCTCGGTTATCTGTAAACATCACCAGAATGAGAGTTGTAGCGGCCATAACAAAGAAGTGCTGCGCACTCTCTCTCTCTCTCTCTCACACACACAGCAGCTCAGCTGTTGCTCTCATTCGCAAAACTGCATTTCGCGGGAAAACTCACTTTGGCGGGCATTTCGTAGCAGCATTCAGTCTGTCGTCGCTGTTAGCGTCTCGTGTCTCTTTCTCACAGCGTACAGTGGCTGTTGTTGACGTTTTGTCCGTCCGAGGCAGGAGCTACGCAACAACAACGGCAGATATGTGTACCTAGTTTGCAGTATCAGAGATGAATTGGCAGTATGCACCTACGTACACACGACTAAAGAGCGGGGAAAGGCCACCACACGAGTCAGCCAGTGCGAAGGCCACTCACAACAGCTACGTGCGTGCTTGACTTCCCGAGAGGAGAACTCGAATGTTCATGCGCACTCGCGTCGTTGACAGGCTTAGCAAACGCGCGGTTTTGTTTGAAATTTGCTGAAGATGACTAAGCTTCCACAACAGTTTTCCAAGCTTCCGATCTGGGAAATTTCATTTTACGCTCTCGTTTGGACTGCAGCTGTTTTCTATTCTATTTATTCTGTTTACCTGGTTACTAACGACTGTGAGTTGCTCTGTTTTGTTTTGTTTGCTGTTATTATTTGTAAACAATGCCACTTTACAGCATTTAAAAATGCATGTTTAACGTAGTAGTAAGAAGAAAAGATGATTTTTTTTGCAACACTGATATTTTTTAACTAAATAGCTTTTTTCTTATAGACTTAAATATTGGCGCTTATCAAAACCAAGTAAAAATAAATCGGAAAAAATTTACGTGTCTACAAGATTGTGTATCCGATTTTTGAGAATATGTTCATGAATAAAAGATTCAAAATACGAAATCACACTTTATAATGTGGTTCTTATATGGCTTTATGAAGTATAAAGCCATATAAGAACCACATTATAAAGTACGGGAAATCTAGTTGCCAATAATTGAGTTAATTACATATTTATTACTCCAAAAATATAAAACAAGTTATATAGTTTTGTGATATTGAATTATAATGATTTTCATTTAGATACTTTTTTATTGTTCTAGATTTTAATGATTATTTCGATGATGCCTACAATGACTTTGAAATTGGATGGTCATTTATTCAAAGAAAAATCGACATTTCTGATGAAGAATGGAGGATGTGGATTCCATTTATATTTAAGTTGTCTCCATGGGTTTTGGTTCAAGTCCTAATCAGTCAACAGATGAAACTGCTGTTCCATAATACTGTAACACATTTTTTTCATTATCAAGCTCTTTTTTATAAAATAAAAACTTTCTATATTGTATTACATTTCTATTCGCAGGAGATTCTATGCCTTTGGTATAGTTTTGTATCTATTGCTTTTTTATTGTACTACTTTGGACTTACAACCACTTTTTGTACATTACTACTACCATTGACATCATGTTTACTAACTGTATTGAAAAGCAAAGCCTTGTCATGGATTGTTCATTGTATAACTCTGTTTTTTATCTACCATGCTAGAACTTCGAAATTATTTCAAGATTGGATTCAATTACATGATGAACAATTTTTCATGCTATCATCTGCTATCTGTTGGATACAATTACGTAGTATTAGCTATAGTATTGATAGTATAGTAACATATAATCGTATTAATATATTTGGATTTATGAAAGACTTATTGCAAAATATAGCTTACTGTTTATATTTGCCAACGCTCTTTTTGGGACCAGTAATTTTGTATGAACAATTCACTCACGGCGTGAGTAAATATTTTTTTAATTGCTGAAATGAATTATTCAAAAAATTTTATTTGTAAAAAATTTATCATTTGACAGCTCAAAAAACCATTTACGAGATGGACTAAAACTAAAACTATAAAAATTCTAGGAAATATAGCTCGTTATTTGTTTTGGATGTTTTTTACACATTTGTCTATGCACTTTATATACTTTAATGCCTTAAAATATCAACCAATGTTTGTTGAGACTCTACAACCATGGGCTTTTTATGGATATGGATACTGTATGGGACAATACTTTTTTAATAAGTATGTCGTAGTGTATGGTCTGACTTGTACTGTAAGTAGAGCTGAAGACATTGATGCACCTCCTCCGCCTAAATGCATTGGTCGTATACATTTGTATTCAGATATGTGGAAATATTTCGATAATGGACTGTACAAATTTCTATTAAGGTAAATTTTTTATGCTAATGAATCCTTAGTATTATTAAAAGTAATTATATGTTTTTACAGATATATTTACATTCCTCTAAATCCCATGAGTGATTGTAGAAAATTTGTTGCTTCTATAATATGTTTTATATTTATATACTTTTGGCATGGCATGCAATACTTCATTTTTATATGGTCATTTCTTAACTTTAGTGGTATTTTGATAGAAATGATAGCAAAATCATTGAGTTCCTATTTTTATAAAAGTATATTACGAGACAGTCTGAGTTTGAGCTTTAAGAGAAGACTTGAATGTGCATTAGCAAGTCCGTTGCTGGCACTTTCAGCTGTATCAAATTTTTATTTTGTTGCTGGCAAAGAAATAGGCCATATGTTTGCTTTGAGAACCGCAATACAAGGTAAATATCAGAAATAAAGTGCTCAAAAAAAATGAAATTATTATGTGAATCACAGAAAACAAATATTTATGTTGTAGATTCTTGGGAAATAAGGATCCTGATGCTCTTTATATTATACTGCTCATGTCAAGTTTCTACAGAAATAAAACAATTTGAACATGTAAATATAATAAGAAGGAAAGAGGTACGTGGATTGAAAAAAGATTAAAAGATCTTATCATTTTTTAGATTTATAGATATAAGTACAAAATATGTATAAAAATACAGTGACTACGTACACTTTTTATGATAAAAAGCTATAAATCGATACATGTATGCGGAGTACAATATTCTATATTTTCTTAATTATTAATGCATAAGTGACTTAAATAAATGTATTTTTATAATGTGTTTTATATCAAGAATGCTGTAATTATTACCAAATCGGTTTCACAATTGCTTCTTGTTCGAGTAAGGCACATTTTGTGTTAAAGCATTTCAATTGTTTGCGATTACAATCGCATTGAGGAATGGATTTGAGCCCACTGCATAATAATAAGGAAAACTTCCTTGCTTTTTGATAGAAAACGATAGAAAATGTTTTCGTTAGAATAGTGCTTAGGCATACGATGTATACGAATATTAATTTTTTTATTCGTTGCTTCATTATTTGGCAATTAACCAACGTAATCTCAAGTTTATGTACAGTGTTTAATGTTCGTGTATGAATTTTTCGTAACAAAATAACTTTTATTCACTAACATATGTTTCTCTTATAAAAAAATTTGCAATAATTTTATTTTTTAATTGTAAATATGAAAAAAGGATACTGAAGAAAAAAGAATGAATCTTTAAATTAGATTTCTGGTATTGGAAGACAAAGTTGAGCTGTCACGTGAATTTAAAAACATTTTAAGCCAATATGTGTCATAAAAAAATTAAGTTGAATCAATGCAAAATTAAATATACTAAATTATAAATTTTTATGACAAACGATTGTTAAGAAGAACGATTAGTGTAGTTACATCACATAAATAATATTTCGTAGAAAACTTATCAAATCTTTTAAATATGATCCATTATCAAAGTAGACAAAGATATATTTTAAAATTATTTATAGAAACATAGTTGCAGATCAATATTAGGTATCAAAAATGTCATACCATTCAATTATTCAGCTGGGACAGCTATTACTGGCAGTGGTTTTGATCCCTCAATAAGATTATTATCAATTTCAAAAAGATTATTATCACCACTAGCCAGAAGTAAAATCGTATGCTGTTTTCCATTCTGTATTAAATTGATACTTTGTGTTTTGTTTCCCAACAAAGCAATTTTACTATTCTTTAGCAATTGCAAAGTTGCTGCTCCGTTATTCTCGCAAACTTTGACTTGACATGGTATGATCTTAAGCGTTTGCTCTTCTGAGTTGTCTGCTTCAACTACATTCTCGGTCTGTGTGGAGTTTGATATTGAAGCAACTTCGTGCTGTTCCACATGGTCAGGGGTAATAATTTCTTCACTGTTCAGCACAAATACATTGTCTTGAGTCTCGCTTTTTAAAGCAAAAATAGGTTCTGTGGAATAATTTTCTGCGCACCTTTCGTACTTTTCATTTTCCTTTTGAATTTCATATTGTTTGGCATGAGTATCATCTGCCATGTTTGCAGATTCATTTTGTGGCTCTTCATTAGAATATTGAATTGTACTACGGCCTGGATACTCAGCATCTTGTGCGTAGTTATAATTTTCGAAATGCAAAGTACCATCGGGATCAGTTTGTGCAATAACTACTTCGTTGTTTTCAAAGTTAGTTTGTATTTCAGTCTCGTTAAATTCAGTCTTGTTTGTCAGTGATTTATCTTCAATTTCGGTGTAGTTCTCTTCAATGACTACTCCAGGTTGATTTTGGTACATCCATATGGCATTGTCCATGCATTGTTGAACGCCATTTTCGCTGGAGTCATTGTTAGAAGTTTGCTGCTCATCCCAAGAGAATTCATGTGTCGATAGAGAATCTTGGATATTATTCGAAGTAGTTGCAGTCTCATTCATAGTGTTCTCGGAATTATCTTGTTTCTTTCGTCTATTTTTGGTCCTGACTTTCTTTGAATCTTCTTCAGAAAGATGCAAAAGCTCGCCTGTAATTGTAAGCACCTTACCATGACGTGTTTTCAAATGGCGTTTGTACGTATTTCTTGTTTTAAATCTAGAAGAAAAATTTGCAAATTTTAATTAACATCAAAAACAAATTTAAGAAATATGCCTTAAAATGTTTATGAAAATATCAATTACCTTTGCCCACAATCTTCACAACCAAATGGCGCCTCTCCGGTATGTCTTCTACGATGTTCTCGAAAATGTGACGGGTGCCTAAATTTTTTTCCGCAATCAGCGCATGTGAAACGAGTTTGATTTTGATGGATCAACATGTGATACTTAAGACTATGACGTCGCGTAAAGACCGATCTGCAAATGCGACACTCGTACGGTTTGATTCCTGCATGACTACGGTAATGTGAGACTAAAGTTGTGGGTGCTGTGAAACTACGCGGGGGATCACAAATGCGGCACTGTAAATTGTTTCCTGTTGGGTTTCCCTTTTTACGGATTTTTTCAATTAGTATGATCGCCATCTCTCTCTCTTCTTTACTTGTACCAATGAATTTGGCTTTTCCTTTTGGTTTTGCGACTACAAAGGAATCCTGGGCAGGAAACTGATCTTCATTCCAAAGTGGCATGCCTAATAATAAATTTGGAAAAAATATTAGTTACAAAGAAAAATTCTTTTAAGTAATTACTATCTTTCAAGTATTTTCGATAATTTACTTTAATTCATTAAGAAAACCAATTAATGTTAATTAATGAAAATTGCAAGTTTTCTTTGTTGGTTTATAAAAGCCGTGTTAATAAAGAACTTGTTATAAAATTATTTTGTAAGTTAATTGTTTGGATTAAGCTTCAGTTTTCTTGATCGCATGCTAAAAATCTCAAATATACGCTTCAGAAAATTATCATTAACATCATACTTTATTTATTAAAAAGATTAGGCACTGTGCACAATCTTGAGCGTCAAAATGAATGAAAATCTGTTTTTCAGTGCTTTCATGTTGATCAGAATCTGGACTTGAGATAAATAAAATACATTTTCAATAAATTCATTTTGTCATGTTTGAAAAGACGTTTTTCGATTAAATATACCAAATTATTTTCAAGAAAAATCGAAAAAAACTACTTTTAAAAGTACTTTTTAGTAGGCATAAGAAAATAATTTTATTGAAAAAGTGTTTTATTTGTTTCAAGACAAGAATAATATGAGCCTCTTAAAGTGATTTTCATTCATTCTGACGTTCAGAATCGTAGACGGCGCTAAATTGTTTCAATAATTGATGTGCTTTGTTAATAATGACTTTCTGGAGCATCGTTTCAGATTTTGAAACTTACAGCCAAAAAAATAAAAGGTACTTCAAAATGAAAAAAGTTTCATGGCGATAACTTCATTAAAAAAACGTTTTTTATAACTTCACAAAGATAACTTTCAATGTTCACTGTTTAACATTATCTGGTCCCCTTAAAAATTAAATTGTTATGCATGCATTGTTAATAATTAATTTTATTTACTGATAGCTTAATTGGTTAAAAAATTACGGAGCGTTTACTCTGACTAATATTTCATGTTTTTGGTTGGATTGAGAATTATGTAATTATTAAGCTCCTTATATACTCTATAAACTACAACTCAAATTTAAAATAGACTCAAATCAGCTGTTTCATTAAATATTTCAACAATTAATAATAAAATAAATAATATTTTAATCGCAATTCAAAGTTGGTAATAATAAATTTAGTCTTTCACTATGCAAATCGAATCTATAGTTTAAGAGACAATGTAACATTATGGTTTCTCTTCATTCAAAAGTTACATAACTCAAATAGTTATTATTGCAATATTTACTTTTTGACTCGTCTTCTTCTATATCCATAGGTTTTGATGTATTATTTAAAGTGTTAGATTGATCCTTCACACCAACTTCATTATTCTCAACTACCATTAGCATGATCTGAAAATTATAAATAGAGTATTTGAGTATTACATAATTTGTATTCTATCTCTTTCTTTTCACCACCTCTTTTGAAAATCGGACTTAAAATCGGTCTTTTTGTCCGTTGTTTTCAAAATTTATAATCACAAACAATATTTTATTTTCAAATATTACTCACATTTTCATTTGTTAAAGAATTTACAGGTACTTTATGTATATTAGATATTGACTCTCCATTTATATTTTCTTCTTTAACTTGTTCAAAATAACTATGATCCCCAAGTGGTCTCACATCAAATGCTTCTTTTTTTACATCATAGGGATTTGAATTTCTGAATTCATTGATTTTATCTTGACCAGCATTGTTTTCTAATTCACTTGACAATATCTTACGTAGATAATTAGTAGACTTTCCTACTTTAGTATCCTTATTTTCTTTATTTAAAGTCTCCTTTGATGGTTTCTTTGTTTGAATTTTTGCTTTTTTACTTTGTACGCTTGATTTTGGTTTGGTACAACCTACAGCAACTGCTGTAAATGTGCTATCTATAAGACAGTAAAAAATATCATTTATAGTATAATTTATGTATTTCTTAGTTCACTCATAAAATTCATTTGTATTATACTTACAAGTTTCTGCATTGTTTTTCAAAAACTCTAAATGATCAGCTAGATGTGACTTTATGGACATTCTAGCTCTTCCCTCACTGGCAAAGCTAGTGTAGTTTTGACCACATCCAGGTACAAGTGCACAAGAATAAGAGTATTGTCTTTTCAGCTCATCGCTGCTGAAAACTGAAAATAACTTGACCAGTTGCATTGCTGGCATAGTTAAAAGCTGGTTGACATTGTATGTAACTTGTGTATTCTTGCGTTTTACAGTCTCTTTTGGTTTTGGCGGAGAAGATTTAGCATCCATTTCACTAAGTTTCTTCTCTGAATGTAGTGTCTGGGATGCCACCTCTGCTAGCATATCTAGCAGAGCTCCTGGACTGTCCCTACCCATATCATCTAAAACAAAACAAACAAATTACTTTCATCTCTTATAAATTTTTAAATTTCTATAGCATGATGTTTTTATCAAAACACATGTTTTACAAATGCGCCAAAACAAAACAAAAAAGTGCGAAATTAATTATGAACAAAAAAACAATTATTGAATATCAATACAAAGTAAAAACGAACAGGAAAATAATTGTTACTAAAATAATTGAGATATTGTATTTATAGAAATTTTATAAATCTGCAATTAGCAATAAAAAAGTTGGTTCGAGCGATATCCGAATATAAGAGTAGATCTTCATTTCCTCGTAATATTTTTACTCGACTCAGATAATATTTATCGGCGTGAAAAAAAGGCAGAAAATAAAAACAAGAAATACAGGCGCGCGTTTTCTGATATATGTGTTTTAGTACGTAAGTGAACAATGTGCGCACACATCCGTCAGATATAAAAGAAAAAATTTGTAAAATGTCGGGAGGAAAAATTATTGGAAAATCGTACAGGAAAAGCGATCATGCATGTGTTGCGGACGCCATTGAAGGGAAAAGCTTTGGTTGTCCACTTGTTGCTCTCTACATTGCCGGCTAGATTGCGACATTTGTCCAAGCTGAAGCGACATTTGTCCGCAGAAGCGTTCACTCTCCCCCCCCTTTCTGCCACACTCTTTCGCTCGAATTCGCCGATATATATTCCTTTGACGAATAAACATAAACGCCTACTGTCTCTATCTCTGTCTTTGTTTCTTCGTCGTCTAGCTGCTGTGTTGATGCTTCGCGCAGGCACATACGCATGCACGTACACGCGAAAGTCCTTTGTTAAAGGGGATAAGAGAAACCAAAAAAACGAAAAAAAAAAAAAAAGCCCAGACACGTCGTCGTTCTCTCTTGTACGTCGTGTATATTATTCGACTAGACGAGTTTTTCTGTTTGCTTTTCCAAACTCTTGACGAAGTCGCGCGATGCGTACTGGAGAAAGGTATAGTGTGGTGGCGGCTGCGCGCACATCGGAATTCACTGCGTTTCTTTATTATACGTATTCACGATGCCGACCTGACGAACAGCAATACACCACCGCACCGTACACACTTATGTCCAACTACTGCTTGCGTCCAGAGAATTTTCCAGCAAACGTAGGCGTTTGGACGTATTTCCGCGCTGTTGATGAATGCGACTTTTCGGAATGGTGCAGGCGCACGGTAACGAAAGACACGGACGGACAGCCGCAGCCTCTTTTCAAGACGGCGGCGGCTACATGCAGAGGGAGAGAGAGCGCGACAACAGCGGCGTCAAACTAGCAGACGCCATCGTGGGCGACGCGCAGCAGACGGATTTTCGGAATAAGCTAATGTCCGTCATCTTACATGCTTTCTCTTTTTTTAAAGATTCGCGGAAAAAATTATGTGCGTTGTCTGCTATACGTGCACTCACCTCGGTCATATTTGAAACTCTGTAGGCAATCCATTGTGGCGCTCATCTCGTGTAGGTTAAAACGATGGCTGCCCGATCTCGCGGTTGCTGGTAGTACAAACACGTTGTTCGATAATTAATTCCGCAGTTCCGTGGGAATAAGGTGCTGCGGCGACATTATCATCATACACACACGTCAAGTCTACAGCTATGGCACGGTGAACTCACAGGCTGTTTCTCACCTCGCTTGCTTGCTTTTGCTTCCTCCGATCTTGTCTTAGCGCTTGCGCGTCCATTCAACGTTGCTTTGGGATTGTCAAGTTCTACCACTACCACAACCACGCCGAGCACGCCAGAGAAAAACGCCGAACGAGCAGGCCAGACAGCAATATTCGCGCTATGAGAGAGAAAGAGAAAGAAGGACCACGAGAGAACTCCCTTTCGTGCGCCGACGTCGCCGCCACCAATGCAGTGGTACATTCTCTTTCTCTCTCTTCTCTTCCTCTCTCTCTCTCTCTCTCTCTCTGCGTTGTTGCCGCGGTGCGTAGTTTTCGATATGGGTGAAAATGGTGAAAAAGTCTGATGTTCAAAATTCTTGAAAATTATGTTTTAATTGCGATATTTTTTAATACTATTTATCTTGTATTTTTTTTAATAGAAGATATTAAATTCTTTATTTATATTATTGTTGAGCGAATTTAGGGTCTAAATTAATTAGTAATGTTAATGCAAGTCTGCTATAGCTATTTCATTTTGTTAGAAAATTAGTTCCAAATAATGATTATTTTCGGCACTTTTATTGTAGATTCCATTGTAAAACATACTGTTCTCAGAGCCCAAATGAGCCACATTAAAAATGAATAGAATTGCAATGAGAATCACAAAAGTTTTTCTCGAGCATGCACTGTTCTGATTCTCATATATGTATTTCCATTGAATGTGCGATATCAACGTACTCCTACTTATATTTGACTTTCTTGAGTGTTTTTTCCTATTACTCTAATCTCGCAATATTGTTCTTTGTTATAATAGAAGATGTGAAATTAAGAAAACAATCAGTACAGACTATATATAATTATTTTATATTAACTGGAATGTATTATTAACTTCGTTGAAAAAATATATTTTAAAACAAAATGCATCGAAAAATAAGGAATTACAATATTTATAAAAGATTTATCATTAGTTATGTGTTGTAGTAAAATATGGAACAAAAAGTAAAATTCTTAACAAATAAGCCTTATATATAAACTTTTCTTCTAGGCGTTGCCAATGTATAACCAAGAATCCTCTTTCAGCCAGCAAACTAATTATCAAACGCAAAAATACTAATAGTTTAAAAATTATTTTACTGTTGAACAAATGTAATGTTTGTCAGAGTGTCATCGCATACCAACGTAAAAATGATTCATGGATAAATTATTGATATATGCTATACGATAATAATCTGGATATGTCAAACTCCCCGCCTCTATAGGAAAATAAGGCGCGATTTAATTAAGCTCGTTTGAAATAAAACGTGCAATATTTTAGTAGCAAGAAAAATAATTAAATCAATAAACAAAATTATCATAAAATGAAGGCAAATAAATAAAAATAAATAGATTTTAGTTTGAACAAAACCTAAGCTGTCAGTTCAAGTACTATTATGCGCATTATTGTAAAACAAGAAAAAAAAATATATATACATTTAGGAGAGGCCACTCAATCCTCGATCGACGGTTAAAATTAGTTTGGTAAATGTTGCTGAACGGTAATTTGTATCTTCTGCTAATTTGAAGTTATCGTGAAGAGGGCAGTCTTTATTTATACTCCTATCTCAGTTGTGTACACTCCTCCCTTACAAGAATGCACATCAGGGCCAAGCTGTAGCAGTATAATTTTTATTCATTAATTTTCCTGATTTACCTCTCTATTATATCATATATTCCTGTACTCTTGACCTATTCTTTAATGCTGCAACTTATGTCGCGTAATCTATGATGTTATCATGTGTATCATGTTCTTAATTGTCTCAACTAGCGTTATTCTAATATCTCGATCTGCGCTGCGATATTTCGTATTTATGTTTTAAGATATTTATATATCTTATCCGCTGTCATTATTTGTGAATGTTCATTGCATTTGTCTCTTATTCATTATTTTTATTTAATAACTTGTTTTAAATTGCGTTTCTGCTTTTGTTTGCATCTTCTCTACTGAAAATAAGTATATAAATTTTGTACAGTATATGTACGAAATTTGTACGAGAATATGTATGTACAAAATTTGTATAAATCTTGTGCTATATTCGTACAAAATTCGTACACATTTTCTCCGGAAAAATGTGTATAAAATTTGTATAAGTTTGGTACGAGTCTTGTACAAGTTCTGTATAAATTTGATAAGAAATTTGCACGAAATTCGTTCAATAGTCGACTTTTTCTTAGAAATTGAATAAAATAGCGTGGTCAGCTTCCATCGAATTTGAACTAGATACGAAAAATGAAAAAAATTGAAGGTAAACGACCTAACCGAGACTTTCATGTTAGCAGACATACTTTACCACTTTGCTACCGGGGACTGTTATGATTCAATCATTTTTTATTTTATACTACATACAATCTGAAAATTGTTTATGAATGATTCGATGGTATTCAATGAACTGTATTTTTACTGGTAATATTGATGAATTTAAATTTCACACTATATATATATATATATAGTTCATTTTTAATTCATCGCTATTATGAACAAACATATAGTCCATTTAATTTGATTGAATAATTGAACAATTTTCAGATTATGAGTAAAATATATTAAAATTAGTCAGCGCTGTCATCGATAGCATGTAGTTCAAATTTTATGGAAGCTGGCTACGTCATTTTATCCATAATATGTATGTATTATTTATTTATTTATTTATTGATTAAGAAAAAGTCAATTATGGAATATAAATATATAAAAAACTTATACAAGACTTGAACCAAACTTGCACAAATGTTATACACATTTTTTCGAAAAAATGTGTATGTATTGTATGAATATTGCATAAGATTTATATGGATTTTGTATATATTCTTATATAAATTTTGCACATATACTTTATAAAATCTCTCTCTCTCTTTTGCTCTCCTTTTTCTATCTCAGACGTGATTCCAAGGTCATGATTTCTACTTCGTTGAAAAAAGTACTTCAAAAGCCATAGATGCGTTTTCATCATATCGATATGTCATAAGAACGTTGCTGTTACACATAATAAATTTATTTTATTCTTCTCAATATTATTTACTATCATACCTATCAAGTGATCAGTTACGCATCAGAAAATATATTCCTTAATAAAATTCAAAGTAAATACAACATTATAATTTAAATATAAGCGCTCATTTTTATTATACTATCAAATCTTCTGATGCATGCATATTTGCATACATGCGCGATGCGCATACACACATAACATCCAATATCTCGCAGGGCGCAGGAGTACTGGCAATATTGGCATGTGTCGTTTACGTCGCGGTCGTGCGTACGGTGTATAGTATACATATATACATTATAGGTTGTATACATTAACCTAGTATTTTCAGTCGATTTCGATTTTTTTATTTATTCTTTATAATAATAATAATAAATAAAAAATGAAATTGTCACAAATTTTGTATAAACAACATCTTGGCCGTTTAACCAGAAAACTATGGTACATTCAGGGAAAACGAACTCCAGTCGATTTACAAACCGAAGCAATACTATCAGCAAAAGGAATAACAGTAGAAGATCCAAATGAAATTCTTAAATCCAAACACAAAAAACTTAAGTAATAATATACACTAAAAATAATAAATTCCCATTTGATACATTATTTTGTTTTATAACATGGTTATTTTCAATTTCAGTTTGAAACAGCTTAATTCTTTTTCTAAGCCCCTACAGACAAATGATGAAACTCATCCAGATTGGAAAGACAGACCTTGTCTCACATATAGTGATAATGATTTGTTGATAGAAGGACTTCCTCAAGCACAAAATATAACAAAAACAATAGTTTTTGAAAATGTTTGGCCTGATGCTGTAGAGAAGGCAACTAAAGATGTGTCAGACAATATTCATGAAATAGTTAAAAGGTAAAAATATAACATCTCCATTAATAAGTTATTGATTTCAATGTTATAATGATATATACACATTATTTGAGACTGATTTAAAGTTTTTAATATATATACATGTTTAAATAAAAATTTGTTTTTCAAGATCGATACAAACCTCTGTAATATTTGATGCCCATCAAGAATTGCTACCAAAAGTAAAAGATCCTGTTAGATATTGGTGGAATTTTCCAAGAGCTATGGGTATTACTGATGTCAGAAAAATGTAACAACACTTTTTATTATATTTTAATATATATATGTAAAATACGTAATATACTTTTCTCACATTTACTTAATAAATACACCATTTGAACAGATCCAATTTGAGTAAAAAACTTCTTCATCTTTGCCATTGTATTAGTGGATCTGAAATTGCTAATTCTAGAAGTATTATAGACAATGCATTGATTCAGGTGCCATTTGGTAAGATAATATTTATTAACCAGATGATTATTGAATAATGTAATGATATCTTTTCAGAAAAAGAATTTGATTTATATAAATTCTGTTTAACAATGGATGTTACATTAATGTCAGAACAACCACTTAGGCCAGCTGGACTAGATAGTGTAGAAAATGATGAAAATGTTGAACTACCATGTATTCATCCTATTCATTACTCAGCTGGGTTAACTCAACAGAACATTTATAAATTTGATAATGTGTTTCGTATGTATTTTAATTTAAAAACTAAATTTATAAACTATTAGAATAGTGTAGAAAATTTTCAATGATATTACATTTTTTTATTAATTGCAGCATTAGTTTCTGATTATCACAAAAAGAATATACATACAGTTTTTATATTTAATGATCCAACAAAAGTTAAAAATTTAACAGAGATTGAAGTTCAAGAGACACAGATACTAGGTAGAGCTTTAATAAAAGCATTTACCGCAGCAGCAGGTTCTGCTAGGCAAAAGTTTGGTACCAATATAAAAGATCTTCCCGAACCTATAACTATTCAGTGTATTCACTTGGATGGAAAAGGATTCTATTTTTCTGTTTATCAACTGAACACTTTGAATCTTGAAGGTGAAAGTGGCATGAAGAATTACAGTTGGGTTTTGCCAAAAATCAATTTGTACGAAACAGGTGGTTATGTAGATGGTAAGCCTGTACTTGAAGGTTACAATCCAGAAGTATTCAAAAGAATACTTGCATTTTATAGCAATAATTAAATGTTATATTAACAAAATTGTTCTTTATTACTTGTGAAAAAATTTTATATAAATTGTACAGCCTAGAATAGCAATTTCAAGTATGATTATTAATATTAAAATAAACTTATTTGTCAATACTCTCCTTTTCATTGTATTGAGTATTTTTTTCGATTTATCTAATTCTTGATCAGTCTCTGTGAGTCTGGATTTCGCATGCAGTAAAGTTTCCCTCTGCCCTCCCAGCTCTGAAATGACTTCAGTTCCAATTTGTTCTGTTTCGATTGCAATTGCTTGTGATTTGGCAACAGATTGATTACTACGTTCAATTGCAGCGCGACTTTCCATAAGCACATGCCTTTGATCTTCAATGATGTCATCAGAATTCATTTTTGCAGATGACAGAAATAATTCATCAACAGTAAACTCAAATTATGTTTGAGATGTCTTTTATAAACAAAGCATTAATTTATTCAACTACAATGACAAAATCTACAAAAAATGAAAGATTACATTTTATATTATTACAATCATCGTTTCTTTGTTTTCAATTATGTTAATCATTATTATACTATTATGACATCCATGAAAAACAAAATACTAACCTACAAAAATAAACAGTGTATTATCCCTCGCCGACAGAAGTCATTTTAAGTGTTTAGATTAATTCAGTCACGTATGATACTTTGGTCCATATTTCATTTTTACTTTCCACTTTTCTTATCAGAATAAACTTTAAAGAAATGTAACAGTTCTTTAGTTAAATGTTATTACTTAATTAGCGAGCGTAGAGTCAGGTTTAGAGTGGGAGGAGTCGGAGACGGAGAGGTTGATAAACAAGGTATAAATATACGATGTTTCGTCTCTCGGTGTTACCGACTAGACTCGTCACTCGTGAGGCTTGATAATCGCTATACTAACATCTGCTTCTGACGCTTAGAGTATTCGGTTTGCAATGGGATTTTATAAATGCACCGAGCGTGTATTCTGCCGCTCGCAGGTACGTTGACGCCATGCAATTTTAAATGAACGAACCATGAAACACACTGCACAGTTCCAACTAAAGAATAGAACAAGTGTTATTCAGCTATCATACAAACTATGTTGTAAAGGTTTTTATTGGTTTGACAGTATGAGCAAGCATTGATTTCGCACTCCGCATTCAAAGGAAACCAATATTGGTAGTTATTTATTATTGGTTGATATTAGACGATAAATGTTAATTTTTTGTGAACATATTCAGGATATAATAGTGATGTTTTTGTGAAAATTAAATTATCCAACTAATGATTCTCAAAAATTTCATATATTTATTTTCTTAAATACTTGACTCTCTTACATTTATGTAATATCATTTTCCAATTGGAACATTCATAGAATTTACAGCGTACAAAATGTTTAAATTGCATTATTAAACTATCAGATAAGTTATAACTAACGTACCTAACTATATTTTGGAAATTCTTCAATTAAAACCAGATAAAGGAAATTATCTGCTGCTATCAGATTGTTCATTGGAGCCTGGTGATCTGTCCGTAGGTTGAACAGCATCATCTACATTACTGTTACTTTGATTGATGGAAGAATTTTCTGAATCAGATTTATCAGTTTCAAATTTCTGCTTTTTATCTGTCATCTTTTCATCTTCATTATCAGAAGAACTCAATTCATCAGAGTCAAGATCATCATCAAGAATAGTTTTTAATTTTTTTTTTGGATTTGTTTTACCTTGCTCTAACACTCTCTTACCAGCTGAAGTCGAAGCAGCAGTAGCAAATCCTACTTCTACAGCATCTTCTACTCTTTCAGTCAGAATAGATCGTTGTTCTTCATAACATTTGTCTTTAAATTCATGTTTTGGTACAGCACGAAGTTTCTCTAATTTCTTCTTTTTTCGCTCAGCAGCTTCTTCCTCTCTATTAGCTTGCTTGTCAATCCAGGCCTTTAATCTTTTTTCTTCATTAATATCTCGCAGTCTTCTTCCACTAAGATCTCTACATGCTTCTCTATTTGTTGTTTTTTCTATTTGTGCTCCGATCGCACGCAACATTGATCCAAAGCCACCTTTTCCTCCAAAAAGTTTTGGTTCAAGAATTATGTCTCCCTTGTAAATTACATTATCCAGCATGACCAAACATCCATTGTTTTTGAGGAAAAAGTTGTTAGCTTTGAAATTCTATAAAAGATAATTCATTTATAATAACTATTGGCTGTTTAATTAATAGAATAAATGTAATTACAAAGAAATTTAATGCAGAGTGGAATTTAATTGACTCGAGGTTAGGATTTCAGTTGGAAATTCCTTATTCGTAATTTAATTTCACAATGTATCAAACTTAGAATAAATTATAAAATAATTATCCTATCGTGAACATATCAGTTACTTACAGTGATATTTGTCAATTGATTCATCAATTGTTTACCAGTTGTGGGAACACAAACCTCCATGACTTTTACTTGTGTATCGTTATTTTGCAGATAAACAGTCGACATTTTGCTCAAAATGTTTTATAAAGTAATACCAGTAAATCAATCCTCTAAATAATAACGTTGACGTTTTCTTTATGAAGAAAACTTTGACACTGGCACTGAAATGACTAAAGTTAGCTGTTAAATCACATCATACTCTCACAAAAGGCGCGTTTAGATGCAGCGATTCGGTGATGACATCGGGTCAAAACATATCGATATATATGTATATATATATATACACGTATATACACACTAATAAAAATAGTGGCGCGTGACTTGAATTCACAATTCTGAGCGTTTAAATGCAGCACTTTTGTTATAATGTACGGAGTGTTGTAAAATACTGGCCATATGTAAACTTGATGCAAATATACGGCGTCGACAAGCGACTCTCCCCTCTCCCTGTCCTTCGTGCGACGCCAATCAAATTGCTGTAATTGAAAACGCGCCCTAATTATTCTAGGTATTTGACGTTAACCACCTTCATGTCTATTCACAGTTGATTTTCTGTCATGCTCCAAAGCTGGTAGTGTTGTGTACAGTGTTCGTTTCGTGTGTAGGGTTTCTTTAAAAATAGTTTTATGTATATTAAAGTTGCAGAAGTTTCCCGTTAATATTAAAAATTGATATAGTCTTACAAAATAAGGCTTCGACATTCCTAATACGATATTTGTTCCCGTAAAAATGGATGTGAGTATATATTTTTTTGGCTAATAAAGTTGGATACTGTAGTGAATATGGTAACACCACTTAGACTACCCAAAATAACTCAGCTTAGCTAACATATGACCATGAATTTGACACATTCATAACTCAAACAAGTTGTTTCACTATTTCCTTTATGATTTTAGAATGATTCTAAACTTACACAAACTTTGGAGCAAATAAAAGTAAGCCAAATAGAGGAAAGAAGATTGTGGGTTGGAAATTTAGATCTACGCATTAATGAGTAAGTCATTTAAACTAATTAAAAATGAAAATATATTAATTATTATTTAATCATTGTCATTTATACTTATTTAAATCTTTTTCAAAACTGGTATCAATTCCTAAAACTTGTTCGAAAACATGGGGAAATTGAGAAGTTTGATCTTCTCTTCTACCGATCTGGACCACAAGCTGGCTTACCGAGAGGCTATGCATTTGTTACTTACAAAACAGTTAGAGATGCTGAAGTTGCACTAGAGGGACTTCAAAATCTCAGAGTTGGATCTAAGAATATTGTAGTTCGATATGCACACAGTATAAATGAGGTATATTTTATATAAGTGTTGTTTTATACGAGATTGTTTTCAACTAAATGCTTGATAAATATATTTCTATCTATGAAGTGATTATTTATTTGTAACATATTTTTGCAACTACAGGCTGAATTGGAGAAACCAAAACCAAAGCTAGATATCCCAGCACTTGCAGGTGCCAAAAAAGAAGAAAAAAGAATAAGGTAAGTTTGTTATGTTTGACTTGCAATAATATATTTTACAATTGTCCATTATATAATATTTCTTTTTTAGTCGAGAAACAGCAATACAAGCCATAGAGGCCAAATTAAAATTAATGAAAGACTCTAAAGAAGAATTTCAATTGAATAAACCTTTAGAAGGACCATCTATCATACATCAATATATAAAACCAGAGAGTAGTAAACCGTCCACTTCTGTACGACACTTTACAAGAGGCAATTATCACAACAATAGAAAACCATATAGTCGTACTAGACCAAGAAGATAATTGTGATTTTTTTCAAAAGATATATTTATTCATATCTTAATCTTAAAAAGCATCTTAATATCATGAACATTCATTTCAATAATTTATTATAAGTTTCACAACATTCTCATAAATAATATACTATAATGATCATTTATTTGAATTTTAGTCAAATAATATTTATATTTAGGGTATAATTTTTCATTCATATTGTATAACAAATGCATTTGAACAATTCCATTCAACTAATTTCGCCATTCAGTGAATTTTGAAACTAGTAAAAAATGTGGTTGTGTTATTAATAATGTTCATGCTTCTCAAAAACAATATTTCAGTGCCATGATAAAAAAATATTAATTTATATTAAAGCTGTTTGTATTTTTTTGCAAGTATTATTAATAACTATTTATTTATAACATGACATTGCAACATTATAAGCTGCATAAGAGGAAGTCTCTTGAACATATGTATTTGATTGCTTTAAAATTGTATTTTCAAGACCAAATGTGCATCAAACTATGTACTGTGTAGTTTTTTTTTATTCTAATAGTTTTCTTTTTAATAAAACAAACAAATGCATCATAAAAAGAAAGTATTTATTATTAATAAAAAGTATTATTGGATTTTCAAAAACATTTGAATAGTTTATTTACAATAAGTTTTGGAAAAAAGTACTATTAATTACAATATTAAAAGTCATCATTCTTAGCAAACTTAAATTTTCCTCTCATGTGATTTGGTAGTGGCACTATACCAGGACAAGGCAATTGACCAGGAATTTCACAAATACAACTTCTTTCGCAATTGGGCCCAAAATTGGCAGGATTATCTGTTTTTTCTTTTGCTATTGTTTCTGTTGCCAATACTTCTTTTGATTTTCCAACCACTTTTAATAAATGTTCCAATATCTCATCTTTACTCTTCATATCCACATCAATCAACATTCTTTTGTTGTTTTCTATACAAATGATTTGAACGTATGAAAAGTGTGACAAAAAATTAATCAACTATTAAGTACTTAGACAAACCATAAAAACACCAAATAAATGGTGAAGGTGTTTTATTTCTTGTTACCACAAGTTGGACTTCAGGATTCTTATACAGTATCTGAGGTAAATGCCAAAACATAAACTCTCTATAAAACAATATTGTTACTAGTTAATTGATAATCAACAAGTGTATTACACATAACATGAAAATGAACTATATTATAATTTATAGTTTAATAATCGCGATATATTCATATACCAATTATGCCATATTACAAAGAACTTTAACGATATTTTAAGACAATATGCACGAAAACTTGGGTTATATATTTTAAATATCTATATTTACATTGACACTTATAAGTTTGTAATGTTTTTATTTATTAAGTTACATTTACTAACCTTATCCCTCGATGATTTTCTCCATGAGTGTTGTAGTTGACAGAAAATATTTGAATGGAATTTTTCAAAACAAGTTTTCCAGCTTCCAAATATTTAACGGTCCGCCTAATAGGCTCTTTACCTATCATGAATGGCATTTCGCAAGTTTTTATAATCTATTATTTACGGATAAGTTAAAATGTGGTGTGCGAATTGGGTCTGCCTGCCGCCTGGGGCAGACGAAAACTTTGATAAATTTAGTTTACTAGATGGCGGTGTTTAAACGTATAGCATACTTATACATATACATAACGCCACATTTTAAAAAATGCAACAGTTCATAATAACGATAAAGAATATTGAAAGTATGTTGAGCTCCAATGATATTCATTCTAATACAAAAAATGATATTCATGCGACTATTATTAATTGTTTGAGACCGCCACTTTTTTAGTAAAAGAGAGTGCATGCTAGGAGTAGTTTACATTTCAAATTAATGCTTTTTTTTTAATTTGGTTTAGGATAAAATTAAAAAATTGGTGAATTCACAATTTTTAATTTCGGTAGTATGAATATTATATTCAGAAAGTGACTGCATCAGAAAGAGAATTATTAGCTTGAACAAATTGCTTTAATTAATAAGCTACTATAATTAAAAAATTGCAATTTGATATTCAATGTTGAATAATTAAATTGAATTAAAATTATTTTAAATTTAAACGTAAATGAGTAGGTTTTATTTAAAAATATTCTTAAGTCTTATCATAATTTCCAAAAAATTCATCATTTTGCTAATAATCAAAAAATCTTCGAGGATGCCCGGATTCCGATGAAGCCCGGGACTGTATATAGACATATATATGTTGCAGTCAGTATTCGCACTACTCGCGGCAGCCGTGAGATTAAGAAAGGAAAGGAGAGAGGTGGTGGAGAGGTTTAGGTTATATTATAAACTCGTTTTTTTGGAGCACGTACACTTGCTCCAAATTGTTTCTTATTCCAATTGAATCCTTTATCGTTTAGCACGTTCAGTCAATTGACAGTGAGTTTTATATCTCATATTTTCCTCAAAATATTGATAAATCTTATGTCATTGTTCCGGTGTTTTTTGCACATGTTAAGCCTGCGTGAGAACTGCTGTTTGACACTCGACGCACAGCAATTTTTATTTAAAGCTTTACAATAAAAAATATAACGAAAAAATTACATTGTTACATAAGTTACAAATGCACATAAAGTTAGTGTATGCACCTAGGACAATTTATCAAAATATTTTACGTTATTCGCTTATGACTAATTTTTTTATAACTGTTTTTTTTTTGTATTTAGCATTTACCATGATGACGCAATATTTATTTCCTTAATACCATATGGAAACATTTTTTATTATATATTGATCTCTAAAAAAGTATCAATCAATTGTTCAAAAAGCAAATATTTTAATTGTTAATAAGTTATTAACTATAAAAACAAGAAATATTAATATTATAGGTTTTTTATTATTAATTATTCAAATCGTTCATTCTTAGAATTACAATAATTCAAGATGGTTAAAACTGCCAAGGAGATTCGTCAATCTTACATTAACTTTTTCAAAGCTAAAGGCCATGAATATGTTCACTCAAGCTCAACTATCCCACATGATGATCCTACATTGTTGTTCACAAATGCTGGCATGAATCAAGTAAGATGTTAGGTTTTAAAATTTTTATGTTATCGCTAATCTGACATGTAATTTCAATTTGCTTTTGAATATAGTTCAAACCAATTTTTTTGGGTACATTTGATCCAAATAGTGATATGGCCAAATGGGTCAGGGTTGTCAATTCACAAAAATGCATTCGCGCTGGAGGAAAACACAATGATCTAGATGATGTAGGAAAGGACGTTTATCATCATACATTTTTTGAAATGATGGGCAACTGGTCTTTTGGTGACTATTTCAAAGTAATAATGTTTTTTTAAACATATGGAATTAAAAGCACAAATACTAACAATAAGTTTTATTGCACATTAGAAAGAAATATGTATGTGGGCTTGGGAATATTTGACTGATGTTCTCAAATTATCTGCAAGTCAACTATATGTGACTTACTTTGGAGGAGATGAAAAAGCTAATTTGAAACCTGATGATGAATGTAAAAATATTTGGCTCTCTCTTGGGTAAGAAGACAAATACATTTTATTTTAACGGAGTGATAATGGCAACTACTTAATGCTATGAAATTTTTCTGTTGCTCTTTCAGTGTTCCTGCTTCTCATGTTTTACCTGGGAATATGAAAGATAATTTTTGGGAAATGGGTGAAACTGGTCCTTGTGGTCCCTGTAGTGAGTTACATTTTGATAGAATTGGAGGCAGAGATGTTCCTGAATTGGTAAATATGGATGATCCAGATGTCTTAGAAATCTGGAATCTGGTGTTTATTCAATATAATAGGTAGTTACTGTGATTGAATAATTTTTATTTTTTTTCTTCGTAAAGCAGCTGATTGTGATTGTAAATTTTTCAGGGAACAAAATGGTAAACTTGAACTTCTTCCCAAAAAGCACATTGATTGTGGTTTAGGCTTGGAGCGTCTTGTGTCTATTATTCAAAATAAACGCTCAAACTATGATACTGACTTATTTATGCCACTTTTTGATGCAATCCAGAAAGGTACTGGTGCGCCTCCTTATCAAGGTCGCGTTGGTAACAACGACGTTGACGGAGTTGATATGGCGTACAGAGTTCTTGCTGATCATGCTAGAACTATTACGATAGCTTTGTCTGACGGTGGAGTTCCTGATAATACTGGAAGAGGGTAAGTTTTTCAATTATTCAAAATAAAATATAAATTATACATAAAATATTAATAAAATGTTCAACGGTTTGTCTATGGCAGGTATGTAATTAGAAGAATTTTGAGGCGCGCTGTGAGGTACGCGACGGAAAAGTTGAATGCCCAATCAGGCTTTTTTGCAACACTCATTAATGTCGTTGTAGAACTTCTTGGTAGTTATCAATTTCATTAATTTTTATTTTTATTTGAAAATTACTTATAAATTTTCTAACAACGATATTTTAGGTGACATCTTTCCAGAAGTAAAAAGAGATCCCCAATCTATAATAGATATAGTAAACGAAGAAGAAACTCAATTTTTGAAAACTCTAACCAGGGGACGTAATCTTCTGAACAGAACGATTGCTAAACTTGAATCGACGAAAATTGTACCAGGTGATGTTGCGTGGAGATTATACGATACATATGGCTTCCCTGTTGATTTAACTCAGCTTATGGCTGAAGAAAAGGGACTTTCAATTGATATGGCTAGCTACGAGGAAGCCAAAAAACTGGCAATCGTATGTACAAAATAACAACAAAATTTTTTAAATTATAATAAGAATTAATCATAGCTATGGCTTTATTTTAGATTGCATCTCAAGGCAAAGGCGGTGGTGTACATGATGATATAAACTTAGATATACATGCTATCACAGAGTTGCAAAGTAAAGGCATTAAACCGACGAACGATTCACCGAAATACAATTACAAAGTAGAGTCATCCGAGAAATGTGCTGAATATACTTTTGCACCTTGTATTGGTACAGTTTTAGCTATACGCAAAAACAAGCAATTCGTTGATCAAGTTATGTCTGGAGATGAGGTTGGAGTTTTATTAGATCAAACTAACTTTTATGCCGAACAAGGAGGACAAATTTATGATGAAGGATTTTTGGTTAAAGTTGATGATGAGGTAATTGATTAAGCGTATCATTTTTTATAAGCAGGAAGGATTACATATATTGTGGTAATTTTAGAGCACCGAGATACGTGTAAAGAACGTTCAAGTTCGTGGTGGATACATTCTACACATTGGAACCGTAGGTGAAGGAATATTGAAGAAAGAGGATAAATTGTATTTAAACTTTGATATCCCAAGAAGAAGACTAATTATGAGCAATCACACTGCTACCCATGCTCTTAATTTCGCCTTAAGAAATGTTTTGGGCGCGGAATCCGACCAAAAAGGATCTTTGGTTGCTCCAGACAGATTGAGATTTGATTTTACTAATAAAGGTAAGTCCACATGTTATTATTGAAATTATATGATTTTAATATACTGAAAATAGGCTTTGAAATTGTATAAATTATTATAGGTGCTATGACTATAGATCAAGTAAAAAAGACTGAACAATTTACAAATAAAGTGATTACGGATGACAAGGTGGTTTACGCTAAGGAGAGTCCTTTGGCAATTGCTAAATCAATCAATGGATTGCGTGCAATGTTTGGCGAAACTTATCCTGACCCTGTGCGAGTAGTAAGTCAGGGAGTTCCAGTCGAAGAATTGGAAAAAGATCCAACAGGTCTTGCTGGTACACAAACAAGCGTCGAATTCTGTGGTGGTACTCATTTGCATCGCACAAGTCATATTGGTGATTTTGTCATTTCGAGTGAAGAAGCCATAGCCAAAGGTATTCGTCGTATCGTTGCTCTTACTGGTCCAGAAGCTTTGAAAGCTCTGAAGAAGGCAGAATTACTGCAAAATAACGTGAGTGAACTGAAGAAAAGCATCGAGTCGGTAAAAGATTCAGCTGCGTCTAAAGAAATAGTCCGAAAAATTGTCGAACTGACGGACGACGTTTCGCATGCTATGATTCCTTACTGGCGAAAGGTGAATTCAGAATTTTTCATCGTTTTTTTTCAATGTAATTTAATCAGTAATTAATAATAAAGCTCATGTTAATACCTTTTTACTGTAGGAAGAAATGAGGAACGAACTGAAGATTTTGAAGAAGCAATTGGATGATAAAGAAAGAGCTGCGAAAGCAGCCGTAGCTAACTCCGTTGTCGAGATTGTAAGTACTATGATCGAAGCTAACAAAGGAACTCCTGTTATGGTTGAAATTCTAAATGCTTTCAATAATACGAAAGCTCTTGATATGGCTCTGAAAAAAGTCAAGGCTATTTCTCCCGAAACAAGTGCCCTATTCTTCAGTGTTGATGAAGACGATAAGAAAATCTTTGCTCTTGCTGCTGTGCCAAAAGTAAGCGTGTTATTCAAGTAAGTATTGAGATTTTACAAAAGCATACTAACATGAAATTGTTCAATTTGTTTTAGTCCGCTATAGCGAAAGGTTTAAAAGCAAACGAATGGATTCATTCTATAGCTACTTTAATGCAAGGAAGAGGAGGTGGTAAACCTGAATCAGCTCAAGCTTCAGGACCAAATATCTCGTGCTTGCAAAAAGCTTTATCAGTTGCTAAGACATATGCGTATACAACGTTGAAATTGGAAGGTACATCATAATGTTACGTGCGATATGTTTGTAATTACTTTGAATATTAATCTGAATTCAATTTATACAAAAGTTGAATATCAAGCATGAATTTGAGTATGGAATGTATAGTTGAATTATATTTATGGTTTATAATCGTTCTGTATGAAACTCTTATTTTGATTAATGGATTTTTGTAATGACTTCTAGTATATTTTTATAGTTCTGTGAAACATTTATATTTTAAAGTAATACAAATTCTACATTTGATATTTATGTTGTGTTTTTAATAAATTAAATTTAAATAATTTAATTTTTAAATTATCCCTCAACAAAATAGTCAAATATTGTTAAAGTTAAATTTTTTTCAGAGACAAAATCTAATAACAAAGTATCTTCTAAATCTGCAAGCGAGCCAACACTGTATAGTTACAACGGAAGTATAAAAGGATACACGATTCAGATTGCAGCCCGATATGCTGGAAAGTGCCTTAAAATTAATAATCACTCATCTGATAGTCAACAAAAGGGATCAATCGTGTACGAAGATAAAGAAGTGAATTTGAGAGACGGCACGGCCATAGCTTATTTCGTATCGAATACTCAGTTCAAAGGCAGGGATGTTTTGGAGCAAAGTCAAGTTTTACAATGGATCAGTATTGCAGATAATGACATTTTACCATCGGTTTGTGGATGGGTTCTTCCCTCTTTGAAAGTTTCCTCGGTAAAAAGTTCAACAGATTCCATAAACGAAGCAAAAAATAATCTTCAGCGAATTATGAATGCTTTGAACAAAATTTTAATGAATAAAACGTACTTAGTAGAAGAAAAAATCACATTAGCTGATATTGCAGTATTTTCTACTTTAATGCCAGCTTATGAAAATGTTTTTGATTTAGAAATCAGAAAGAAATATGATAATGTCACTAAATGGTTTGAAACTATTCTTCAACAACCATACGTAAAGTTTGTTGTCGACAATTTTAAATATTACGAAAAGAAATAATTTTGTAGTGAGTTTTTATAACTATAAAAGTTATTTTAATCAATATAAAGTTTATTATACGTCTTCTAAATCTTTGTTTTCCTTAGATTTCTTTAAATTATTATCATATAATATCCGAATTTCTTTCAACAACGTTGAAATATTTTTTCCCATTTTCGCCGAAATAGGTATAATAGGGAAATCTATTTGTTCCTTTAGGAGTTTTAAATTTTCCTGTAAATTTTGTTGATAAATAAGTAAAAATATTATTTTGTATACTAAAACTTAGTAATAGTATTACTTTACCTCTGCTCTAGGGAGATCCATTTTATTTGCAATAACAAGTTTAGGACGTTCGTTTAATTTATCGTTGAACTGACTGATTTCATACTCCAAAACGTTTAAGTGCATCCATGGTTCATCTTGTGTAACATCAATTATGAACATTAATGCAGCACAGCGCTCGGCATGTTTCAAAAACGTTATACCAAGTCCTTTATTCTTATGAGAATCTGGTATTAAACCAGGCAAATCAGCCACTACGAATAATATACATGTCAGGTGAAAATTTTCGATACCAGATTAAGTACATATATTGAAGATCTACCGGCTACTTGTTCATAATCATCATATGGAATTATTCCAATGTGTGGTTTTAAAGTTGTGAATGGATATTCTGCAACTTTTGGCCGTGCACGTGTAATCGCTCTGAGTAGCGTACTTTTTCCTGCATTTGGAAGACCAATCTAAAAAATTATTATTAAAATACTTTTAGAATAATTTATAAATTAGAAAAAAATTAAATTTATCATCTATTATTACCAGTCCAACATGAGCCATACTTCTAATCTCTAGCACATATTGTTTACTTTCACCCTTGGCACCGTATTCGGATACTTTAGGTGATTGATTTAGATTACTTTTAAAAAATGCATTACCATGACCTCCCGCGCCACCTCTAGCTGCTATATACATCATTCCTATTTCATCCAAATCTGCTAAAATTGTTCCATCTATGTCACGAATTATAGTGCCCTCGGGTACTTTTATGATAGTGTGATTGGCATTTTTCCCAAAACAGTCTTTGTTGCCTCCATTTTCTCCATTTTGAGCCTGAATGATACTTTCCACGTGCGACAAATCCTTAACACTAGATGATACCTGAAATTCAATGTATTTAGTTAATATTGAAATTATCCGTTTAGGTTTTAGAAATCGACTTATTAATTATGGTTTACCAACTTCAAATATAACGTGACCACCATGTCCACCGTCACCACCATCTGGACCTGCTCTATCATTTACCCATAAACGAAGAAATGAAATTGCTCCATCACCTCCATTACCTGCAGTAATTCTTACCTATGAGTGAAATCAATATTTTATATCAATATTTTATGTAAGTTAAAAGCAATGTAAATATTAAATATTACTTGTTTCATGTCTACAAAATATTGCATTGCGTCTCTCTTGGATTTCGCTTTTTTGGTTCTCAAAGCAGTTGCAACTTGTTCATCTTTTCTTGCTACATGGATATTGTGGAAAAACTTACTTATATAACAATTGCTAATATGACTTTTCTTTGATTGAAATATGTTTTTCTGGAAGGTATCATTCTCAAATGCTTTATATATTCTGGATAAACATGACCATCTTAAAACAGGTTGCATCTGTATCTCAAAGAAAATATTTAATCAATAACAATATTTACATATCACAACCATTAAATTTAAATTTATTCCAACCTGTGATGCATTGAGCTATTATTTATTCACTTATATATGTAATTAAAATAATATGCTATCTTGAAACAGTTACAGTCAAGGCATTTTCTATCAGATCTGCTATTATATTTTCATGCAAATCTATTACTATTTTTCTATGCATTGCAAATTTCGTGGTTTTATAAGTTATTCTAAAAGTATTAGTTGCTTTTAAGTCAGATTTGAAACTATATAAAAATTCAACATTATTAATTATCAGACCGGCGTGATTGTATAAAGTTTCATACAATTTAGCAGCACTGAATTTTGAATTAATAGCAAATGTTATGTCAAATTTATAAGTATTAGGATATATTGACAAATGTTCCTGAAAATTAACATTGTCAATTTTTGACAACATTTCTTGGTAACTCATTGCTTTGTTATGAAAATATTGTAAATTAATTTTACGATTAGGAGAAATATTAAATTTGCAAGGTCTATCAGCTAATGCAAAGATGTGGGTCATTGATCCTTCAGTATTGAACTGTTTTTCTAAACTTCTGTAACCAGTTACTGTGTAAGTTTCAAATAATTTTGAATCAAATGATTCAACTGCCACTAATATAAAGTCACCATGTGCTGCCATTTCTGTTACTTGCCATGAATCATTCCATTGTCTTCTGGACTTATCTGCAAGTGTACCACCTTGCCCATCACACAAACTTATAAAAACTTTACCATCTTTGTTCAATACAAATTTAACGGAAATGAAAAATTGTTTTAACAATTCTCTATTTTTTTCAATTCTCATTTTACCTCCAACATGAGGAAAATTAAAAACTACAATGTCAAATTGTAAGATATTTAATATGTTATGATCGTGTAATTTTGTTGCATCAACTCCTAAAAATACTTGAACACCTGAAAAGAAAAGCATAGTTGTATTTAATATTAAAAAAAAGTAATTAACACTATGGTCCATAGTAAAGATTATATTTTACAAACCATTTTTTTGTAAAAATTCTATGTTTTTCTTTCCAGTTTCTCGAATATCTTTTTCATAACAAGTAGCAGTAATGTCGACATTGACTTTGTGCTTGACCAAAGTGACAGCAAATGAAAAATTTCCCTCTCCGACTAATAATACTTTTTTTACGTTTTCAAAAAGAGATAGCTTCATTTTTGTCTATAAATAAAAATCAATATATGTATTTAATATTACGTCAAATTATTTAAAATCAAAATAGCTGGATAGCTGGATAGGTTAAACGCACATAAAATGATTTTTTCCATCAGTTATAATATTAATTACGAAAAGAAGCTTGTTGTATTCGAAGCAATTATATACGGTGCCAATACATTATAATTAATTTAATAATTAATTAAATAAGAATAATACTTACCGTCAAAATGAAAGATGCACGCGCGAGTAATCAGTACTTTATTGTAGTGAGTAGTGTCTACTACTCTGATGTCTGCTGTGTTTTGTTCTCGAAGTCGACGTTCGAGTGTCGATTAACTCCATATAATTTCAAATTGTTTCCTATAAAAAAATAATGTTATTATATTTCAATTCAGAAAAAAGATTCCACATTTATAAATAATTTATTCATTAATGACAAATATTAAAAATATTAAATTGTTTGCGTTGTAATAATTTTTAATTTCATCAAACTACAAAAATTATTTAAAATTTTTATAGATGTGTACATAAATTAATGTTCCAATTCATGCAATGATGAATAGCTGTGTGTGAGAGAGGATGATCGACTTAGCTACGTATCATCCACCTCAATGTTCATCCAAATAGCTATAAACTAGAAAAATTCACATCGGCCAATAGTAGCATTGCAAAAAAAAATATCCTTATGGCTCGATTGTTTTGAAGCAGTAAAAAACTAGTTTGAGTTAAGCTTATAAACAGCATTAATAAAATAAAAAGTGCACGCGGTGAAGTTGTGAGGATAATTGGCCAATTAAACCCTTTCACGAGTTGATGAAATCCAGTTGGAACTGGAGCGAGGTGGGGTGGGATGGCCGATAACGGATCGAAGTCGAAATTCAAATACATCCCGTCGAGCGTGCATATATGCACAAATAGAAGTAGCACGATCGCTAGAAATTGCGTCGCCACTTGCGTGCGCACGAGTTTACATCGCGAAGCATCCCTCGCGAGGAACGTCCGGTGTAAGTATTACTTGACTTGCGTCGGCGCCGACCTTATCGCGAGTTGCATGAGTCTAGATCGTTAGCTCGCAGCTTTTGCTCTGTACAACAGCAGCTACGAACGGCCTGTTAGTTTAGATTTCATGATAATCGACGGCAACTAAATTTAGCTCACGCGAAATATTATCTCGTTGGCTGTACGCGCGCTCTTCGCGATAATGTTCAATTTAAGCCAAAGGATACTAGAAAGAACGTCGCTTCCAATTTTCGCGAAATATCTTTCTTTTCATGGCGGTTCAGATAACTGCAGAAAATACTTTTGTGATGGTTTTCTTCATTATTTTCGTTTTTATTGTTCACATTCGACTATTTGTTTCCGTTTCATTATTAGCGTACAGATGAAATTCGACACAGTAAGACGTCTCCAGTTTAATAACCAGAAATTGCGAGCAAAAATGTTACATAAGAAAAGAAATAGCGTTAAAAACTTTCAAGGATATGCAATACGGAAAAATTATAACCAGTAAGGCTTATACCTCGAGGCGTGCGTTAGATTTATAATGTTGTCAACATTATAGTCGCGTCGTACTATTTAAATTATAATAAATACAGCGCGTCGCTTATAAACAAAAAACATTATTATATTATTTAGCCGAGAAAAAGTCAATTCGAATGCGAGATACTACGAGGTAATGTCACTTGCGAATATGCGACGGTTTATGGTTGTCTTGTCAGATCTTGCAACGTTTTCGACTTAAAATAGTAGCTATAATGGGATAATAATTGCGCATCTACGGACGATTAGACAAATAAAAGCATACTATAAATTATTTTTTTTAAGATATTGCATAAAAATTTGTTAAATTAATGATTGAAAATCGATTTTTATATTTAGCCGTTGTGACTTAGAAACAAGTTTCGTTGTCGAGCTTACGAAGACTCCTTTGTCATGAAAATTCAGTAAACTACGACTTCGGTTGCGTAATATTCCGTTTATTACTGTTAAACGTATAATTTGACTGACTACTGCTAAATATGCATTAAATAATTATTTCGTAACTATTTTTCATTTCGTGCGTTGCAAACTCGTTTGAGTTATTAAAGTTATCTAATCTTAACGGTTGAAATTTATGTTTTCGACATACTCTCCAGACATTTCAAAAAAGAAATAAATAATTCATTTTTTTCAATACTATAATTTTCAATCGATTTATTTTTCGCGTGATATTTAGAATTCTAATTAATTGCCAAAATACTTTGATCAGTAGCGGTCAATAGGTTCTGACATTCATAAAAGTACTATACTAAGTTTAGGCAACATGATAATCTTATCGAAAAACTTGTTGCCCATGTGGCATTTAAGAATACGAAAATCTTTTTATGTATATATATATATATATCTAAAATAAGGAAATACTATAAAGTATACACAATCGCTTTTAATGGACGTTGTTAACATTTGACGTAACAATCAAACTCACTTGATGCATCAATCCGCATTTCATTCTTTAGTCCAGCATACAACAGGTATCCGAAAACACTTGAAAAGCTCGCGTGAAAAGCAAGTGATCGCGTTGCTCGCATACAAGTCAAGTTCATTGTTCTTTTTTTTTCTTTTTATCTCTCGCACGAGCTTTAAAACACGCATGGCGTGGGCGCACGCTCGCGCGGCTTATAAACTAGAGCATCGGGCGCGCAAGAACAAGTTTCCCCCTTTCCGAGAAAGCAAGCTCGACTTGCAGCAGCATTCGTACGTGTAAGTTCGCGCGCCGAGCGGGCGTTCCTGCATATGATTTAGCCCGAGAGCGGGGTCGCGCGAAAGCGAGGGCGAGAGGGAGGCAGAAATCCAAGTCGTCGCGCCGCGATCGATTCTTCATATATACTCGGAGCTTCGTACGACCTGCTGATTTAATATTCGACGACGTGGCGATGATTCGCCAGTCAAAGAAGCGAAGAAAAAGCGAGGCTGATTAATGGCCTCGGACAATCGTCGGGTAGGTTTATTGCGCGCTTGAGCTCGACGAGCGCTGCTCCGCCCTCGTAAATCCACCTGATGCGCCTTTGACCAGGGCGAGGCGCCCGTCACCCACTGACGCTCGTCGGCAAGTCCATTTCTGGACTGATTCTCTGTCTAAATATACCAAAGAATTCATACGTTTCGCTTGTTCTTTTTCCTTTTCTTCTTTTCAACATTATTATTGTTTTTGCGATTTCGCGTTTCTAAAAGTAGGGCGCACGGTAATAGCTTTTTTTATCGATTGGTTTAACATTGAAAAAGAAAACGCGAGCGCGCAGAACGAAAGTCAATTAGTCATTTCAATGACTGAAACCTGTCATTTAAACTCTACAAGCTATTAAAGAAAAGCAAACGAGCGAGAATCGTTATAATTGATTTTTCGAAATAAAAAGAAAAAGAAGTCGACGGCAAGCGTTTACGTATCCTTGAGTTTTCTTGAGCAAAAGTAGTGCATAATTTTATCTGTTATCGGTAGATGAATAAATCACGGAGCAAAAAGAAAACTAAGATAACCGTTCGCTCTGTTTAGAGCTAACGTCAGTGACAAACACACGAGATACAAACGCGCGTAGAGTGTTTACGAGTAAATGGAAGGAGAAAGAGCTTGAAACACGAGTGTACTCGATCAACCCTTGGCGACATATCGAAAAAAAAAAAAAAAAAAAAAAAAACTGAACGTCGACGGGTTTCCTTTTCGCGAATTTTATTATTGCTGTTTTTTTTTGCTCGAGTAAGTATCTTATCGGCGAGTCTTGATCGATCGGTCGCTCTTCATAAATACTAAATGCCAGCCGGACACGCTCTATAGGCCCCGGTGTGCTATCCCCTATATACTCGAATGCGCGCGTTCATAAGCAAACGCTCGATTCGCAACCTCGGCCACTCCAAACAAAAGACGCCAACTCATTGTCACTTCTTTACCTTTTGTTATCGCGTTTACCTATTCAAGATTTCACGATGCGTCGTGCAACTGTGCTCGCACCATGTAATTGACGATGGCGAAGTTCGACCTGCTGTGTGCACGACTCGATCGGGAGTCTCATTGCAACATTTTCTTCGTGGCGCGTGTCCTTTGGAACAATGACTGTTAATTCCAACGACCGGAAAGTATTTAAGTTTCGATCAAACGCAAACTTTACTGGCGCTTAAACTTTTCTCAATTAAATTTCATTCAAAAATTCGCTCGCACGAAATTCGAATACTCTATAAACATACATATAAAGCACATACAACACTCACGCAAACAGCTACTTGAAAATATTTTCATGTTTTACGATACAATTTAACGCTGAATATTTTTTTAATGAGTGCCTCCCGTCATAATGACTTCAATTAGTATTGATATTCGATTAGCAGTTGTATGTATACGTACGTGGGTGTGCTCGTTACTTTTTTAGCGGGTCAGACATTAAATCCGTCGAAAGGTATATTTACACGCTAGCCACTTTTCAGCAATTTCACCTTTCTGAACGCTCACTACGCGAGAACTGCGTGCGACGTGATTGCTCGACATTCAAATTTTCAGGATTTTTTTTATTCGTACGCCCTTTTGAAATTGTGAATGTCTTCATTCCCATTGACATTCAAAATTTAATTCAGAGCGTTGCCATTAATAGAACATAAATCGCACGATCGCGCTGTATTACATCACAACGGTAATGGTATTATTCTTTTTATGTTCGAAGGTAAATAATAGCCAGATAAGGAACCCTCAATCGACATATATAAGCATTACGGTGCGAGGGTTGTGCAATAAAGCCCTTCGGAGCATTTTGGCGTATACGGATAAGGATGAATGGTCGGTCAAACAGCGTCAAAGATATGACGCACGTGTTATTAGTCTGTTCGTGATTCGAGTAAAAATCGATAGTGGCTTGGAAGATTCGTATCATAATGCACTTGAAGATATGTCGTCGTTGGCGGCTACTCCGCGGAGATGAGCAAACGGTGACTCATCCAATATCAATGCCACGACAGAGGCGTTGAATACTGCAAATACACTCGTGCTTTTTCAAACTGTCGCCGATATATATTTTCCGACATCATCTGTTCCGAGGCATTCGAGTTCGGGGAGCGGAGAGCTATATTGCCGTGTTTAATTAATGGTCTCGAGCGTATTGCTGAAAAACCGAGCTGTAAGTAGGTCGGCCAAGCGTATATGGATTCGGTGGCGAAGTGACTTTGCTCCGAGCCGATACGCCCGCTCGTCGGTGGGCATGCACGAATTACTAACGACGAGCGTCGCGCGACCGGTACGACTTTTCCTTTGCCGGCGCGCAGATCCGCGCACGACGCGCGACCTCGACGTTCGCGAGACAATAACGATCTTCCCTTTCCGAGCGGCCGCCTCGCGAAGCATCCGCCGCGCCGCGCCGCCTATATCCCTCGGGAAATTCAAGATTACTCGTCGACCGCTGCCTCTTGGTGCAGCGACGCGCGACTTCGGCCGAGCAATCAATCGCCGACAGCTCGCAAACTCGAAGGCGCGAAGAGGGCATCGCGGGCGGGCGCGATCGCCAAGGAAGCTAGCTCGTAATCGCGTCCAGCTAACCCAACCCCAGGAGCAGCGCGCGCGGGGGTGGCGGCGCTCGGCCGGAAAGAGGGCTGACATCCGCGGGCGCGCGCCAACGCGGAGGAGGACGGCGCGAGCAAAGGAGGGACAGGGGGAGAGAGAGAGAGAGAGAGAGAGAGAGAGCGCGCGCGAGCGAGGAGCAGGAGGGGGGAGGTAACCATCGTGACGACGTAAGGCGAGGCGAGGCACATAGCCGGCCAGCAGTCGCGCGCAGTTTATAGCCGTCGACGGAGTTGTCGCATCGCGCGACCCACTCGCCGTCCGTTCGCTCTCTCTCTCTCTCTCGCTCGGTCGCTCGCTCGGTCTCTGTCTCTCGAGGTATGCGCCTCGCTGCGGCAGTTTTCGGTTAATTTCGACGAGCGGCCTGCCTTCTTTGCCTGTTTCTCGCCTCGAAATTACGGGAAGGGGGGTAGGGGACACGCGGACCCGTCAATCGCTCGCGCCGGGCCTCTCGCTCGGTCGCGCTTATTTTTGGCCGACCTCGGGCCGCAAGCTTTTCCGATCCATCGCCGGCGATCATTACGTAGGTAACGAATCGCGCTTTGTCCTCGACTCGTTAACGCCAATGTGTGTGCGTGCGTGCGTGCGTGCGTGCGTGGTTGCGTGCAGCGCGCTGCCAGTGAGATCAGCGCCGAAAGGAAGTGAGCGTCGATGACGAAGTGCGTAATCGGCCGCGAAGAGGCGAAGACCGCGGCGCGGCTGCTCCTCGGCGAGCCAGCTTCGAAGAGGAAAAAGGGAGGAGAAAAAGGCCGGCCGCGACGCGCCCGCTGTCTGCCAGCGCGCCTCCGTGTGCACGAACGCGCGGCAGCGCTCGAACGGGACGCGAGATATGCGATTTCAATTGATACAGGCGCAGAGATTCTTGCGTCACCGAGCGCTCGACCGGTCGGACGATGCAGCAGAATGTTGTTGTTTTGTTGCTCGGCTTTGTTTGGCCGCTCCACGCGTGGCCCCGTTAGCCGCGGGCGCCTCTAGCTCGAGCGACGAGCTCTAGATAGAATCGGAGCGCTTTCTTACGCGCGAAAATCGATCTGCTTAACAGTTTGGCGTAAAATCGCAAAATTCCCGCGACAAAACTTCTTGCCGCGCGGTTATTTCTAGAGGCGCTTTAAGAAGAGTCGATAGCTCTTTTAACGCGTATTTCATTGCCTTCGGAGTCCCCTTGCCGTTTCGATCGTGCGAAATAACGAACGCTTTGTCATTTTCCGCGTGACTTGAATTAATGGCAAAGCAAATAACAGGCTTGTTAAGATCGAGCGACTGTGCCAAATTAAGAGCAACAATGTTCGAATTAAAAGTAATGCCGATCGCGCAGACCTTGTTTGTCCAATTTCGCGCAACGTCATAATGATTCTTCGTTTATGAAATTGAATCTTAATCCAGCTTTATCGCGTTTCGCGCGCGTGATTTAGCAGGGCAATGAACTGCACCAAGCAGTACAGACTAATATTTCCGAAGACTAGGTTCAAGCTTGTCTCGGGTCTTATTTTTCAATCAATTAATTGCCTTATTTTTTATTTCAGTCGACAATAGTGAACCGAGCTATATGCCAGATATCGGATGAAGAACATCGACGGATATAGATTGCGGATGAATTATTTTTTGAAGCGATCGTAAAGACAAAGTTGGATGTTCAAACGAAACATATCGAGGTAATAGCCTTGTGAAAACAGGATGAAGGCTCTTGATTCGTTGCATTCACGGAGTCAGTTGCCTGAAGTAGAGTGTGCTGGACTGGCAAGTCCTATTATCAACGCAATAGATCTAAGTGGAGAGGAAGCAGTTTACAGTATTGTGATCCAAGCGTAGTACCTAGTAAGACGCGCTGGAAAGCGCGTTTACATTTTCACGCGGATAGAAAAGTATGTGGACGGTTGATCGAATGACAATTGATTGAATCTTTCCTGTCAACGTATAATTTGTCGTAATATCGAGACTCGTAGTTTAACTGAGAATCCAAGAATTTCTATATCGACTCCACAGAGCTACAGAAAACAAAAGAAACAAAAACTGGTCGCAATGGAAGCTGCAGCTATGCCACATTTGGGTCAAGCCGCTTCGGCAGCTTGTAAAATGGCTTCAAACTTTTTGGCTCCTGTGAAAACAGAATGTCAGATTTATGAAAATTCTATGCTAGAAGATGATCCTAATGCTAATTCCGAAACGATCGCGCCTATATCAACCGAAGAAAGATCGGCTCCACGATGGGGTCCGAATCATAAAGGGGCGCAAGAGCTGGCTGGTTTATATAGTAGAGGTAAATTATCAACTAATTGCACATTTTCCCAATGGCTAGAAAAACAATTAAACGAAAGGCGAATTTTTTCAGGGAAAAGAATTCAAGAAATAATTTGCCTGTCTTTTTGCATAACTCTGATGGCTCTCAACTTTCTGTTTATACTTGTACGAATAAAATTGGAAAACTTGAGTTCAATCATTGTCGCAGCATTATGTGGAGTTGTCACGGCTGATTTTATTTCTGGTTTTGCACACTGGGCAGCAGACACGTGGGGATCTATCGAGCTGCCAATTGTAGGAAAGGTATCAGTTTGACAGCCCAAGCATACTGCTCTACAAGTTTCTCATGTCGACTTATCGAGGAATTTTGGTTTTAGAATTTTCTCAGACCGTTTCGTGAACATCATATCGACCCAACTAGTATTACGAGGCATGATTTTATAGAAACAAATGGTGATACATTTGCAGTTACCATACCAGTGCTGTGCAAATTGACGTGGGACTTTATTTTCTTGCCTGAAGCAGAAATCCAAAGAAAATTCTTCTGGATAGGTTTTTGGTTTCAACTGACGATATTTGTAGCGTTGACTAATCAAGTAAATGCTTATATTCATGTAAATCTCAAAGGCATTAAGATTTCATTCGTTGACCAATCATTTGTTTATATTAATAGATTCACAAATGGTCTCACACTTACTTTGGGCTACCTTCATACGTTGTTTGGCTGCAGGATCATCGAATAATCTTACCCAGACGGCATCATCGTATTCATCACGTTGCACCGCATGAAACGTATTTTTGTATTACAACTGGTTGGTTGAACTGGCCTTTGGAAAAACTGCATTTTTGGTACATTTTAGAGTGCGTCATAGAAGCTACGACGGGCTGTAAACCTCGAGCGGACGATATGAAATGGGCCCAGAAGCGTTCTTGAGGTACTAACCAAGCGGCATTTGTTTTTGATAATAATTTTGCATCGGCAAACTTATCAATTTTTCTAATCATACGATTGATATCGAATCATTTTTCACGTTTCGATTGGTATTTTCGTTGGTTCTTATTTTTGTAAACCAATAACAAGTATTCTCAAGATGCTCCGCGAAACGGTCACGCAATAATATTGTTAAAGCGTGTATTTTGTATTGGAAGGAATGCCGATTATAAAAGCCTTAAAAGACTGCATGAAGCGTAACGGAATAACGGACTATAAGGTATTGAATGCATACACAAAAAGAATGAGTGTGTGTGAACATTTTAGATGATACAAATAGACGAGTATTTACAAGAAAAATTCTTTAGTCATGAAAATATTGCAGTTACGTATAGGATATTAATGTTGAATATCGACGGAGTTTAAACACAAAGTGCATATTTAAATACAATTTTTACGAAAGCGATACTATATTCTAAATGTAAAAGTATAATTTTTTCAATAAGTATAGTAATGACAGTCCGAGAATATTTTTCCAAGAAAAATTTAATAGTAAATTTAAATATTTTATGAACTCGAACTGCAACTTTTATGTCAGCAGTGGATATCGAATGAACTAGTAGTCAGAACGTCGCGTGGTTAATATAAGCTTCTGATATAAAATTTATACGTAGGTATGACACGCGTGTCAAGACGATGAAGATTTTTTATATTATTAAACGTATGCGCTTGGCCAATTTACATTACCTTTATTCGGACATGCATCGCACAAAATTTCCCTGAACCTCTTATATTCACAGAACAATTTCAATCAGATTTATAATTAATAAGTGCTTCATGATGTTTTGTTGTTCAACCGTTTTATGGATACACACTGTTATGATCAAAGATAAGTTATCCCGATATTCAATTTGTATGTAACGTGTTTTTTATATTTTACAAATTTTAGATTCTTTTTTATTCATGTTTTATTTTCATAGATATATTTGGCGTTTCAATGGATAATTCAAGATAATTGAACGTACTCAAGCGGTTGACATTTTGATATTAGGAGGAATTTGCACACTTGCACATTTTTTACGTTATTTTATATCGGAAGCATTATTTCAAAATCTAATTATCTTTAAGTCTTTCTTTAGTTTATACATAGTTGTTACTCACGAATAAAATTTAATCGAGCAATTTTTGAAACTACTCGTAATTATTCCATAATACTGTTTCATACAATTTCTTTTCTGCAACTTCCACCTAGATTACCATTCTCAGAGCACAATATGTATTTAAAAAAATGTAAGGTGTTAAGTACGCATACAGCTAGAAGGTTCAGGGACCAAAGAAATGGTTAATTAAAGCGGTTTATAATGATATCGCTAAAAAAAGTTTGACACAAAGTGCTAACGAATAAACGCGTTTGTAAATAACGCAATGCTGTATTAATAAAAATTTTTAATGTAGTTATTTATAGCAACAAATTCATGTAACATAGTTCCTTTTATTTGGAATGGATCGAGTTTATGAACAAAGTTATTGCTATCAAAAATGTTTATATTGTGGCAGCTTCTGTTCCAAAGAAAACTATAATATATTGCTTGTTATATTGTTAATGCAAAAGATTTTATTTGAATAAAATTTTATATTTTTACAATTTCGACGTTCGCAAGTTTACCAATTTTATATATTTTGAAAATATATTACCTAAATACAAAGAATTATTGATCGGAATTGATTTGTTAAATTAAAGAAGAGCACATTTGCATAATGGAACATAATTTTCAATTTAATTTTAATAACCTGTATTTTTTCTATTCATCAAAATCTTTCACATTGCAAAAAATAAAAAACAGTTTAACAAACCGCTCATCAGTTTGCCTAAATTTTTGTGTCAATTTTATACAACTTCAAAAAATAGTTTTGATGCTTTTGCGCATTGGTAGCGAAGCAATACACAAAGATTACAATAATAAAAAAATTTTACTTCTTTAAAATTTTTTTCACGAGAAAAGATTAATAATACTTCTCACGCTTAAGTTCTCTAACTATATTTGTGTGATATCAAACAAACAATAGTAAATGTTTTCATTCTAATTAACGATGAAAGTAATAATTTTGATGCGCATATATATTTTGAACGACGTCATAATTTAGCATTTAATTTTTATGAAAATCTTTTAACTATTGATAGTAAAGTGTAGTAGTATACACAGAAAAGTCCATGCACACGAGAATGAGGAGGCTTGAATTAAAATAAGAAAAAAGTGTCTGTGCTTACTGCAAGCGAAATATTTATAAATGTATACAAAAATTAGACTATGTCTGAGGCAGAATAAACAAAATACGATGAAATCTTGAAACTCCGAAGTCTGCATAATTATGTAAAGATTTTTACGAACACGATAATAGCACGTACGTCAGATAAAAGCTTCAATTATCTGTAACTTTTTATTCCACTGAATACATCATTGGAGTAAATAAAACATATTTAAATTAAAAGTCTGTAAATTGCTTCAGGAAATTGAAACGACGTAATTTTATATTTTAGAAGTTTCCGTATTTTATAACAATTTAAATAACACGATTTCTACTTTGTTAGTAATGCATTGAGTGATGAGAAAGCTACGTCATTTTGTATAAATAGCTGTATAATGCTGCGTTTAAAGAAAGTTACAGGACAATGATAACGTGAATAGAAATGTTCATTCAAAATAAACATAGTACCAAATATTTGACCTTTTCAGAATCTCTTAAATTAGAATATATTTACAATTTGTCAATCCGCTGTAATCAGTTTTTTAAACTGGCTTCAGAAATTATATACATCTTAATAGCCTGAGTTAACGATAAAATATTTTAATAAAAAAATGTCATTTAATGCTATGAGCGGAAATAAAAATATGACTTCTAAGAAAATTGATCTGTTAAATATACCCTTAATGTTTTTAAACTTTTAGCATGCATGACGTGTTATATAGATTCATGTTAGAAAAAACCGATAGACTACTATAATTTTTTAAATTTGCAAACTCTTTTCCATTTATTGGTAATAGAATTTTTCATAAAAATAATATATATCCTTAGAATTAACTTATTTATATATTTATATATCAAGGTTTTTTATTTCAACAAATTTTCACTTTTTTCACTATACACTTCACTTTTCTTTCTTTTTCTGCGCACGTTTATTCATACATTTCTGCAATAAGTTGGAAACGTTAGGTTTATGATCAAACATACTCATGAGCTGCGTGCGAGCTTCATTCATTCCGTCACTAATTAAGTTACTACGCTGCATATTTCCTTTTATCAGTTCATTCACTTTTTCCAGGTGATCATTTTGACCATCCCTATTTTGTTGATTCTCCAACAGTGTAAGTGTACCTCTTAACTTTTCATAAACCTTTAATCAAAGTTCATTCAATGATCATCTTTTAATGGCAACTACCAACAATAAATTCGTTTACAAATTATATATTTATATACACACATACCCATTTTTCTGTTTCGGCTAGATCTTCCATTTGCGCCGTCAAATGATGTACTTTCCATCCTTCTATTCTTTTCATTATATCTTTTTCTTGAGCAATTTCATAAATAGTTGGCTTATTTTCTATTTTAGCTTTTACATCGCTTGGTCGTTTGAAATGATGCATCCGACCATTATACTGATTTTTGTACCCAGGTTCTAAAAACAATATCAGATTTAATTATATATACATATCAAAATTACATCGTTAGACGATGAAAAACTCTTACCTAAAAGAGTCGGCCTATTTTTTTGATTCGTTTGTTGAGATTTCGCTTCCTGTTGGGAGGTAGATCCATGCTTTCTATCAACGTATTTGTCTTTTGAATCTTCCTTAACATTCAGAAGATCCTTTCTAATCTTCTCCTCCGTAATGAACATCATGTCCTCTTTACACAAAGATTCGGTGATCTCCACAGCGGTTAATTGTTGCTTACGTGGTTTCTTGCGCGGCGACATTTCTACCGTTGGATTGATCGTAATGCGAGACTGCTCTGGTTCTTCATCGAGACCAGGTGACGATGTTGCAGAGACTGTCGTAGAGCCAGAGCTATGATTGCCACCGTTGTCTCGATCACCTTTCGGTGAACTTGGCGGACTCACGTGCAATGATGTCCCAGGTAAAGATGCTAATACAGGCACTAAATTTTTAGCTACGCCTACTTAAAACAAAAAATCAAACTTTTAGTAAAACAGAAGTTTTGATAGTTGAAAGATTGTTGCAAATAATCGTTACAAATAATTACTTTTTCCTGGAGACCCATCGTGCTCTCTTTTCCTTAAAATGCTGGGTCTGGGTGATGCGTTTGGTTTCGCGAGAGGTTCTTCGTATCCTTGTTCAACAAGTAACCTGACTGGCTGTACAGAAGTCTGGCGATATTGCGAATAGGCACCTAAATACAACGAATCAGCAATGTTACTTTTTAACCCTTTATAACTTTAATTCAAAGTACAAAATCTGAAATCTTACCCGACGGTTCGATAGAGTAATAAGTGGTGTGCTGCGAATGCAAATACTGTCCTTGCACTTGGGCAGACTGTTGACTTGCTGCGCTGGTCGACGCAACGCTCACGCTGTTCAAACCGGTAATTTGCCGTGGTATCGTCGACGATGTTTGTACTTGCTGTTGTTGCTGCGATTGCTGCTGCTGCTGCTGGGGTTGAGACTGTTGCTGTTGAGATTGGATCGTCGCCGAGGTTTGTTTCAACTGAACCGCTTGTATAGTAGTTCCGGTCGGCGTCTGAGTGGTGACCTTCAGTGGCGTACCTTGAGGTGTTGTCCTTGCTGGAGTTAGTGGTAACGGATGCAAAGACATACTCGCGATGCGCGCCACTGGAGTTGAACCCGTCTGGGCGACGCGCGCTACTCCTGCTGCTGATGAAGTTGTAGCTATTACCCGCGATACTTGACTGAAGTTAACTGGTGTTACGGTTTGAACGACACGAGGAGTGGTTTGTTGTTGTTGCTGTTGCTGCTGAATCTGTAAGTATTTTTTATATTATCGGTGGTCTTTTTAGATGAATTTTGTTTAAGATCCTTAGATTTTTGACATCATTGATTCCATTTTTGACTTGAAATTGAAGAATTAGGCACATTTGTCAATACTCTACACTAATAAGAGTATTCCTTTTCCTATACCTTTTTCCAAGATCGAAGCACGTCTCGAAAGGACAAGATGAGAAATATAATTATACTAGTATAAAAGATGAACGATAATTGTATAAGAAAAAGGGTTAACTTATGAAGCGTTATTCTTTTATTATTACGTGTATAACGATGATTATTTCCAAAACAGAAACTTGAATGATGCAACAGCTCGTTCAATAAAAAAATTTTACGATATTTTTTTGAGTCATTATGAATACCTTAGCAGGAATTTAATAAATGAAAAAAGAATTGTAACTTACAGCTTGTTGAGGAATGACAATGCGACTAACAGTGCCAGTGGATGTAGCTGCGGCAGTGTTAATGGTTAGCTGTCGGTTAACGTTTGTTTGTACTGAAGTTACTGTAGCTACTCTATTCGATGCTCCCATCACCGGAGCCGGAACGGCTATACGACTTATAGGAGTGCTTATAGGTCTACCCGTTTGACTGGTCTGAAAATTTACGAATTGAGCTATAAAAGTTGTTAAAAATTGGTGCGTCGTGAAAATGGCTTGTTACTTTTGTTCGAAGATGCAATAACGGAAATCACGTGTTAATGAGATCGAAGTAACTTATCATCCACACTTGTGCGAAGATAAACTGAATATTTTACGTGATCCATAATGAAGTTCTGTCTAAAGTTCTGTTTAGTTTGTGCCGCAATACTTCACCGGAGAAAAACAAACAAAAATGGAAAGAGATAAAAGAATGAAGCTAGCGGTGATTCTTTTTTTAATGCGTATGAAAAGTCCCCGTGAAACGACGCAAACAAAAGCTAAGATGCAAAGAACTGTCACCTGTATAGTTTGCTGCACGGGTCGAGCAGCCTGTGAGACCTGCGGTAAGCTGGTGACAACCTGAGGAGTCGGTGGCCTAGTAGGAGCAGGCAAGCGAGTAATGGTACTGTTGGGGGCTTGCAGTTGCACCGGTGTGACGAGTCTCGGAGTAGCTGTGACGACGGTCGCTTGTATCGGCCTGCCCTGAACGCTAATTTGGCTTGGAGTGACGAGGCGCGGTTGTTGCTGTTGCTGCTGCTGAGGCTGCGTTTGCTGTTGTTGCGTCTGCTGCGGTTGGCTTGTGTAGACCGTCGCGGTCACCGGTCGCACAGGTGGACGAACGACTGGCACCGATTGTTGCCGCTGCGGCTGAGCGTACACCACTGATGTCGTTTTTGGCGGCCACTGCGTGCTCGAGACCGTCGTGCTTATGCTGTCGAAGGAGCAGACATTTTGGGCATTATCGCTTCAGTACCAATTGATCGTTGTACACGCATTAAAAATATACTCGAATGTGGTCGATGCGATGAGAGCTTTTTCTTTATTATTTTGGCCTGTATTTATATTGATCTTCCAATCGTGATTACTTCTGTATGTTAGTATAACGCATTGCTTGGTGACTTCATGATTTAGTACGGATGGTGCGCATGCTTTTAATTGTTGAACAAATTATGAATATTATGTCATTGACATATCTTCATTGATGAACTGATGATTTGGACATGCATTTGATGTGTGATATTAAATAATATTTTAAGTATCAATTACCTAGGCATAGACGTAGATCTTGATACACTTAAATCAATAAGATTACAAGAAGCCTCGGAGGCTCGACGCATCTTATCAAACTTCAGTGGAACTCTAAATAGCACACGCGCATACATACATACCCAAAAGATTAGTGTAAAGAAAAAAATATAGTGGTGAAAAAAAAAAATAAAAAATTTCTTCTGAAAAAAATATATATATTGCGAAGCGTTATTTACCGAGGATTGGTAGTAACCGGTGATTTACAGTAATCAATAACACTAACACGTTTAAAGGTGACTTTTTCCGTCGTACTTGAGGCTTTGGTGACTGGCGCAGGTCCACGAGGTTCAACGACTATCGTTGGATTACTATAATAGCACGCAAGCAAACACGCATACATAGCACACGCAAATAAAAGAACAAAAAATTAAATGTATGTTAGATACATTCATTAAGTTTGTGTTTTACTTTGCACAGTAAAAACTCTTAATTTTGCATTTAATGTAATTTAATTGGTAACAAGCTGTTCATCTAATTTTCCCAGTTCTGTTAATTCAATGATTACATGTAAATCATATAGCATCATTCCTTAGCAAAATGTGAGTTTAGTTCATGAAATTTATTAAATGTGTGCACTCGGTATAAGCATAAAAGCATAGTGCTGTGCGCATGCATTTTTTGAAGTTAAGTTTGAAAGCAGATTTTGATGGTTGAAAGCAAACATTAGAATAATTTAATAATTTATAGCAATTATAATGGTTCTTTTTCCATTCATCATCTAATTCAACAAAGCTAATTTTTAATCAATGCTTTATATGTGATATGATATTCCAGGTAAAGCCTTTTGATCTGTTTAATAACTATCAAAACAAAAAATCTATTCGACTTTACAATCAATTTAATATTTCCTTTTATATATGTTCATATTGAAATAACAATGTTTACAGGACTTGAATTTGGTTATCATTATAAATATCATTATAAGTTACTCCATTATGAATTGTGTAAGTAGATTGTGCAATAAAATATTTTTCTGCACCATACGTATATTTATCAAATTATTAAACTCTAATCTACTTAAACAATTGAAAACTGGATTTTTGGCAATAATAATTTATCGATACACATAACATTATATATAATTACCCTGGCCTGGAAACAGGTATTGGTTGACTAATGGCTCTCAGTGGTGTGGCCACTGTGGCTCTTGGTGTTGAAATATTAGCTACTGCAGCAGGACCTCTTGGTACATGATATGTCGATGGAACGTTGCTCTGCTGAGAAGTTTGTTGAACCTGTGGCTGACGCTCAATTGAACTGATCATGCTTGGTGTAATTATTCGAACAGTTGATCCAGGAACAGCACAGAACTATAAAAATTTATGATTAAATTTAGCACTCTTCATTATTGATATATGTGGAAGGTTATCATTCATATAGTACATACTGTAGGAGCTATTTTACTATCAGAAGATCCAGCGACATTAGCTCCAATTGGTTGTTTCATTAATAGTTTTGGACTGAGTTCTAGCGATATCGATTTACCTACTAAAGTGGCAGTTTGTCCTGTAACAGCTTGAGCTGTTTGTATGCTCTGAATATTACTTGGTACAACATTTTGAACACTTTGAACAGTTTGTATGCTTTGAATAGTAGTTAAGTTCTGAGGAACAGTCTGCACAGTTGTTTCTGTGGCAGACTTATCTTGCCCTCCATCGGAAACACTGTTATTTCCACTCATATTGTTCAATTTTAAATACTAATTGGCACTCAAGTTCATACAAAATTTACAAATGTGACAACTCTGACTTAAAAATTGATTCTATATGATGTAAACGAAATTTAATAATAAAATTAACAACGTATCTACAACAGAATGATTCATGGAAATACTAATTAAAAATCAATTCAGTTATGTACAATCTCCTTGAGAATTCATTTTCCGACGGTTACACACATTCAACTTTTCACAACAGCGAAAGTAAACATCCTCCGTTTCAAAGTCAAATTAAACAACGTCCAATCAGAGCTAAGATGTAAAAATCAATCGGCACCATAACAAAACACAGTTGTTCTAGAGTACAACAGTTCACATAAAAGGTTAGGTCGGCATATTTTTTGCTGAAAGCCAGTATCGCCCTGTAGATTATAATTTAATAGTTTGTTGATTGTCAATGTCGATGAGGCAGCTTTTGCGTGCCTTAAATTCCACTTTATCGCGGCATAGAGGGTGCTCGTCCTTGTTGTGGCGATGATGCCGACGCATCTCCTCGTCTTCGAGAATCCACTTGTCCGACAGCGGCCGTCAGGCATTCGCGCGCTTTTCCAACTCCAAAAATTTTTCCGAAGGCGCAAAGATGATTTTTTTCACAATTGATTAAAAATTTAATTGATATATCCCAAAAGTAAGAATAGAATATAAGGCAAATCCAACAGTTCGCTTTTCACTTTGAGAGCGGCTGTTTCAAGTTCTTCCCCCACAATCGCACGCACAACGTATACACACCAACACTAAGATATCCAGTGCGTGTATCTGCATATTATTACGTGAATGTGTTGGTATAGTCATATAAGACGGGGGTAGGAGCACGTTGATTGGTTGATTTAGTTTAGAGAGAGGAGAAACAAACAATGCAGCGCCAAGTGCACATAGAGCAGAGCGGTTTTTCATGGCTCATCAGTACTGTTTCTAACTCTTGATGAGTTGTTTCTAATTTTTTATAATTCAATCCAGTATTGTTTTCAAGAGAAGTGTTGGCTTAACAGAAAACACGTATCAACATAGCTTTTACATTGGTGGTGTTTGGCTGTGTTCTTTCATCTGCTATTCCCTCATCGATATCGAATTTGAACTGAAAGTGGTATTATCTGGTTATACCACTGTGTGCGTAGTGTGCGCATTAACGGAGTCAACATACATTGCGCAGTTTTTTGTCGAACTCTGTTCCCGTTCGGACTTGGAAAGACACGGAGATTGAGAGAGAGAGAGAGAGAGAGAGAGAGTGAGAGAGAAAGAAAGAGAGAGAGAGAGAGAAAGAGAGAGAGAGAGAGAGAGAGAGTGAGAGAGAAAGAGAGAGAGAGAGAGAAAAGAGGAGAGAAAGAGACCGATATCGAAAGCAGTCGTTGGACTGTTCTACACGCCGATAAATCATAATCAAAGCCAGCATAGTTGCAACGGTCGAAAGTGTAAGCGCAAGCTGTAAATAAAACGGATCAGCTGATGAGTGACAGCTGCTTCAGCGGAACAATCGTCGTCGCCAAGCAGAACAGTAGGGATTATGGCACGGGCACGAGATATGGTGTCGAGCGTCAGCTCGAATGGTTCGTCCACGGCGCCCGAAAACTTTCTGCTGTCATCCGACCTTGACGATGACAATAATCGTTCTGGATACAATGTGCTCCGTTGTCCGCTGTGCCAGAATGAGCGCAGAAGCTTCTACTGCAAACACTGCGTACAGCACGGCGAATTCGTACACTCGATATCAGTCTACTCAGAAAGGTTAGCCTTCCTCCTTTTTTTCTACTTGTACTAGGCTCAATTGTTATTGTCTAGCTGAGTGTTTGATTTGTTTAGTTGTATCTGCCCGTGTACTGAATTATTCAAGCATTGTTACAAGTTGTCTTTGCTTTTTAACTCTTCTGCGTACATTTTTTTTACGCAGTGCATTTTTCTGCTACTCTTTTAGAAGCTTATTAGATAATTTGACTTGATAAATATGATGGAACTACTACTTTCTTTATTATATTGTCATCTATTTATGTCCCACTATTAACAAATAAATTAAATCTTATTCTTGAAAACAATTAACAGAGATTAGCAGGGAGATTGGTGGAGATATGTATGTTCGACCGTGCGCTGGTTATTTTTCAGGGCGATCCTAGCGGCCACGACTGAAACTATAGAAGCATCTATATTCGTTGAACTAGTATAGTTAAAATGGGACGGGAGATAGACAAGCTGGCTTTGAGGCTTGTCTATGAGGCCAAAAAAGATAAATGCTCAAGCGCTAAGCGTCTGCCTTTGGTGATGAGGCGATAAGATGTTTTGGTTGTAAGGATACGAAAAAACAAAAGTTTTTGTCAGCTAAATAAGAGGGAGCAGGGAGATGTCTTAAGAAAACTGTCTTTTAGCTTTTTTTTGCTTTTTCTTGTCGTTATAACAGGTCAAGTTCAAATGAATTTTAGTTAAATTAGGTCGATTTCTATTATTCCAAAGTGAAATGTTTATTATTCATATACGAGATATTGTTTTGATTTAATTCCGAAAAAAATGATTTATCCATCTCCTATCCTTTTTTTGCCAGATCAACGAATATAGACGCTTATATACATACGTCTAGCAATCTCCCTTCTAATCTCTGCAACTGCAATTAGCATGTTGGCTGATGATAGTGTTTCGACATGTGCGAAAAGTGTATTGTTCCCGTACGTTCTGCTGATAACATGAACTTAAAAGTTGAGTTTTCCATGCGTTTCAAAAAATACCATACTCAACAAGTTCTGGAAAGAGATTTTCGCGTGACACTCATGCCCGACCGACCTGAGAGGGTTACCTTACTCGAGACAAGAGAGCCCGAATACAGTTGTAGATGTTTGCACCGCGGGATAGTATATAGTCCCCTATAGACTGCCGAGGTTCCTGATCGCTTGAAGCGTCGATCATAACAACTAAAGTCGCAGCGACAGCATCAGTACTGAACAACTTTTTTTTTTACCATTGGTTAATTCGTTCACGAAAAAACACTTTAACAAAAATAAAACAAGTCTAGGGTTTTAGCTCAGATCAAACTAACCGCACTCATACATTATTTAAGTGATTAAAAGTAATAAAAACTTTCGGCCTACAGTTGTTGACTTAGGACAAAAATGCCGAAGTGATGTATATGCTTCTCGGATTACCCCGAATACCACTATTCTCATTGTTTACTACAAAGCTGAGATCGCTGCATCAGATCAAACGAACTACTATAGAGTATTAATCTATCGATATTTAACTGGAAGATGGAATTTAAATAAATTTTGGTATCCTGACTCTTCTGAAAAACACTTATAACAATAGACTGTTCAATAACCGGAATTTATTTCAATTTTACCGCAACTCTGATCTGTGTACTAAAACCTAATTCCTAAAACTTATTTTATTTTTTGTAAAGGATTTTTTGAGGACAAACTGACCAATGGTAACGAAAAAAGTTGTTGCTTTATTAATGAACGTCCTAATGACATAATTAGTTTATTCATTACCTTAAAACAGTCAATTCTGTGTGCTTTTTTTATGATTTTAAATTTGCAGAGAATCAGTACAATAGAAACCTCATAAGACGGCACCGTATTTACTGATTGAATGTCAACTGCTAGTTCGGAGTCATAAGAATACAAATATCAAAAATATCCGATGGTGAATTTTATTTTTTTAATTGGAAATATTTCGGTTCCTAATCACTTAGATTTTTAAGTAAATTCCGTTGGAGCTTGCAGAGCAGTTCGCAAGCACAGTTTGGAGTGTCTCAATTTCATAAGTTTTAATCTTATATCTTCTTCGGGTTTGTTCGTACAAAAAAACCATCTACGTTGGCTTTATATTGAATTTAATGCACTTTTACCTGGCGTAGATCGATTAAAAACAATTCAGCCTTTTATTTTCTAGAACATTTTTTGAAATTCAATTAACAAAAGTGGAGATATCGTAAAATCGTTATATTGGAGTCTGCTCGTTTTATGCGAGCAGACTCCAAAAAGATATAAGGATAAAATGAAACTTAGATGCTCCAATTCTGCTTGAAAGTTCCAATAAAATGTATATAATAATTTAGGTAAGTGATTGGGCACCGGTATACTTTCGATTAAAAAAATAAAATTCGACGTCGGAAATAGTTGATAGTTGAGGTTTTTTCGACTTATCTTCTCCGAATTACAGACGATAATTCTAATTATGGCTTTGGTAAGGTTGAAACATTTTTCAAGCCTCAAAATCGAAACCAAAGTAACGAATACTGTCTATGATTACGTTTGTATCGCAAGATTATAAAACCTCAGCGCTCCCTTCACTTGGCTGCAGTAGTTCCTTGACTGTACTCACGCTTTTCTCGGCTAAAGTACGTAAATACTATCAAAATTTTAGGTCATGTTTTAAATCTAGAAAAATGTTGCAAGCATTTTTTCATAGCAAAATAAATTTGATTTTGGCAAATTGTCTTATATATTTATTAAATAATCTTCACAGGTTTATAGACAAGCAGCAGCGACTATTTAGAATACAAAAATCAACAAGCCAGTTACGAGATCGATGTTCAGACGCCTTTGAAAAACATAGACGACGTGCTGAACTAGTAAGTAATTATATTTTTTAAATAATTAATAATAGTAACCAGTGGCTTATTTACTTATGAACGAATTAAAGTTTTATTTTTTGTTTTACAGCTCTATAATATAAATGTTTGCAAAGAAAGAATAAGACTGTTGAATGAAATTAAAAGCGAAACTAGCCAAAACATTATTAAAGGTAACTTTATTTCTAGCAATGGTTCGTAAGATTGTAACAATTAAGCATTAATATTTTTCTAGGTAATGAATCGATTAATGCTTTAAAGAAAGTCAATGTCGATACAGCTCTAAGATTACCAAAACATGTAGAGCAAATAGAAAAATTACGTAAAAAAGTAACAGATATGAAAATAAAAAAGGAAAAACAAAAAGAGTCTGTAGAAAAAAAGAGACAACAATTGAAAAAAGTGATACGAACGGCTGTAAAGCAATTGATAAAGTACATCTTTCCTCTTAGCATAGTGGAGCCCAGTAAGAGGTAATGTTATGAAAAATAAATATCAAAATATTTTCTAGTTTATTCCTATAAGAAAACTAATATTTATTTAGAATATTTTATTATTATAGCAACGAAGGTGATCAATCTAGTACAGATGTTGTTACTTCTGCTATTGCTGATGCTTCAGGAACATCATACGTTCGTGGTAAATGGATCAATGATACAGAAAATAGCCTAAAGATCCATCATAAAATTGTTGCACCAACTCTGCCTGGATCTGGAGATTACAGTGCTTATACTCTATGGAGTAAGTTAATACATCGAATTACGAATACCTATTTTGCCCCGTTATCTATTAATCAATAATTACTAATTTGAGCTTTCCATTTCTTATTCTATTGAACATTTAATTAATTTCTTCCCTTATAGTGTCTGAAAATAGAGACGGTGTACCTAGTGGAAATAAAGGGAATGTCATGCACAATCCTGCATGGAACACAGTCGCCGCTTTGACGTATGCTTCACAACTTGTAAATGTTTTATCTTACTACCTCAACGTCCGGCTACCATACAAGTTAGCATACAGGTATGCCAATAAATATAAATCTTAATATTTTTATATAATTTCGTGATATTTGTTTGTATAAACTTTTATGATTTCAGTGAGTTTTGTGGAAGTGAAGTATCTGATCAAAAATTTGCAAAGAAGGTAGCTAGACTCAACAGCAATATTTTGCATCTTTGCTTTACACAAAATACAGATACATCAGTATTACAACCAATGCATACTTTACAAAATCTTATGTATTTACTTAATACTGATGTTAGTGATTTAGGAAGGTAGTGGATCTTTTTATATAAAATAATTTTTATCAAAATATTTACAAGAGTTTTATATAATACTTGCGTCTATTTATTGTTCATTTTCTAAAGGGTGGGTCCTATTGTAGTCGACCCTGTTATCATCACTAACTTATACAATCAGTTAGTTCCCGATTTAGAAAATAGCGATGATTCTACTTCTGATGAAGAAGAAGATGCTTTTAATTGGGAGTGGGAAGCGGTAAGTTGAAAATCAAATTTGTGAATATGGTTGCACATGAGTGTAAGTGGAATGAGGTTACTATTATCATACAAATGTGTTTTTCTTACGTTCACAAAATCATGTCTGCCGTTAGAATTTTATATACAATACTAATAACTTGAATATAAATATCATCTATTTCGTTACAGGTTCCGAATATAGCCTGTCCTGAAATGGTTATTCCGATTCCGGGTGCAATGAATAGTCAATCATCCAGCATGCAAGTAAATCAAAGTGTTGCAGGAGGTTTGGTAACTAGCGCGGCAGCAAGTATTGCTTCCATTTGGAGAGGCTGGACAACCAATTAGATTTTTAGTTATTTAGATTCGATTTACTGCAGGCAGAAAAATGTTTATTATTTTTTTTTTTATTCAACGAAACGTTTTCAAGTTTCAACATTTGATTATGAAATATTTTCATACATGAAGTTTAGAAAAATTTTTATATCTATAATTCATAATCGGGAAGTCATTTTTTCCAGTTAATTCATTAATTATCTTAGTTAAATTTGTACATTTTTTCAGTATATTTGTAATTATAATGATAGTCACTAAAGTGATAGTTAATTTAAAAAAAATATTTTGTAATAAATATTTCTATGATTTTATATTTCTTTTACAGGTTAAATTTAAATATTTAAGCTGCTGGTTCATATTTTGGCAATAAATAAGAAACACTATTTTATTACTAGAAAAAATTCGTCTCGTTAGATTAGAGACTATTTCGCCGCAATTAGAACGATAAGAATAATTATTCTAAAATATCTTAATGAATATGTTCAAGAGAAAATATTAGTTTTTCATTAATTTAACAAAAGCCATTTAGTCATTTTCTTTTACAAGTTTACTTGAACTTTATATTTAATTTAATTGATAAGAATGATTTTTCATATTTCAATCCACAGTGCGCATTTGTAAAAAGTCCATGCAATTCTGACGATGTACGATTAGATAACAGATATATAGTGAACATAAATGAAAGTTGTAAAAAATTATTTAAGGAATGTAAACGTCCAAATTTTATGAGAGTGAAATGACTGTTGACCGATCGAAGAGTGTGAATAATTCCAAATGCATCGATCTATAAAAAAATTAATATTATTTTTGTACATCTAGATAATAATCCAGAAAATGTTTAATATTTTAAAGTCTAATAACTGAATTCAGGAGTAAAATAAGTGATGAATGGAAGTATCAGTAAATAATATAACTTTATTAAAAGAAATCTACCTGAAACCATGTACAATTCATTTCATTTATAGAAGAAGCAAATAGATATTAAAAATAAGATTTTTAACATAAAAGTTAAATGTGATGAAACGTATGCAAAAGTTGTACGAAAAAATTTATTACCTGCTATCAATACATGATTACTTGTGTAAAATGAATGATTATCACAACTAAATATATTCAAAATAATATTTTGAAATATAAGTCTGAAAATAATAAATATAATTGATGTACATGAAAAATAAATTAGTCTTAGTGATAATATTAGTAATATTATGACAATACGCCCGTAATAAAATAACAATTTTGTGCGCGAAAAGCATCCATATTTAAATAAAACTGTTACATACACACAATGTCATAAATAAAACTCATCATGGAGGTTTATAAATGAAATTTAATAATACTTAAATAAAAGTATGAACTACATTTTCTACGTGGTCATCATTTGATTATACATCTAAAGTTATATTGCGATAAATAACATTATACAGCGTTATTTTTCATGTACATCGAATGTATTATTGACATGTACATATAAAAAAGACAAAAATTAGTTATATTGTCTACATTTAATAGAAATATTAGCACAAAATTAATTAAGTTCTAGTTTTTTGCAAATGTATCACAATTCATATCAATAGTTTAAGATTATACAATACAATATACGACCGATAACAATAAATGATCGATACTACAATTTTGTAAATATCTAATCTGAATTCTTAAGTAAATGTTATAGTTAACGTGAATTTAGAGTAACTTGACTTGCTTCAAGAATATCGATTAAAATGTACGATATGTACATATGTTTCATGCAAGCCTTTAAGTGGCTACGTTTTATTTAAACAAACTTCAATGTGATATCTTTGACAAACTACAATATTTAAAAAAAAAATTAGCTATTGTATGTTATAATAAAATATAATACGTGGACGAACTTTGACTTTAATTTTTCCTACTCCTCGGAGATTATTGAAAATGAAAGAGAATGAATCTTATACTTTTGCCATAATATTAACATACCTGCAGAGTTTGATAGTTATTGATATAAAATTTATAAATAACATGAAAAATGTTAATTTATATTTTTTATGTTTGATGAGTAACAAACACTCATTTTTTGAGTTTACTGAATATTATTGCTTATTGTGCATGATTCAGTTTGTTCGATAACATTGGTAAAATTATAAATCAAAAACACCTACTCTTAAGCTGTGAATTAAACATATATTGTAAATAGATTTGTAGAAATAAAATGTACCATAGCTTTACACAAGTACATTTTTACCTCGAAACAAATTATTATTATAATATTTATATAAATTGTTAATAAAAATTACTAGTATTATATAAAGAAGGGACCAAGCTTGAAAGAGGTTGACTTCGATTTTGTACACATTGTATTTCGCTTTCAAAAGGTACACTATGTTTACTATGATGTTTGTTGCTATACAGATTAAATGCTTTTAGGTCCCTGTGACTTAAATATTCAGAAATATTTCTTACAGCTAAGTGATGAAGGGAAATCGATTTACCAGTTCTTTTGGATATCATTTTAGCCAAATGTTGCTTAAATACATACAGAATGCGGTTGCACATCAGTTTATTTTGTAACATAGAACAGTAGAGCGGATGCAACTTGTTTCGACTTTTCAATTTTTCAATCATAGTGGTATAATGCGCGTGTCGATAAAGTGTCTCAATTTTCCGGGTGAGAACATCATAAAACGTTATTGAGTTTTCGATTTCATTAATCTTTAAAACTTGTAGTTGTCGGTAGCATACTTGGAAAATTCTTTTATAATCCGAAGTGTTATTGATCTGATCCCGAATCGTTCGGTTCATTACCTTACCTTGAACATGATCCAGCGCGAGCTTTGCAATAATAAAGCTAGCCAAAGGAGATTTGCGCAAGCGAGCGTAATCTAGTGCTGGCCTGCTATTTAAATCATAATGTTGCGCGTTAGCACCATGTATCAATAGTAAATGTCCATACTCTGGATTCATTATGCAATCATAAAGAGCTGTCTTTCGTTTGTCATCTTGAATTTCAAGATTGACATTAAAATCCAATAAGAAATGTATATTTTTGTCTAATTTATTCTGGATAGCAATACGCAAACCAGTCAATCCTTTATATCCTACTGTGTTTAGGTCAAAATTCTGATGTCGCAGAAGCTTCATTGCATTAACCCGGCAGTTGCCGAATATCGACACCCTTATATCTATTCCTAATTGTTCTTTCACTACCACGTGAATATTAGAGCTTAATAATTTTTCAAAGTCCTCCTCGGAGATTTTTTGTAACATGAAATGTAATTTCTCGTGTATTTCATTGTGATTAATACCTAATCCAGGCAAGCGTATCACGATATCTTTCCATAATTCAAACTTTTTCGACGTCAAGAGGCTGAACAGTTTCTGATAGAGTGCCTGTCTTCCGGTCATATAACTATAATGCACAATCAATTTGATGTTTTCGAAATCCCTCGCATTCACGGCGAGTGTCATTACAGGCGTGAAAGTATTCCTACTCCCTTGCTGGATAAGTATCTTCATCAGTTCAGGCATGTCCTTAGCTATCTGATATTTTAAGGGCCAATCGGCTTTGCTCAGTAATCGAGATAGTATTATATTGTCGTATTTGGAATCTTGTATATTATGAAGTATATGTGGTAAGATTTCTTCGATTTGTTTCATCGTTCGTTTATCGTATTTTCGCCGCTCGGCCAGAAAAATCTCGAAAGGGCTAAACTCATTTTTCGTCGGGTCCCTAGCATGGATAGAAGCTCTTACAGCCAACAAAAGTTTTGCAGCCTCTAAACTCGAAGGTTTGTAGATCGATTTTAGAGCTATCATCAGTGGTGAGTAGCCAAAGGAATCGTAGGCGGTGGTAATGCAACCCTCGTACAACAAGCACTTGACTAAGTCAATGTTCTCGTGAATTACTGCCAAATGAAGCAACGTTGACCCATTTCTAGCAGTCCAATATGGCATTGCAGTATATGTTGTAAGTATATGCCAGTCGTTAAATCTGAAATTCTTGGCAAAAGACTCCATATCTTTATAGGAGAATATGTCTTCCCCTGCCTGATAACACTGCTAAAAATTATAAATTGAATTGTTAATTTCAGTAATGTGCAAACATCAAATCATTCAAAGTTAAATAGGGTCTTCCACTGCAATTTCCGGGAAAAACATGTTAAAAAACATCAATTGTTATAAGTAGTACAAAATGACAAATAAATTAAAATTAATTTTTCACAGATCAATGTATATCGAAAATCATATACTCTAGCTCATTTTTTAGTCGCAGTTTCGTCCATTTGAAAAATGTATGTAATTACCGATTTATCGATTACCGATAATTACCGAAAGACCGGTATTATCATTTAAGTATTGATACAATTGATATACTATATTGATAAAATTGATTTTATCGATGATAAAAATATTAAAAATTCCAACCTTTCACCTATTTATTTATGATTATATATGCAGCTTAACTTTACTTACCATTTTCAAATTCGACGATCAAAACGAGCGATAAAATCTTAGATGCCTTTGTTAAGATTTTATAGAACGATTATGAATGGAAGCTGCTAATATGTGCGAGTTCTTTCAGATAGGGAATGACTGGATGTAAAAGTTACAGGGTCTGTAAATTATAACACAATGATTAAGATTAATTTGAATAAAAGACTTATTTAACAAACGGTATAGGAAACTAGTTCGAATTAAGAGAACAGAAGGTATAAGAAAGTGCAGACGCGTGGAGAAAAGGACGACGAAAGTTAATTTGCAACCAAAGTTCATATTACTAAAAGGATCACAACAAAATCAAATATAAAACGAAATATAAATTATAAACGCACTGTAATTCTAAACAATATTCGAATCCGTTGAACTCGACGCGTAGTGAGCTCTCCTATCTTTGCACAAAGAAGCGCCTTGATCGCGACGATGGGGTGATGGTGCCTCGCTCAGCCCCCCCCCCCCCCCCAAGTCTCATAAAAATTCATACAGATCGCCTATAGGCGCGGCCACGGGAAAAGAGAATCTTGTGTAAACGCGCGATAATAATTTACCGTTGATACTTCAATGACACTCAAGGTCCAGATGACTTAAGATAAGAACGACACTTCCGGTTGAGACTCAAATCAGACTACACGTCACGGATCCTCGAAAGCAACTGATTTTCCGGAGTACATACATTATTTTGCCAAGCCGACGAGACAAAGTAGAAACAAACAACCGCCCCTACTTTGGGATCTTGCTGGGATATCTAATAAAAGATCAACGGTTCTGTGTATACTTCTATACATAACATTAAATTGTAAAAGGAGCGTGTATTTTAAACAATGTGTATTCTAGAAATTCTGCTTCCGAGGTGATCAGACTTTCATTTTCTTTAAATCAATTTCGCATTTATTCGACGTTAAACTATAGATGTATCTGACGATGATAATTAAACGATTACCATTCACTAAATCATTAATTTCATAACATTTTATGTTATTTTTATCTCGTTATAAAACAAGAAAATTTTTCGAGCAAAAACAGAAAATGAATCCAGATAGCATTTTGAGGAATCTTCTCTCACAGCCTTAATGTAAGCAAAAAGGTTTTCCCATTGCTCGGGAATAGTAGTAGGCTTCCCACTGAGAGAGAGAGAGAGAGAGAGAGAGAGGGGGGGGGGGGAGGTTTGGAGTGCACACAATTTGAAAAAGCCTAGATCTGCATAAATTCTTTTTGATACCTACAAGTTTGGGTATAATGAGCAGAAATTTTGCTGATCCTTTTTCTTTTCTCAGAAAACACGAAAATTTTCGTTTCTAACATAAAAGAATTAACTTTCTTTTTCGTAAGGGAAAGAACAAATCTTCGTTACGTTTGATTTTATAAATATATTTTAAATAAAAATATTTTATAAATATATTTTGAATAAAAATGCGGGCCGTCATCAGTTGTAAATTTTAACATTTCGAAAAAACAAGTATACACGTTCGTTAAAGGTGTAACATATATCTATTAGCTTGCATGAAATAAGAGAGACCGCGTTCACCTCCCTAGCGCAACAAAGTAGAACCATTTAAATAATTCGTTTATTCGCAATCGCACGATATTTCCTATGCACACGTGCGAAGGCTATCTCGGGAGAAACATCAAAAATGGCGGAGCAATATGGGCGGGGATGGTCGCTGTCGTCGTGTCGATATAGCGTTTGGACGCCGGGGGCTTATACTGCCAAATGAAAATTTCTATTGTGCAGTGGAGACAATGCTCCTGCATATGCAGCAAGATCAATTGTTGACGTCAATAGCTGAAATCATCTCATCTTTCGTAGCCGATTTCTCGCGTGTCGATCTCGAAGTTCCAAATAAATGAATAATTTTACTTTGAACGAACATCCTTGTTACAGACGGGGTGTCATTAAAAAGCAAAATCTTAATTCGTGGTCGAAATTATTACTTCAAAAGTAAATTATGTACAATCACGGCATGAATGTTTTCCTTGAACAAGAAATGACGTCGTAGCAGTTTCAGATTACGCATCGCCTTGTTTGTACTCCAAAATTAATACAATTACTCTAATATGGATTTTCCCGTCTTACCAGGGTTTGTTCTCGCATTACGTTGAGTAAAAATCACGATTCACTTTTCCTTGCTCATATACCACTTTTCTTTTTCAAAATAAAGCTTAACTTCCGAACAACGCGTAGCTTATGGTTGAATGAGGTCAGCCACAGTAACGTAGTGACAGCGACCATCCCTGCCCCCACTCCTCCACCATTTTCCCCGTTTTTTTCAGATCGCTCATCAGAGTTGCCGCAGGAAAATTTTTTCTTAGGGTCCCTATCAATTGTTGCATTATGTTGAATGGGGTAATTTATGGGGAGTGTAAGAAAAATTTTATCAGCGATAACACTGTCGCCGATCGATTTTGTACACGTGTTCAACCTTTTTTTGGTTCTACTGAGTACGTTTTTTTAAATATTTTAAACTTACGATGGCTTTCTTGAATGATGCGATTGTTCAACTGTTTTTGTAATTTTCTTAGAAAAAAGTTATAAATATGAACAATTGAGTTGCCAGCCGTCGCGATCTTTTATTACTCAATTGGCAATAGTTTCAGGGATTCTCTACATAAGAGCCGTCGATCATTGGACATCGGATGTTGGACGAATACTGAGGTAAAAAAATCATTTGATTATTTGTCATTATTTTACCAATAATCATTATTTTACCAAAATAATCAAAAAAATTTGATTATTTGTCATTATTTTACCAAAGACTTGTGCGTAGCCTGAAAAGACTATGTGCAAGATTTATTTTTATTTTATGAATTAACGTCAAATAATAAATTTTTTCAATGTTTCTCAACTTATCGCGGTTTTCCAAACAGATTATTCACATGAATAGCGCACATGCGTAATATCTATGCCGAAAAAAAAATACAGTGTTCACTTTTGTGCTCAATGGTCGATTGTACTAAACAAACGTGCTTCAAACCTCGTCTCGCAGACGTCATATGGAAAATAGATGCTCGTCTGCGTATACTTTTTTTGACCAGAGGTTCGAAGATATATTTTCCCGGCCACAGCTCAGTCGGTAACATGCTGATTTCGGCTTTACTAGACAAAAAATGATACTTTCGGACCGCAAGTTAAAAAAATAGTATACGCACCACGGCAGGGAAATTGGCAAGCCATGGAATTGATAACCGAGCATTCGTCACGCTTTGCTCGGGTGCAAACCACCACACGAGGATCACATCACTTTCTTGCATTAGTATCAAAATGTACTATTCCGACACTATTTCAGTTATATACCGTTATCGAGATATCAATCAGCTATTCTTACATTAATATATATAACCGTATAGTTTTTGATGCGAAGTAAATTTTTCTTCAGTTTTTCAACATCAAATTTGTCTTAATAGATCATTAAAAAATCACTTTATTCATAATAATTTTACGATATAATTTTTCGCTTCTGTTCCGACGATTCCACGTCTTTATTAATTTTTTTTTTCCAATAACCCATACTCTACAAAATTATAGATTTTTGGTATTATAAATCTACAGCAATTTGAAATGCAGAAAAAAGAAATCAAACGTGTAGCCATCGTTATGTTATATATTATCCATTATCAGCAGGCATTTTGATGATGACGTAAAAACTTTTTGAAAATAATGAATGAAAACCTTAAATATGCGTACATTTTAAAAGTAAAAATAAACACGTACGTTACGAACTGCAACCAAACTATGTAATTTTAATTTTTATACGTATAATATTAAAACATGCATTAGAATTGAGCCTCGATACATAAATTTTCTACAAAAATTGAATTTCTTTAAACATAAATTACGGAGTATTGTAAATAAGGTAGAAGATGATGCAACGCGTTCATTTTCACTTCAAATTATATATTTCAATATTTAAATTCAAATTGAAATATATCAACTGAATGAATTGTCCAGCTGCGATCGGACATGAACTGGAGTAATACTTAAATGACATTGAAATGTTATCGATACATTTATTTATAGAAATCATAGGCGGTGGCTTAACAAATTCAGACACAATAAGAGTGACGGATCTTTGAGTATTTATGTGAAACGACATTTATATTATTAATTACGGTAGATTTACCAACTAAAATTTTTATCAGAAACGCCAAGTAATACTGCAGCCAAGTCATTTGTTAAGTGTGTTAAAACAGTTAGCAGTACGATGAATGTACGCCCTGAACGCCGCTCTAACAAGGTGCCACAGAAAGCACGCGCGTAATGAACACAGCACCAAGATTTTCTATAATTTTGGTGTGCACTATGTTCCGGCACCTCAAAGAACGCGCGCTCTCTTAATAGGCTCATTCGGAAATTTAAGTGTGCAAAGATCGATTGTGTTCACTTGTGAGCACCTATTTTCCATGTTTTCTCAAATGCGTATTCTATTAAAATATAATTTGCTTACTTCAACTATCGGCTACGATTTGCGCTATCTGTTTTATTCGTCGCGGTCCGTTTCGCCGATCTAACGTCAATAACGTTTATTTTTTTACAACTAGGTAGTAGATTCAAGTTTTGCTCAAATAATATAATGTGATCATGTTACAATAGTACATTCCTTAACAGGTGCGTAAAGGCTTTTTTGACAAAACGAGAAGTTTATGGCACGAGCCGGAGGCGAGTGCTGTAACGAGTTTCGTCAAAACCCCTTTTTACATCAGTTAGTAGTTAGCGACATTATTTTTTTGTATGAGAGCTGAAAATGAGCGCCGAAAGTGCAATTTGGAGGTTAGAACGCGGAAAAATACTTACAGTAGTCACAGTTCGATAATTCGGTAAAAATGCGTATTAAGCCTAAAACAATTAATCAAACGCGAGTAAAATTTGAGCTGAAGTCTTGTTTCATTGTTAGCTTCATCCGTCCCTATTCTTGCCCACTGATACTCGATCGCAAAAAGAGAAAAGCAAATTCATAAATTACATTTCCTATACGCTCGTCCTTGTGTCGAAATGCAAAGAAACGTCATGGTCGTCCATGAATTTGAAGATATGATCGATGCGGTCAACGAGTTCCAAATGTTCCGGCTCTCCTTTCGTATCTCGCTAGTCGGTTGGTTTCAGGTTTGCGCATTCGCGTTCACGTTCGGCATGAATATTACACCGAAATCGCCAACCTAACAACAACCTATGAATGAAAAAAAGAATTTTTGCATTTTGACATTGTTTGGCCAACAGTTTAGCTGATAGTTCCGTAGGAATATTTATTATTTTTCGTAGTTTCCTACTAGAACTCACTGTAATTCAAAAGAAATAAACTTTGACGCGCCGCTTCTCAGCGTGGACAAGACAGGATTATTGGGAATTGTAAAGATACAGTTCGTTTATTGATTAATTATTTTATTATATGCATGTTACGTATTGTACTAGTTTATCTCACTATCTATCCAAAATTTATTGTGAATCGATCATGCTATGCTTTTTATTACGATTAATACCGATTCACATTGCCTTTTTTTTATTTCATGGTTCACTTATGTTTAGTGATTAATAAATTTTTTGTAAAATGAAATAGCTGGCAACATTAGCAGTACAATTTTACGAAATGGAGCTAATGTGACAGCTATTATATACTCAACAGAGAAGAATTAATATTGCAAACACTTCAGCTCACGATGCAATTACTGAAGTGATGAGCCAGTGCAATATAAAATGTTCTAAAAGATTGTTTTAAAGCCAACTATAGGATACTAATAACAACGATCACAATCAATAGAAGGTTATTGTTAAACAACCTAACGAATTGGCCAAGCAGTAAAATATAGGAGTAAATGACATATATTACAAATCTTTCGTGAAATCGAGTGGAAACCTCCATTAGAATTTTTATCCGACGTACCATTTACAGTATTATTAATCTTGAAACTATAGAGATGAACGCGTAAAAAGAAACAGTGAAAGACTATTACTTGCGCTCCTTCAATCTACTTAAATTGCAGATAGCACAGACGATGCGGTTTGTTAAACTTTATTAGATATATGGACAAATCCTAAAAACTTGAATTTTCGTCAAAAACAATAGAATAGGCTAATGTTTGGAGCATACTTTGGAAATTTGTTCAGGAGCATAGAAATTCGTGTAAGAATTGATAAAATAACCGTGCTTAATTTTTTATGCAATGCTCCATTAGCTACAACCCTTTCTTCATAGTATAATAGTACCGAAAATATTATATATATTTCTGCCTTTCTCCATATGTAATACGTACCTACATATACAAACACACACTCACACGTACACACACAACACACAATACACAACATATACACACACAAAACATTCATCATTTACAATTATGTTGGAAATGATTCTTAAATGAAAATACATGATAAAACATGAGCCATGAACAATATATTTATTACTTTTCATACAACAAAACAACCAGTTTAACAACATTTATAATAACCCTATCCTTTTAATAATAAGTTTAATCAAGTTAGTATTTTGTTATAAACTTTCACTGGTTATATTGAATAGAGCACAGTGATTATTGACGATTTTAATATGTTATTATTTTTGTGTTACTAAAATATGATGGCAGCGGAAAAAACTTTCGTGAGATATTTCGATCTTTGACATCGATTTAAAAGCTAGTTTTAGCGAGCACACACTTTTTTGGCGCATAAATAGCTCTTCTTAAGTCTCAATAAAACAAAAATTGGTTATATTATGATTCACTGAATGCTCCAATTTATTATTACAGTATAACAGTTTACTTTACAATAATTTGATAGTAATTTGAAATATTTATTTTTACAAAGTAACATGCAAAATTCATTAATTTTGCATTTGCATTTTGCATGTCTTTTTAACCTTCACAATCGCATGCAAAGAATAATATTAAACTGATAATAATTTTTTTTCTGATATATATACGTTGCATACCTTTAAATTTTAGCCATTACAACTTGACCAAATTCATGTCTACACAGCTATAGAAGCGAGTAATACAAAAATCAAAAGTTTCTAGGATTTGCCCATATATTATACGGAAAAAATAGAAATTTTAATTTTAATTTTAATTTTTTATATATATATATATATATATATATATATATATATATATATATGGAAAAAAAAGAAATGAATACGCTGAGTGAGTCGTCTTGTGACCCGGTAACACATAGAAAAAGAAGGACGGCTTTGATGGAGGAAAGACAGAATTACACGATCTATTAATTAATAACATTACTCTGTTTTTTAATGTAAATATTGAGTATGTATAATAGTTATACACTAAAATATGTTTTCCAAGCGTCAGCAATAATTATTTTTTAACTGATTGGTGAAGTTTAACTTTCACTTTATCTTATTAAAAACTTAAAGTAATAGTAAAAATTATTTACATATTCTCAATAATTGATGTGATTATGTTACTACTTTTTTAAACTTAACAGATTGACATATTTTAATTTGTTACAGATACTGTAATAAAACTGATAGAAAGACTTTATTAGGAGCAGCCAAATCAGCATGGATTTAACTCACTGGAAATGTCCTGCCTTATAATTGTGTAAAGAAAATTATCAATTTCCTTGACAGTAAATAATAGGGAGATTTAATCGAGTCTAAGCAATACTATCAGTTGAAACAGGTAAAGATGAATAGTGCATACATTTTCTTGCATTTTCCTCACGTTTAATAACTTTTTTTAACCATGCTAACATTACTTGTTGATTAAAGTGTGATACAATCGCGTATTAATTAATTTATTTAAAAATTAATAACTAAATATTTCTTGTACGCGTTATTTATATTACTCGAAGGTACTTGTGCAGAGAAGCAATTTAGTGAAGAACATTGTTATAAAATAATAAAGTTATTAAAAATATTTGCTCTTGTTTGAATCTCAATTTCAATTCCCTATACATTTATACATAAAACTTCTAGTAAAAATAGAAAATATCAGCTTAGTTCATTGATTTCAGTTGATCTTATTCTACTTCTTTGCAAAAAATTAATTCTAGTCATTTTTTCTCAAAATTTATTTATTACAATATAATGAATTACTATATAGTTATAGTACTTTTAGATAATCTTTCAGTAAATTAAATTCATTCTTTCTGGATATAATATTGAACGAATCCACGATACCCTTTAGGTCCAAATATTTTTAAATTTTTGTAAAAATTAAATGATCAGATAAACCAACTTATATTTTGATAAATGACCTAAATAAATTCACACTTGATTCTATACAGATTTCAAATGTCGCAATTTTTGTATCTAAAAAACATTATTTTCAGGTAAAAGGTATAAAGAGGAAAATTATATAGGCTTGGCAGGATTGATTGTACGAAAATAAAAAGTAATGTTATTTTTTTAGACCTTTATAAATATAATTAAAAATTATAATTAGAGGAACGTAACAGCAATGCATCGAAGTTTGAGAAAAAAAAATTGAATATTTTTCTAGTTTCAATTACAAATTTATTTTTATGATGCCACACTCCCTATGATGTTAGATCCCATTGATCATAATGATAATACAACAATTTTTATGTAAGATGACCTGTTTTTTTATCTACATGAACCAATAGTTTTTGTAACATTTATATTTTTAAGTGCATGTGAAAAGTATGATATTTAGATACTCTCTTGTGCGAGTGAACAAATTGCAAAAAAAGAAATGCGTAAGTCGTCGCCTGTACAATGTTTTCACGGTTTTTTAATTAAAACAATTAGTCTTGACGAGTATACAAATTAAATACTTAACGATTTGTTGATAAAAATCGTCAAAACACTAGGTAGTTTTTTAACCATTCATCGATATTCATTATCAATATTTAATTCTTATTTTATAAAAAATAGTCCTAATCTGAAAGGTACTAGTTTCTCTCTCTGCGATACCATGTATTCCTAAAATCCAAGTTAAGATAACTAAATTCAATTTTGTTTAGCCAGACTTGGATGAGGAAATATCCAAATATATAATTCAAACAATACCACTGTAAGTCAAGCTCTTTTTCTATCATAACACTCAGAAAAGGACTTCGTAAAATAAGCAGATTATTTACATACAGAAACCTAATAGAATTAAGATTTTTGTAAAAATTTATTACTGGTTGCAATCATAAAAATATATGAATAGAAAAGTATGACGAAATCGTATTAAGTAATTGTTAATTAGTTACACTCCAATAGAAATAATAGTTTAGTAGGCTTGTATAAGACCTTATGTTTGCTCGCATGAAGCAAGTTGTGATAATGCGTAATTGGATTTGAAATGATTCCCTTAAAATCTACATCGACAAAAAAATTACGTTGATGAAAATGAAGTAAAAGTTCTGTCTGAAATGATATTCTCAACAAGATTGACGCAATAAAAGATTTAGTATAATAAAACAGATAAAATTGAAAAACAAGATATATTCGCACACTTTGAAACCAAATATTTGAATGCAATTAGATCGTAACGTAGCTGAGACGTAAATAACAAAATTTTTATGAAATATAGAATTGAACAAACGTTCTAAAAATTTCTAACAAAATTAAAGCTCAAGGCCTCTGTCCCAACCCATGTCAACTTTCTATGTATTTCGCTTTATGAAAAGTTACTTTCGATTTTTCAGCAACTCTTAGTGTATGTTTCTTCATATGTACATACAGTACTTCTACAGCTACGTGAATTTTTCACCAGTCCTGCTGTACATAAATGCTGTCGCTTTGCGGTGTACATTCGAAATGTAATTTTTTAAATTGTTCGGTTTGATATTGTTTATGTTTTTGTCTCTATTCATTAAAATGTCACAATCGTCATGAAATGTGGGATATAAGTATTGTGAGCGCAAGTCCCTAAAACTACAAAAATATATGTATGTTCTAGCGCATCGTAATGTATTACACATGTTGTTTTTCACATGGACATAGCAGAGGAAACCATAGAAACATGTTTTTACAGTTTCAATAGAATTCTAGATTACATTGATTCGTACTCTTATGTTTTGTTTCTAATAAAAAAATTTTTCTTATCGGAGAATTTCTCATATTTAAAAGGTGGTATCTATGTATTCAATTTAAATTAAAAAAGAAGTCTAATGAGTCTTATTTAAAATAGTTCATACATCATAAAACATGATTATTTACTCAATTAGACTTTAAAAAAAAATGTTTTTTCACTTAACAGTTTTTCTTACAAAAAGCTTACAAAGTACTCTCTTTTTTGTATAAAATACGTTCAGATGTAATCTTGATTCTTATTCGACACACATCTGTACAATTTTTAATTGAACAAATTTTTTTTCATACAGTAACCGCAATAAAATTTCTTGAATGCAAGGAAAATATATAAAATTTCCAAATAGGCATGTAAATCGTTGGACATTCAAATTAGTGATTTTTCTTGGAAAAAAATTATATTTTAGTATTTTTAAATCTAAAATAATAAATAATCGAATAATCCAGTAATTTTTCGTAATATATATTTTTTTTTTATATGATTGATAAAGACAGTTTAGTTTAGAATAAAAAGATTCGTAAAGTTAAAAAGTAAAAGTACAAAATTAAAAATTGACGATGGCATTATACTTAAAAAATAAAATGATTATCGCATCCTATAATGAATACATTTTTTCCATGTATGTGTATGAATTTATTCCACTAATCCGATGACTGAAATGAAAATTAAAAGGTAAAATCTAACAAGTATATTATATTTGCCTGTATATGGTTCAAAGATAGATAAACGCAAATAAATATTGTAAATTTGATTCGACAAGTTATAATATAAAGACAAAATGTTTTTGCCTGAGTTAAGGCTTATCCCCATGTATACATACACTAAGATTGTACAAACGACAAATTATTTACTGAAAAAAATATTAGCGGAAAATTTTTATCGACATGAGATGTCAACTCTACTCAATGACATTGTTTGAAAATTTTATCATTGCAACCGAGGATACACTATGTTCGTTCGGAATTTCTGTAAAACTTGATTGGTTTCTATGTATTCATGCTCCCGGTCAGGATAAAAATCAGCCATTAATTGTATTGGAGAAAATCGTATGTAAGACTTATACTGTCCGCTCGGCTAGGACATACTTTCCGAAATACACTCTCAATGAGTTTTTGCCTGAAACAAAAACAAAAGAAATTAGTCAAAAACTTAGCAAATAAAAATAAATAACAATTTTCATATAAGCTACTAAAAAATAAGACAATTTTAAAGTGTCTGATTCGCAATGTAACAAATTCAACGGATAGAGTTACAAAATCCCGCCAAGGTCAAGATCGTCGAATATGCTATTTCGGAAAGAAATCTAATTATGTGTACGGGAAATCAGCCAAATGTGCTGTTAATGTACTGCTCGCTCTTTGTTCCGAGAGAGTGAGAGACCTTAGTTCGCTACAGTTGCGCAAGAAAAGCGTCTGCGTGAGGCGATTTGGCTGTGATTTGGATGCAATATGTTCAATCATAAAGTCACTTCCGCGCATCGACTGCTTTCTCGCCAGTTGCTCGGCTTTACGAGTGCAAGCAGCAGCATTTTCTTCCACGGACTAACAGATTAAAATTTTAGCTAGTAAGTAATTTTCAACATGTCTATTAGTTGCTATTAATACTTTGCTCAATAATTATCAACTCTAAGGAATTATTGAATTTAATGTCTTTTTTTTTGTTACGATTAAAGTACGTAATGATTATTGCATCATGATTTTTAGTGGTACAAAACATCTATATTTCCGTAGGATTGATTTTTGGAAATACGATCAATCCAAATTAGGCGTTGTTAATGCTGGATAAATGTTACAGGACAAAGTTTAATAAAAATAAAACTTACTTTGCAGGAAATCCACCTCCTGGAGGCAAATTGGGTATGCCCTGTTCCACAAGCCTCTGGATAAGTGTCATGAATTCAAAGTCCTTTTTCTCTTCTTCTTCTGAAACTATATCTGTTGAAAATAAAGAAGAACAATTGTTGTTAATATAAAAATGTATTAATTTGTAACTCAATGTGCATATGATTCGCAAAAGAAATGAACTTTTTATCTGATATAATTGAAGCATAACTCATGAAAGCATTTTGCATGTTCAATATGTATGTTTATCATCAAGTAACGTGTAGTTGTTGAACAACTAACAAACAGAGCCAAATAAAAAAATCATAAACATTTCGTACAACTAGTTGCCTAATTTTGAAAGCTTGCAAAGATAACGCAACAACACTTAAAAGTAATCGATGGAAATATTGCAATATAACGAATAAACAAATTACGAAACAAAATTTAACATACTAACATGCCACTACTTAGGACTGGAATTTTACGTGTATTTTACAGTACATTTCTTATGGACGAAGATCGAAATATACGATTTGCACGAGTCAAAGTTTATAATACTCCGGTCGTAAGTAGGTACATCGCATCTTATTAGCAATATCAATATTTTCTATCTGCCTAATTTTTATAACAACTTTCCACCATTGGAATTGTATTTCCTTCTTTATCTTACAAAGTTAACTTTTTCTTCTCTACTATTATAATTACGTATGTATAATAACGGCAACTGCAATATTGTTTACCATAAGAAATGCATTGCCGTTATAATGAAAATTTAGGATATAAAAATACAAAAATGTGTTTTTTAAATTGTAATCGATCGTCAATTACCTACCTGTTAAGGTAATTAAGTTGCTTATTTATCTTCTAAAATTTCTTAAAATAAAAGCAAAAATGTCCTAACCAAACTAAAATCTATTGCAACTTAACAACTCCAAAGGTGGAACTATAATCTAAGTGACTGCACAATACAAAATAACAAAAAGTTCTAAAATTGAATACAAGAGTCAATTTTTGTTTATGAATAACAATCCATAATATTTATTGTTTTTGTACTGTACTCCTGTTATATTCAGGATATTTCAAACAAATTATTATGATCCTAGTTTAGAGTATTTTAACTTTGATATGTAAATTGTTACATTTTTCACAGAAAAATATTGTAACTACATTTTCAATAAATTTATGCCCGATCTACAATTTGTGTTAAGTACATTGGGCTTCATTACAAGCAAAGTACTTTAGCGATGAATACTTAACATTTGTGCACTTTACAGATACAGTTTTACTAGCTTCTTCAATTTTATTTCAAAAATTACTATAAACTGCATGGTCAAACTAAAAACCTTTCGAGATTATATTTATCAACAGATTTGTAATTTCAAATATTAAAAATAATTTAATTAAACTATTTCAGTTTTAAGAAAATATGTGAGTTGAACAAATTACATAAGACATGTATTTATCTAATATTATGTCAGTAAGAGATTTTCCTTTAACTATTCTTTCAGTTTAATATCTTATATTTTTTTTATTGTTCTCAGATTTTCATAAAATATAATGCTCTCTTTTACATCTAAGTCATGTATAAACTATATTATAGAAATCCTCTCACGAAAGCCAGTATTAAAATAAATATTAATATAGATCATCAATAATATATAAAGAATCTTTTAATATTAAGCATGATATGCTAGTGTGTAGTAAAGGAAATTTATATGTAATCACAGTTCCACATATTATTGTACAATAATACAAATAAATTTCGTAGTTATATTTACACGATTTGTGAATCAAATTCCAGTTTTGATTAAAATCACATTGATATTGCATTTGAACAAGTTTTTTTATCTTCTCAACAACACTTTTAAAAATATATATGTAGGTAATTGACTGATATTTTGCATGAATATTAATATTCAAAAGCTAGTCATTTGGGGATCACATCTGAACTAGTGAAAGGCAGTAACTGACGCTATAACACTCTTAAATAATGATCTGTCAAGATCTAACAATAAATATATTACAGTAATTTGAAATTACTGTTAGATTATCTTTCTATTCGTCAATTAGTTGTGAATAACGATCTTTCGTTTTAATTATATTTCACTATAAATTCTTCATAAGAAAGGTATTAATTGCTTTTAATCTATATAGTTTCTTTTCATTATATAAATAGATGTTATTTAATTTAGGAGCATCAGCTTTTTGGCTTTGAAAACTTCTTGTCGCTAGTGTGTGAAGCACACGCGCACAATTTGATTATTTTTATATACACATTATTTATATATGAGGTCGAAAAAGAATAGCTTTGTTAATTTATCATTACTAAATTGTGGATTCGTATGCCTGTCAGATGCGTTCACGTGTACGCGATCGTGAACGCCTGTTCATACAACAGCAAAGGGAAAGTATCGAAAAAATATATGGATAAGACAATGAACCTTTAATTGTCCTCTCAATGAGCATGTCGAGCTCTGCTTCCTTTTTCTTTGCCTCAGGATTTGGCTTAGGAGCTCCTGGGAACGTGATCAACACTATGCTCATATTATCTCTGCTACCCTGCAAAAGACAAATCACCCATACAACTTTACATATAAAAGCAATTATGTCGATGCAACGAATCTATTAAAAGTAATGATGTTTGGAAATTTAATTGATTCCGCAATTAATGTACCTTATATAAACAAGTATCTATAACTTGATTAGTGACCGCCTCCAAATCGTCAGTGAGCAGTAGCCTGGAGTGTATAAAGTCACACAGGTCTTCATTGGACATAACGTCCCAGATACCGTCGCAAGCTAATACCAGAAACTCGTCATGATCATCATCACGATCACGCACAAATATCTCCGGCTCAGGCGACACCAGTTGTTCACATGGTCCACGTCCTTCGACATTTTTGTATTCGTAATCACCAAGAGCACGCGACACAGCGAGCAGACCGTTTACTCGCTGAATCATCACGTTGCCACCGGCTTTCTTGATTCTGTCCTTCTCTGCGGGCAACACTGGCTTGTGGTCACGTGTTGAGAACACTGGATTGCCCGACCGACAGAGAACTGCTCGCGAATCTCCACAGTTAGCTATGTAGATGTTTTTTGGTGATATAAATGCACACACCTGACAAATAATCATCACAATTAGAAAAAAGCTAATAGAAAGAGAGCATGTGAAAAACATTATTTTATGATAGAAAGATACATACTGCAGTAGAGCCAGATTTGTCAGTTCCATCACTCATCTGTGGAAGACCTCTCATTTTGTCATCTAGACTGAGAAAACCAGAATGTATACCTTTTATCACATCTTCAGCTTTGAATTCTTCTGTTTGTAAAATACACTCTAACAAATGTTCTGAACTATGCGCTGATACTAGTGCGCCAGCATGACCATCAAATACAGCAAAGTAACTCCAGTCTGAGAGACCACCCTCAAGGCCAGTTACGGCTTGATGTGCATCCTCCATCTCCGGTCGCCAGCCTTGCATGCTGGCAACTCCATACTTGAGTCTGTTGCCTTCTCCATGCTCATTGTACTTATCTGTTTTAGGCGTCTCTAAAAATGCCCCCATAACGGTACTATATAATTCTCACACAAGATCAGTTCACTAATGCGCTGTTCTTTTTATTATTTTGACATCATTTTCCATCGATCAAATGAAGGAATCCTTGGCATCTTTCAAGCTACAAAAACAAAGGTACATTTTCACAAGCAGTTAATACAAATTAGCTAATAAATTTGTCAGAACTTGTATGCTTAGTGTTGTTTTGAATAGCACAATAAATTAATTGCATATATAATGCATTGGGACAGGTCAAAATACAATTTAAAAAGATCAATTTGGGAATAAATTTTTCTTTAACAATTCTCAAAATGTTATGAGACTTTTCACTAATTATAAATACAAATTTTAAGAGACAATAATAAAAGGGAGAATTATTGTACCCAGTAAATCATCAACAACATTCTCTCCAGTTCTCACTTCCTGCTTTTAATGACAGCAACGTACAGCAAAGACACAACAACAATCCAATAAGACCACAACAACACAGCTGTGCAGAGTATTTTTCTGCTGCATCAGCCTCTATTGACGTTTTTCTTGTTCTTTTCGCTTGATAAGTTACACAACGCGCGAGTGTTTCTCAAAGCGAACGACGACGGCAGATACCAAACAAACAGGCGAAAAAAAGGTTGAATCCAATTCTCGATATATATCTGTATACGACAGCGAAAAGGCTTTTTCATGATAAAAACGAAAAAGAAACGATTTGCCAGATAACACGCCTTGACATGAATGAAAAAACCCTATCAGACTCATGTGACATCATAGACTCACCGATGCAGCAACGCGTAAATTAATGTAGACAGAATCTCGGTAGGCAGCCTTTTTTCGTCAACTACGTAGATAAGAACCAAACGTTCACGGACAGATAACCGTGCAAGTGCTCTGCAGCTCCGAATTGAAAACTTTCGCGATGCTTGCTACACTTCTTTACTCGTTAGATCGGATTTGCAAAATCAATCTAATCCGTTCTCTGGCTATGCTATACTATATTGTAATGCTAATACACAACATATATATATCTCCTCGCGATACGGGTGGCTCTCTCTGTCTCTCTCGCTCTTCTACACTTCTCACTAACGTCCCAGTTTTTCTACTAGGTACTCGGCGCGCCAAGCAAGCGAAGCAAGCGCGGATACTGAAATAGCTGTGGCTCTGGCGCCAGCTCTAGCCATGTGAATATCCGTAGGTATCGTCGACGCTGCTGTTGTCCGTGTCTTATCTCGGATGACGACGATGTTGCGGGAACGACCAGAGTGACAGAAAATAGGAAGTAGCCGGCGCACACGTAAGAACCGGTGTGCGAGTTTTATCTCTTTCTGTCCCTCGCGCTCACTCGACTTTATACCTCAGAGGAAGACGGTGTGCAAAATTAGGTTATGGCAATCTTTCCTGCTCGTTAACTCTACGATCCGCAAGTGCAAAAATTTATACGCACACGTTCTCGCTCGCTCTCTCAAATTGCTTGAAAAAGAACATACCTCCGTATTTGATTTTTGGTCTGAGAAGCGACGCCACCAGTATTATTATCTTCTAAAGAGTGCTTGCTTGTATTTGCTCCGAATTGCGCGCGCGCTCCCCAGTCGGCCCACAACAGCAAAAACAAGGACGAGGATCGACTACTCTCTGGCCGCCGTGGCGGCAACAGCGCGGAGCATGAATGGCCGCCAGAGAACTTGGAGCACAGCTGGGCCCCTATGACAAAGACAAAGATGAAAAACTGGGTCAGTAAGCCTGTTAGACACAGACGACTGCACGATCGCGATGATTATGATTATATATGATTATGATTATTAAAATGGTCGTTTAGGTCTTACTCTGAGACGCCAAGATGCCAAAATTCAAACGTAGTAACGAAGGCGATAGACGTCGCGCATGCGTCGGCGATGGGCTGGCGTCACTGTTCACCAATTGCCTGCTTGCCGTTTATTTGCGCGCGCGGCGTCATCCGGAAGAAAGATTAAAGTTATTCAACTGCGCATGAGTAGTGACTTACTGAACGACTTACGCGTTTTTCTACATCTATTCCCACTGCGGATTGTTTGAGTGAGATCGTGTTTATTTCATTTCAATGATCACGTATTTCGTTCATCTCTGCTTCAAAGGGTTTATTATTCGTATTTCACTTAGATATTCAGTTGGAATTGGATTCTGCTTATAATTAACGAGACTGATAACTGACGATTTCTAAAAATTACATGTAGATATAAAGTTTAATTTGGTTTTAGAAAAATATCGCGATAAAAGCGATATTTTATTCAAAAGATTAGTTGGAGTTTGATATCGTCATTAAAAGATTTAATTTGCAATTCATGAAATATTGAACGGAAGAGATTTATCAATTATTTCATATTGATCACTGCATCGATCCAATTTTTCTGAAAAACAAGAACAACAATCTAATTAAGGCATTAGGATCATAGATTTATTGAGACTAATGATATGATAAAGTTATCAAAACGACAAGCACGCATACAAAAGTAATTTCGACAACCGAAATTAAAATAGTAAAAATAGAAATATTTTAATACCGCAATGTCGAAAGTCGAGAGTATCATTTGCAAATATTAAATTTTGTAAAATTATTGAAATTTTTATTTAGATAGTTTTAATTGAAATTTTAAATACATAACAAGAATTAATGAGCTTGCAAGTATATATTGCTATAAATATATATAATGATTCTCGTTTAAATTATTTATAGCTCGAACAGCCTCCATGTGAAGGTGTATTATCAAGTGTAGCATTATTCATAGATATAATTGTATAAACTTATTGTGAATAATTATAAATCATTTTTAAAAATTCACTACTTAATTTCTTTTTCATGGCCACTTTTAAACACACCCTATGTAAATTATACTTCGATGAATCGTACCTTAGCGTGAATTTAATTATACAATTTATTTTCGAATGTAACAACGGAAATGCCAACGACTTAAATCTTTATGAACATAACTAAAAGTACGAAAAATTTACTAAATGCAGTAATTGCTGATATTGGAAATCTTGGTACATTACGTATAATTTGATTATATACACTCGATGTGGGTCATGGAAATTAAAAAACAAAGTGATGATTAAGTATGTATATCTATCGGGACTACTGTTGCTAAGCAGACGAATGCAGTTTTTTACCAGATTGCTGTTACGTATATAGACATTTATCTTACTATAGATAATCAGGAAGAGATATACCAAAGTTTATCGTTGAGCCAAAAATTATAAGAGATACTTCATTTAACCCGAACTTGACGTAAATATATATAACATATCCAAAATTTATAATTAAATATTTAGTGTCGTAATGTGCAAATAACTTTTTTATCATTTAGTTTTAAGCAAAACTTTAATTATTTGTATTATTTTTGAGGTAATAGCGGTAAGAAAACTTTATCCGCTCCCTTGCTACGGATCTTGAAGTTAAGTACTTCAATGAGAATGCAGGGTGTACTTATATTGGTTTGAAAAGGTTTCACTTCAAATTATCGACTGTACTTCAAAGTCTGCCGGTAATGTAATAAATACGTTGGTTGACAAAAACTTGTTTTGCAAATATTGACGTTCACAAGAAATTTTTATTTGTTTATTTTTTATATAAAATGATCATGTGGAAAATAGGATTTAAAAAAATCCACAGTCAAATAAAATTCAGATATTTAAAAATGCATAAAGCACATTTTGTTTTACTAACAGGTATATATTGTCAGTAATGGATAAAATAATAGACATGGGTTATTTTCTTTGCATCTCAGAAATATAAAAGACACCTTGTTTGTAGAAAACTGTTTATGTGCATGTTTACAATATATTTATCATTTTGTAAATACATAATTTTTTATAAATGTTCACAATTTGACTTATACACACACACATACACACAGATTTTAAAGTAAAGTTTTCTTCCTCTGTTTAATAAATGTACAAGAGAATACTGAAGGATGTATAATTTATTCTTCGACAAATGAAATAAATAATTCGAAATTAAATAGAAATTTTGAAATATGAGCCCTACAATCCCTAAGTATAGAAGTGATATACATTAATGTACAAGTTGTGCAATAGTTAATTCACTATAGAATTATATTTATTTACTGTACACGATAAAACCAAGATCACGTGGCACCATATATTGTTTAAGAACATCATCAGTGATCTTACTTCTTGCATCTTGATGTGCAGACACAATTCTTTGAACTACATCTATTATTTCTTTTTTTAGCTCACCAGTAAGAATTTCACCTTTTGTATAACCCTATAATAAATAATAACATAAGTGTATATTTTAACATATAAAGTACAGTGATAATCAAATTCGATAATGAAACTTACAACTTTGATTTGCTCTAGTTTATCATCATCTTCTAGGAAAAATTTAAGCCATTGATAAGATATATCAATATCACAATTGCCCCCATGCAATCTGTGTTCTTCCAATGTATCACGCCCACCAGAAAATGCATGCTTATTAATTTTATTCTTAATTTGCTTAGAAGTATCAGTAAGAAAAATAGCAGAATTAAGATCACTGGCAGACATTTTAGTTTTTGACCCCTGCAATGCAGGGAAAAATGTAGAATGCAACAGTGCTGGTTTTGGATGATTAAGTCTTGGTGCTACATCTCGTGTCATTCTAAAATAAGGGTCTTGATCTATTGCACATGGGATGAGGCATGGAACTTTTGCATTCTTGAAAATAAATGGAAATGTGCTGCATAGTGCTGGAGCTGCTTGAGTTGGTGGAAAACCAATTTTTGCAATTGGATCACTGTCACCAAATCCAAAAATACCCTTGACTTGATTGAATGTTACACATTTTTGTATCCTAATCATATTTTGATAAAATGATGGATTTGATCCTATGTGCTCTAAATCAGAAAATATAAATGTCTTTTCTAGTCGAAAGCCACAGGCTATAATGTCTTTAGCATTGGCATAAGCTAACTTAATAGCATCTTCAATTTTCAAATTTTTCCATATGGCTTTCTCATCATCTGTTAATTGAATTACTAAAGGTACATCGAATACATCTTGTAACCATTTACAGAACATAAACGGAATAAGATGTCCTAAATGCATTGAGTCTGAACTAGGACCTCTGCCAGTATATAGATAAAAAGGTTTCCCTTGTTCGTACAAATTTAATATTGTATGCATATCTCTATGAGAGAAAAAGATCCCTCGTCGAAGGAAATGATGAGGCTTTTGTCCTGTGATTCTTTCAAATCTGCTGAGTAATTCGTCATCTATTTTTGAGCTCCCAAATCGTTCTGAAAACATAAGTGAATAATTAATATAAAGTTAACAGTAATTCCATAGTCAATATTGATATTGAACCCGTGGTCTGACGTAATAATTACTTATTAATTTATCATAATCAACTCCAGCTGCACTTTGGCTTTCCACACTCCAAGGTGTAACGACATCGTCGTCTTCCTGGCAGTTTGATGAATTTTCCTTTTTACTTTCTTCTGAATTCATTTCTTTCAGTTTAATGATCAAGTCTGCTACCTTTTGTTCTGAATAATCAGCCATATCACGTCGTAAAAGTGAAACTTACTGTACAAGACACTCGTACACCACCCATTTATTCCTGAAGCGAAGTGTAATGATAATGAACGATAGGTTATGTCGTCATTCTTGGTAATTCCCTGTCTTCGGAGAAAATAATTGTCTTCTGCTTTGTTGCACACGCACGCGACTCAATTCATATACACGCTGCACTTTCTAAAACCACGAGATGTCGTCATTTCATTGGATTTCTACTTGTGCCCTAAAAGAACAAGGTTATATGATTTCATGAACTCTCATATCACATGCGGGATTATTCATCCGAATTAACGATTGACGGTATTCGTGTATTTTCTAATCGATAAAATAGAGTTTTGCAAGCTCAATCGCTGTACTAATTAAGCGCGAACTTATACAATTATCACATTCTGTTATGAAGGAATGAGTGGATTTTTCAATCTTTATAAAATGTATAATTAATTGTCCCAGATAAAAGCAACAGGAACCCAAATAAAATCTAAAATAAATTAAATTAAATTAATAATTAAAATTTTTTATATCATTGGTGGTTGTGGAATTTGTAAGAAATAATATTGCCGTTGTACCGATTGATAATCTTATGACATCGCAACGTAAATATAGAGCAATAGATGAATTCTTTAAAATAAAGCAACGGTACGTAGTAAAAAGGATTCTTCGTTGGAATTGGTAACATCGATCGCTTACCTCATATATTTATTAGGGAATGGGGATACTGCTCATGGATCCACTTTTCGAGTTATGGGAAGTTTGAAAAATTACACTAATTTAGTTTTTGTAAATAGCGAACAACACATAACTATAATGAAAAGCCGCATCAGAAAAGACGATCAACATATTGAAAAGTTTGTATCTTGGTTCTAGTAGTAAGATCCTTTACAAATAGAGATAGATGAACATCGTTTCCACCGACATCATTGAGGATTGCCACGTGGCATTTGAGAAGGGGTGAAAACAATGATTGGAAAAAACATGACAAATATAACTTTATTGGCAAAATATAAAGTCGACACGTTTGCGACGGTTCGGCAATGTAATCGATGAGGAATGGCTATTCCATAGAATGCTGTGACCTCACACTTAAACATACAAGCCAATTTGTAAAATCTGTTTTAAATATATTGGAAAAGAATTTGGATTCATGTTTGATAAAAAAAATACATACATAAGTCGTGTTTGATGATAACTCAGATGAAACCATCGATGGTATCAAATCTTACGAAAGATATCGATGTAAAAAAAAACAATGCAGTTCTGGACATGGCTATTCAAAAAGATACTATGTTTACGATGACAATAAAAAAATTCATATCTAATGTAGCAAACTAAAATATAAATTTGTAGTATTACACCAGATCTGAATGGAAAAAGAAATGAATCAACAATTGTTACAAAAGACATCAATCTTCAGATATGTAATTCAAAATACACTTGAGATCTGTTTACAAGAAGAGCAAGTAGTCACAGTGATAACAATTCCGTTGGTTTACTAATTTTACTGAATACGTTTAACTCGTGCCAATGGACATAAATATTTTTCTTTTATAAATTTCTGTTTACTTAGAAAAAATATTGAGTTATTTTCAAAAAGTATTAACAAAAGCCATCAACAATTTACTTTATTTGCTCATACTTTGACTAGTAGTGACGGAAATAGTGATTCGTGTGATCGAGAAAAAAAAATGTTTAAACTGCTACGAAAAGATGCTCAGTTTCAAAATTTAGTTACAATTTTTTAGGAAACAACAAAACAATTGAAGAACTATATCCAGTCGCTGAGCAAATATAACAGAAGTCAATGATTTCTTAAATATTATTAAGAAGGTACTTTTGCATTAATACTTTGACGGTTCATGGCTTGACGAGCATCGTCAAAAAAATTAAAATCAATAGCATTAATGATTGCGGGCATATCCGTTTTTTAAAAATTGTTATAAAAATTTTTCTAATTATTTATAAGTTGATTTACTCATCAAAATCATCTAAAATTTAATTCTGAAGCTTACTACTATATAATATAGAGAATATTTACATCAAGTTTCAGGACAACTGGTCATCTACACCTGCGTAGCTGATTATAATAGACAGGAACGTGCCGTATACAGAAATAGGAAAAAATTAAATTATATTTTACCATTTAATTAACTAGTGTTGTACTTTTATTTTCAGGAGCTTACGAAAAAACACAATCGTTGTAAAGGCATTGTTTATGAAAGAATGTTCATGTATTATTGTATTTATTTCATTACATGATAGCACTATTATTTGATTATGATCATGAACAAAATTACATTAGGTATACACATATTAGAAATCTGAATTGTATGTATATTGGATAATCTATTTGTATAAAAATTAATTTCAGTTCAACATATATAGCAGTTTTGATGTTCGAATAGGTACACTGTAGCTTATAATCGATCTTTTCGAGGCATATAACAGTTTTGTAAACAATGATCTTCGTTTATTTTCATTATTATTACATAAAAAAAATGGAGTTTTCGTACATCGTCTGTTCATTTATACAGCATGCTATATTTTTAGCAATTCACGTATGTATAAAAACAGATAATTCTCTTTCGATAGTTTATACATTGACTGCTTTAAATCATTATGTTCAAATGTTTGGCTACAAGCGATAAAATGGTGATACCACATTTGGCTTAGCAAAAATAAGATATATATACCCTGAGGCAGTTTTATATAATTCACGAGTGAGAGTATACGTGTAAATTTTAAAGTGATCTAGAGTATTCAATTTTTTTTTATTATTAAAGCCGGAATTCGATGCTTAAGAAATGTTAAGGAAAAATAAACGCAGTTCAATTATATCATAATTTGTTCGAAAAATCAATGATGAGAGAGCCTTTTAATTCAATGAACAAAACCTATATTAGCACTTGGCACAAGTGGATTACAGATTGCCCTACACAAGCGTATTGTTTTATGGATAATATTTACAATAATAGCGCTTATTTTGACACTTATATTACAAAATGATATTACATTCATGGCTTGGCCTTTCTTTATGCGTTGTAATATTAGGTAGAAGATTTAATTTAATAATTATTTTCAATTTTTTTCATCTGAAATTTTCAAACGCTTAAATTAGTGAGTATTTTATTATGATACATTCTTTAATTGCAAGTGGTATGAACAGAATTTTTCTTAAAAGTTTTCATCTTTCTGCTATAGCAAGAATGCTTTCCAAGAACCATTTTTATACATTGTTAAATAAATAATTCATCACATACACACATTTCTGAAATGATTCATACGGAATCTCTTATCATACACCATCAGTTCATGTACGTTTGATATATAATGTGAACTTGACATAATCAGTCATACTCAGATAAAAGAGCATAGTTCAATAAAGCCTTGATTATACCTACATAGAATAGGTAGTTGTTGTTTCCAATTAAAACATTACGAAAATTTACTGTCGTTTTAGACTTTAAGGAAATAATTAATTTTAACAACATTATTCAAAAGATAGCTTTTTCCAATTCTAATTTTTTTAAAGTGCTGATTGAAATTACATGCTACTTTTATAAATGGCTCTTTTGAATATAATCGTAAACACGTACGTGCGTCTATCAACTTTTTTGTTTTGTACATATACTATTTCAAAATTCAAGATTTCCAATCACAGACTGCCGAGAAGTGAAAATATGGCTTCATCTTACGCCTGTCTTATAATTCTCACAAATATTGTTCCCCCGTTCAGAAATAGTTGTTTTGCATTTCATTCGATGATACAAAATCAATGCTTTCTATGTGATAATTTGTTTTAATATAAATTATCATTTTATATCTGTGGATAAAAACCTATTCCATTAAATTTTTTATCGAATAACGCACGAAAAGAAATATGAAGTGGTATCAGGCATATATTTGTATAGAGTGTATATCGAAAATCTTTTGACAATATTTCTCTGACAAAACATTTTTATAGCATAAAAATACGTTTTATCTCAAGTTTCACCATGTAATTCAATAAATATTTCTCATATTTTTCCTCCTATCCTAATGACTTAATTGTATACTTTCTTTCCGTAGCCACACAGTATTTCTTCAATATTTGAACTCTACGAACTATTCTAAGCTTTCTTTTGTAAACCGATTGTACTTTTCATTTCATTTGTTGTACTTTCAATTTCACCATATTCTTTCATAAAATGTAAGTACTTATTTTATTAATGCCCATTAATACCTGCTTAACGTCCGTCCGTATATCCTCAATAATGGTACATAGTATATTCTGAAAGTCACATCACAAATCATTCGACATATTAGATATCAAACACATTATTGAAGTGTGAGGTAGATAAAAAATTTATTAAGTTCAATGCTAAACTATCATTGGTAAGTAATTCGTTTTACACTAACCATTGTAAAAAATTATAATACAATTATTTTGATATGAAAGCGAATAGCAATAAGTAAAGAAAATCTAAAATTCTAAAGGTTCGCAAATCCTACATAGTTACAATAGTAGTAAAAGAGTAATAATTACTTTTGAAATTATCAATACATTTGATTTATCATTATTAGAACTAGTCGTTTACATCATTATTCCTTTGATCAAAAGTGAGATTGGAAGTATAAAACGATATATCCTATATTACATTATACTCTCGCATCGCTCGGCGTTTTATAGAGTATATAGAACCAGCATGTGGAACCATGAGCTGGAAATGGAGTTTATGGCGCATATGATTTTGTTTTAAATTTGACAAACGCACAAACACGGCTATTGAGTGTTTTTATCGAGTTTCACGAAAAATTGTAATTATTTATATAATACATATTTGGTGTTCGTGATAAGCGAAACCGAGCCTTCCCAGTTTACCCATTTCAATAATGTTTGCGTAGAATCTCGTAAGATCATTCTCCTGTTTGATTACGATATGTACAGATCAACAAAGACAACGTAACAAGTCTAAATATCAATAATTCAAGTTGCATCACAACGAAATCTTTAAATAACGGTGATGCGTAGATGAAAGCCGCTGCGAACGACACGAATCATTGGGCGGAATTCACTCGCGCGTTGGCATTAAAACAAAGCGAGTCTGGAAAACGCGTCACGCTCGGCCTTGAACGCATCGTGAAAACAACCCGTGCTAAATTCAGTATACACATCACTGAATTTAATGATCTTTCGCTGGAATCTTGATATACGAGCGATTAGTCTCGCTTAAGCTCCAAGTGCCTATTCAATTTGCGATCTCGAACAAAAAGAAATGGAAAAAGACGGACGAGAGAAGAGTTGTTTTACAATGAATAAAAAGTGAAGAGCTTTAATTCTATAAAAGTCACAGAGGTGAGCCGACTAGTCTTTTTGTACGATGATCTTTGATTAGGAAACGAAAAGGAATCGTTAGACTAGTAAGAAAAGCAATACTTGTATCGCAATAACATTCCTTATAACCGAAAACAAATAACAAATCTTTGGCAATACGTTAGCATCTGATACTAACTGAACAGTAAAATATGTCATCTACACATGAGAAATGCAAACTCGAGAAACACGGACATCGATGAGATTTGTTAATCGTGTTTTTGAAACACTTTCGTACAATCACACCCTGACGCCAAGTCCCGTTTCGGTTTTAATATCTGCGACGACGGTAATGTCGAAAGTAGGCGTACAAACCTCCGTAGGCGTAGGTGTAGCCAGAGGTGCCAGTCTCGAATCTTTGCAAATGACCGGTCGTACTTGTGGTCTACTCCGATGTATAGTAGGTTCAAGTCTCAAAATCGCGCACAATCTTTCATTCTGCTCCCTCGTCCGAAACATCGATTCGGTGGATTTGCTTTGCAATTCGAGTTGTACCTCGCGTTGGAAAGCTGCTGGTCGCCCCACAAGATTCGCACTCGAAGACGAGCAACGATTCTTTGGCACTGGAATTATTTGTTCGGGCTCGTCAGCTTCGAACGAAGTGAAGATGTTCTCGGAATCGGGAGCACTGAAGAATGATTCGCGCAGAGATGAGCTCAAAGCGTCGGAGCACATGAATGGTTCAAGGCAAGAGGTCAGATCGTTGAGATCACTGCCACTAGTGTTAGTGCAGGTTTGGAAATTGTTGACGGAATAAGAGGAAGGAAAGCGTGGATGTTCCATTACGTTCGACAGGATCTCTTGACTGCGGGACGACTCGGACCATTTGGAATCGGACGGGCGACGTGAACTAAACCTCGTCGAGTCGTGTTCTGGAAAGATAGAATCCGTCAATCTCTCCCTCAAACCGCAACGCGACAGAAGATCCGACAGCTCTTGCGGATTAACAACGCCATTCTCCTGCCGTTGACTATAATCTTCGATGTTCAGGAGAACCGACGGAATCACCGGATCCGAATATCTCACAGGGCTCTTGAGGTTTCGTTCGAATGGCTGCGTTCGTACAGGAGTAGTCGGGTTATGGTTGGAACACTCTTCCTCCTTCAAAGAGTCCAGTGGTAGAGGATCTATAGGACTTGGCGGTTCCGAGTGAATGGTCGGCACTATTAGAGTATCCATCAATCTTGACGGTTCCAGTAATCTCGTATGATACGTCGCTGGAAGCGTGTTGATAGACTCCGAGTGATTCAACAGATCCAGGTTCCATTTTGCTTGAACGATCGACTCTGTTTTTATTGGTCTCATCGCGGACGGTTGCTCGTGATTGAACAGACTAGCCAGTCGATTAGGCGTAATAGTCAACTGTTTTGTCGAAGATCGGAGCTTAGGACTACTTTTCAAACTGGATCTAGTGCCATCGGGAGTTGGTAATGATGCGTAACTCGTCTGTTGAAACCTAAGTTCTAAGCTCGGACTTGGCGAATCGGCGAATCTGTTGTTGAATCGTTGTCGCGCACGTGCCCAGCTGAACGACCTTCTGTGATTCTCAACGCGTTGATGATGCTGGGCGTAACTCTTGACGTACCTAGTGTCGAGATTGTGCACCGAGTATCTGTGGTCGTCAGCGGATGTTCTGCTCGTAGGAATGAATCGCATATTCATCTCCGACTCGACGATTTTGTTTTTGATATTGGAGTCGGATACCGACGCCAATGTTGTACTTTTTCTTTCGTAGGTCTGCTGGCAATCGATGAATTTTCTCGATTCGTTGTCAGGGGTATCGGCATTCAATTGTGGATCGGACATGGTATTCAGATGCATCGAACCTTTTCTCGCCACTGTTGCCACGCAGTCAATTTTGAGATTCTGATACGACACGAATCGACTGCCATTTTTGCCGACTGTTTTTCGGTGATTTAGTCTTCGCAGATGACGAATCTTGCTGAAAGTCGGATCGAGCAAGTACTTGAGATTTTTGATTTTGTCGATATTGTGATTAGAGTCGATCATGTGATTTCTGTATACGATGTACTTAGGATCGAGCATTTTCGTCAAATCATGTATATTTTCCTCGATGACGTCGCTGTGTCTGATACTCTCCGATGACGAGGCACGATCCATTTTTTCCGGCGAGATGTCTAGATTTTTACTCGACATCTCGAGGCAACGCCGACTCGCGTAGACAATGCTCTGGTGTTGTCTCGCGGCGAAACAGTCCTCGACGGGTGGCCTACGTTCCTCGAGACTGTTGTTCACCTCAGCTAGCTCTAAATTCGTGTTGGAGCCTCGGCGCGCGGGCGAGCAGCCGTAGCGACTTGGTGTCACGCCGAAGCGAGAAACGATGTCTTCGGCTATCTTACCGGCGGCGATGCGTATCTCGCCGTGGTGAAACGCGTATATCCATGGATTTGCGCCACTGTGAGCGAGAATCGGAAGGCCCAGCCAGATTGTGCAATCCGAGATGATATTCGTGCCGCAGAAGAAGTCCAGCAGCATGCAGGTCTGTAACGATAAGTCAATCGAATTTATATTCGCTCGCTAGATGAATGTTGATTGAAAAATTTTATGAAAATTACGCAACGTTTACTTCAGAAACAGATTCTTCAATTTACTGCGCTCTCGAATTGAACGTTATTCAATCGTAGAGATTGTTTGAATCATAAAAAGCGGCAGCTGTTAATTAACAAGCGTTTCTTGTCTTACGAAATGAAAAATGTTCTCGCAAAAACAATTCACTTGGAAATATAGCAAATTTCAAAACTGTTTTATAATGTTGCATAAAATGAACATAGCGGCTAAGAAGAAGATAAAACGTATAAATAAAATAAGTATTTGTTTCTCATTTCAGTATAATTATAGTTTCCAAATTAAGGTGGCTGCACCAGGAGGACAGGCCGTATCGTATCGTGGCACCCTTGTGAGTTTCATAAATCTGAAAACTTTATTCAAAGTAGTTCTATATTTGACTACTCCTTCAAAAAGCAACGAATTTATGCTTGATAGTGAAAAAATAACGAAACAAAATTTTTTTATGTTACTACTTTCACGATTTCGTCTCTAAAACGCGACCACTTGTCGTATTTTTCTTCTATATTTATTTATCAGTTCAATGACTATTACTTTTCTTTTCAGATATTAATTTAGTAATTGTATTGGACAACATTATAATTTTTAGAAAGAATCTGTCATTTATTATTCAAATTATTAGCGAAAATGTGAACACGCGATCCTTCCCTCCGACCGATCTTACCTATATATAAAGACTCAACTTTGACAATCGTTTCTGTTTATTTAGATCGATATATTTATTTTTACGGAATCTAAAAGTTCGTGCAAAATATTGTCTAAATAAAATTGTTCGTTCGACTCTGTCGTACGATAAAATTTGATGGAGCCACCTGAAATCTGTAGTCAGAGTCCCAAAGTTTCGCAGCTTCACGGGTCTCGGCAAAGTTATGGAACATTGACACCTCGAGGTAGAAGAGAAAAAAAGTCTAGACGCGATAAAGGATTCAGCAGTTCAACAAAAGAAAAGCAAAGAGCGAGCGTGTCGGCAGACTAAAAGCTCGAACAGTTTAATAAGAATTGACAGAGGGACTCATCCGCATACCTGAGCGGTGAGAGAGGGAAGTGATCCAAGAGAGCGTGCAAGCGAGAAAATGCGAATAAAGTGCTTTTTCTTCGTTCTGTGTTTTCACAGGAGAGAAGAGGATAAAAGGAAAGGAAGGCTCTTTGGGCCGTCTGCGCGATTAGGAAAGTTGGCCGTCGCCCGGCCACTTGGCAACTTTGCGCGCGGGGATTCGAGAGAAGCACAGGGAGATGCTTAGCTTGCTCGTCGGGCGAGGAAAACTTCATTACACTACAACTTCTTCGAGGGAGCTACACCAAATGTTTCGTTTTCTCGCTCGCTCGAGTCGCTCATTTACATTCAGAGTGTTGCTAATCTAACGTTTTTGATGTACTATTTCACGTCCGTGTCGGCGTGTGAGTAAGACATTGAAAGAAGTATTTTTATGTTAACTTAAGACGGCAATTTTGTGGTATTTTAGGTATTCAGTTGAGAAACAAAGCTCGTGAGAGAAAAGAATAGAAATATCGATCGAAGGAAGAATGGAATTAGTTGCGCATTCGACACTGGGAAAGAGAGAGAGAGAGAGAGAGAGAGAGAGAGAGAGAGAGAGAGAGAGAGAGAGAATGCAATGCTGCGAAATCAGAAATTGTTGTCGCGTACTTGTCGAGTCGGAAATTCCAAGTTCGCCGTCAAGAGCGTTTATTACGTCGAGTTATCGATTGTCGCAATCAGTCAGAATAGAAATTGCTTCACTATCGAGTGTGTGCTTAAATTGTTCGATAGATTTGTCAAGTAACTTTCACACTTATTTTAGATTTTACGCTTAAATAGATCATGCTAATTATCTTGCAAGCATTTCACTGATATAAAGGAATTTGTGTTTGTCGAACTTTGCCGATACACGATAGATAGCGATTTCGATAACTTTCGTTGCAAGGAGAGCGAAATATTGGACAAAGGTCTTGATCATTCGAGCTTAGATTCTTTAAAGTGTTAATACAATAAAAGAAGTAAAAAGAATAAATTGCAAATGAATTACCTGAAACGGAAGCCAAAGTATGAAGAATGCGCCAACGGTAACTGCGAGTGTTTGTCCATAACGCGGCAGCGCCATGGTTTGCGTCTGATTGCGAAAGGACAATTCGACCGTGTAAATGGCACGGGCGTGAGCTCGTGCCACGAAATACACGTACATGTAGCAGCCAAGCAGTATGAAAGCGCTCGGCGCCCATACCATCGCGAACAGGATGACGCGCATTGGTGGCATTATCACTCCGCTGAACCGACAGCTGCCACTGTAAGAACATTAGAGTCTCCTGTTATTGAAATGTTTTTTTTCGGCTTTTCTTCGACGTGGCGTGCGGGGAACACACACCCACACGCATACAAGTGGATGATATCAGTGTTTGATCAACCAAAACCCCGTCCGCGTTTACACTGGTACTTAGATTTTTTTTTTTTTCGTCTTTTTGCGTTTCGATCCATAACACGCTGACCGAGAGAAAGTACGATTTTCGTCGACAAAGTATACGTGGGATCGAGAGAACGTAAATACACGTCCCGTACCTACAGTGTATACGAAACCATCCCGGCTATAAATAATCGTCTATTGTATACGGACCAGCAGACGGTGACGCGATATTACAACGCGCGATTCCACGCTCGCAGACATCATTTTGTCGCATTTTCGGATTCATTTATCCGGCTGAGGTGTCGCGTGAATCACTCCGGGGCTCCCTGATTTTCGCGTTGATCGCGACTGCCATTCTCGCGAAATCCATGTCTTGGGATATTGCACGTGCGTATTTGCCGAATGCATAATATCAGATGTCGAAAAAAAAAATCTTCATTTGCGTTAGATGCAAATTTTAATTAAATTTGTTAAACGAGTTGTGAAATTAGTATACTCGAGTAGCTTTAATTTATAACCGCTCATTCGTTTCCAGGAGCGAGGTAATTAAGTTTTTTCGTTTTTATTACATTTTTATTAGCTCTCTTTCTCTGGCATAATTTTCTGAAAACGCCACTCAAATTCATTCTTAATTAAATTCCTCGTAACTCATGCCGATAACAATAATAAATTTTAGCGTCGTATCGAGTGTAAAAACAGCGGGCTTTATAATTGCTATTTTCCAAGAGACTTCACTCGTGACCTTTTCTCTGATCGCAAACAGCACAGGCGCGATTTGTGCGTTTGGCATATTGATCGGCATTATCGGGCCACGTGTGGCCGCGAAATTTTGGCGATGATCGCCGCGGCGAGCTGGAAAATTGAAAAAAACAAGCTCTTTCGGCGCGAGCGCTGATATACAGGCCCCACATCTCGCGCACGCCAAAATCCGATAATCCATGCGTCGTGTCGCGAGAAGCCATCAGACGCGTAAGCTTCGTGTGCGCTAAATGATTTGAAAAAAGCTTGGCTCTTTGTTCCCCGACTTTTTTTCCAGTTAAAAGCTTACGACATGACTGTATCGGCATTCACTGAACTACGAAGCTTTTGGTGTCTATTCGTGGAACGTAAACGCGACAACGATGGCTTTTATTCTGTTTTTAATACTTACATGTCAATGTCTAATAAATTGTTATCATTTCATTAAATGACTTTTTCTTCGAGTACAGGCGTCGCTCGAGAATATTTATACTCGGACAAAGAAGCGAAAGACAAAAGGGTTGACTTGGGTTAACCCCCTGCAGAAGCTCTTTGGCTTTATGAGACCATTCTTTGCAATAAAGGTACGAGTGCACATAAGTAGCCAGTGAATGTGACTTATCCCAGGTACTTCGCAAGTCACAAACTTTAGCCTCTCTCGTCCCAACGAAATGAAAAAGTTTACGAACGTAGTAACGACTAATAGACGATAATAAAACTGACCAGTGCAATATTAATTTGAGATATAGCGCTGCTGAAAATTTTAATTAAACTTGCCAAAAGCAATGCACGAGCGAGAGAGACTTGTTACCATACATCCTTATTATGCCATTTGAACTGGTACAATACCCGGAGCAACAAACATCACGCCATTCAATCAGCCCTTCTTACGCTTCATTATTTTGTCTTCTAACAGAAGCCGAAATTTTACGGGAGCCCCATGTTTGCGCATATTACGCGAGACGCAAGATGTGCGTAGACGTAAATGTCACATCAAATTTTCAGGTTTATGAAAACGGAGAGCTTGCGCTGTTGAACAACGTGCATATATGCGTTATGTTTATTATTGTTATTTTTAGAAGCAATATTCTAGAATTTTTTTAGCTCTAACGATCATGGCGTACAAATTAACAATTCCAAATTCAAAAACATTGTATAAGAATGCTTCCTTACCGGTGTAACTATAGGTTGGAAAGGTGTGCCAGAATATTTATACAGATACGTATATTTCGTTGTCAGAAAGAAATTGGTCGATAAAACATAAGCAGGCTCGCTGAGATGCGACGATAAAGCGTCCAAGTAGCATTGTCAACCGATATCCCAACGGATAAAACCTGCTGCACGTTATGGGACTCCGTTTACGCACGTCTGACACGAGGTCTCGGCAGTCAACCGTAATAAAGGTATATACGCATGCATTGCGACAACGATCTTATTGAATTTACCCGAGGTTTACGGGCTCGATCGTCTTAAAAGAGCCGCCCACGACTAATGCAACTAATAAGCTCCTCGTTCGATCATCTTCTTCCGTGTCCGAGTGAAAGTTCCTATAGGTTATTACTGACTAATTCAATTGTCACGATGAGGGGTTCGGGTTCTTTTATGACGATTTATTCGATTATAAGGAATTCACAATCTACGGTCGAACTAAAACATGTTTTTAAATTTTAGCGTGAGTAGCTGCGTAATTGACAAAGTATCACAGCAATTTTATTTATAAGCAAATAGAGTAACAAGTTTACGAGAAGCTAACTGTATAGCAATATCAAGGGCAAATTAAAATGAGATGAGCGATATAATTCGAAACTGCGAGTTATACCAAGTTTTCTTAGCCCTTCATACATCTTCGACGAATTCATGTAATTATCAAAGTTTCGTTCGCGTAGCAAGCTCATTGTACTTATGCTCGCGTCGTTCGCTTTGACTCACATATGATCCGATGCATAGCTGAATGCAGAACTGTCACGAGATCAAAATTTTGTTCCACCCGAATACGATGGAATTAACTAAATGCATCTGCGTACGAGTTGTACAAAGTGTCTACGTATTGACCACTTAATTAACCAAGTTTATTGAGCTTTGCTTCGCTCAAGTAAAAGGCAATAATCGCCGTAATTTCAAAATCTCCGTTGCAGAAAGAATTTTTTCAGGCACTGCGCGGAGCTGTCATACAAGCCGCTATATTTGAAGTACGTGACCCCGCGTACGAAGACGACAGCGTTCGATTGCATACGCTGAATAGTCGTTTTGTAGCTTACCACGCGTATATCTTTATCGTCGCAGCCTCCCTTTCACATAATCGTTCTCTCAGGTGCATTAGCCGCGCGACGCTTTCACGAACAAATGCTCCCCATTTCTCACGTGATCGCGACGTTTTCCTTTCTACTACGTCGTAAGGATTTTTTACTTTTGTAACATTGACTTTGTAAAAGTTGCATTTTACGTTCTATCGGCCTTTCTCGAATATTTAGCGTAACTTTTAGATCGGAACCCAACCCTTGAAGTTCTTCATATCCATTACGCAATTGCATTGTTCAATCTAAGTAACTTTTTTTAGCGTCAGTTGCAAAGTGTTTCATAGCATCGCGTAGTTTATCCAACATTTTTCATTTTGTTGAGAGTAAAAGTAATCAAGCTATATGACTGATGGAAATGAAATTGAGCGATTTTATTCCCCTTAGTTTCTGCTCAACGTTTTAAGTGCAAATTGAAGGTATGAAAGTGCCCCTTAACTGGAGAAAGTTGCCGAATCATTCGCGCTTGAAATCGAATGTCCTAATGAACGTAACGAACCAATCGAAGTTTGTCTGTAAAAAAGTGCAACTCACCTGTAGGTCTGGCTAGTGTCGGAGAATCTAGCATATACGAGAGGCGACAATCCCACAGCGATGGCATAAATCCAGAAGCTCACGATGTACTTCTCGATGCTGCTGTGAGTGATGATGTTCTTGTATCTGAGCGGTTGTGCGAGCGAAGTGGTTCGATCGGCGGCAATGGCGACGGTGACGAGTACACTGACGCTACAAAGTGCTATGAGGGCGCAGTAAGGTAACACGCAGAAACCAGCGATGGCAGCTACCGGTCTCGTGTTGGTCGCCTCCGATCGATTCGCAAGCTCAAGGTACGTACCGAACGGCATGAACACGCCGACCTGTTGAATGCAATGTTTGTTTTTAATCATTGCGTGTGTGTGCGTTTGCAGCCGAGGGGAAAGATGATGTTGTTTGCTGATGGCAATTCAGTCTTTTCATTAATACGAGATGTGTATGCGTTTGACGTGACCTCGCTATGTGGACTGTTATAATACCGTGTTTCTGCTGATGCTGGGTTATTTTACGAGAATGCGAGTTTACATGACTCTTGGTGCTTTGTTTACTTCAGGCACCTTGGCTTGCTATTGTTTCGAGGCAATTTTTTTTACGGAATTTATAATGCTTGCAAAGCGAATTGTTTGATTTTTTTTTTTGAAATGTCGATATTTCAATATTCCTATCGAAAACGTTATCGAATTAGAACCAGACGCTACTTCGAATTCTCTTCACCACCATTTAAAAATTACAATGCAAGTACGTATCATCTTAAAAATGAATTATCTTGTTGCAAATTCCGACCGTACACGGCATATAGAACGAGATTCAAAAATGGAACAAAGTGTATAGAGCAGAACCCCAGCAAAGCGACTCGATTAGAGAACTGTTCGCTCGGGAGCGGTGCTCAGTAAGACGCGATTGCTGAACGTGCCGACCAATTTGCCATGTGTGCGCTCACCGAAAAGTCGCTGACGGCAAGCGACACGAGGAGGTAGTTGGAAGCAGTCCTGAGTCTTTTGTATTTGTAGAACGCGGCGAGGATGATGGAATTGCAGCCGACCGTCAGCAACGAGAGCACGAGCACGATTATTCCAGCGAGTACCACCGCCACAGGGCCAAGCTCGAGTGGCGCACGACTCGCTTCCACGACGCGCGTCACACTTGGCAGCAGCGTGCTCGTCACGCTCACCTCGCCAGACATTGTCATTCGCCACGCTCCTGCAACAGACACGTCGATATCGGATTAGTCGCAGCTGGCGTTCAACGCTTGATCACGTCTAAATCATTTGTTTATCTGTGCGAGGATTCTGCCGACGCTACTTCCGCTGTATTGAGATAAGGCCTAGAATGGATTATTGCATCAATTATTCCGACAACTGATGACGCAAAGAGCAGCTGTGGTGTTTATTTAATTTAAGTTGTTGCGCTGCTATCTACACTGAACGTTCATACTATTGTGCAGTATCGAAGGATAATTTTGAAAAACATTTGAGATTTCGCAAGCTTCTCAAAGGGGCATTCATATCGCGAACACTTTTGCTTGTTTCGCCTAGAAAAAGACCACGGTGGGCGTTTACATTCGCGAGAGCGCCAGTTCATCTCGGCAAAGAGCATCTAGCAATCGTCAGCAATCAGCTGGGAGCTGATGTAAGAAAAATGAAGATGCTTCACATACTGACCGTGCTACGTTGATTGCAGGCTTAAGTCAGGTTTTGCTCGTGTGAACGCCGCGACGACATGTCGTCGCCGATGCGCCTCGAAAGCTCAGCTCGACGTCTGTCTTCCGCTGCTTCTCCTTCCTTCAGTTTGCGGCTAATTCGATCACACGGTGACGCCAATCGACAGCTACATCGTTCTGCAATTACAATTTCTCGATCAGAGTTTGCTTGGGGTCGAAGAGTTAAGGGCGCCTCTGCGTGTGTGCGAGCGCCGTGTTAATTTACTAGCGACGAGGCAAAGTTTTGCACGCGCGCATAGCAATCTACATCACTAAAACTGGCTGCTGATTAAAACTAAGAAAGATGTATATACGCGTCGGAATGTAGGTCATGTTGCGAGAGAAAGCGTGCTGCTGCTGCGATCTTGAGCAAGAGGAAGAACTGTGTTTACAGTGGAAATTACTTTCACTCTCGACCGTGCGCATTATTATTCCAATCGGAAATTTAACAGTTTTCAAGATAGCTTTGCGTAAACTTCTTTCACATCACTTTATTCGGCATTGAATTCGAAGCGAGAATTTACAAGATTTTTTTAATCTTTCTCGTCCGGATACACACTGAAATGGTTAAACTTGTTTTTTAGTCGATATACCGTTTTATTCAGCACGAAAAAAAAAAAAAATATATATATATGTAAAAATCAGTCGAATCTATTATTTCAAACTCATACTGAAATATGCAAAGGGAGCTGACTGAGCCGTAAAAAATTCATTCGAATAAGTAGCTTCCAAGTCACGAACGGAGAGAACGATCGCGGGCTCTAGCACATATTTAGACACGTGCGAGGAATCATCATTTCTCATCGGTCATGCCGATAGCCTGCGTGCATGGTGTTCAAAAGACACCGAAATAGCCGCAGCAAAGCTTGATCACGCGCGCCTCGTGAAACATCGCGTCAATTTGGAATTAGAAGGATCTATTATATCTGCGCGAAAATCCTGGTCGCTTATATCGTCAACATTATCGTTCTCACGCGCGCGGTGTGCGTGACCTACATTTGGAAAGCTATATCAGATTACAAACGCGGTTTCTCTCTCTCTCTCTCTCTCTCTCTCTCTCTCTCTCTCTCGGATGTCCCATCGCTCTTCGTACGTACTCGTATACTCACGCGAGCTTGTCGAGACTTGGTCTTGACATCACTAGCAGAAGCCATCATCTCGATACTCAACCAATTTATTATTAGACAATTGGATAAGGAATGACTCTGACCTTCCTTGTCTCGATTACAGCGGTACTGTTTGAATTGGTTTTTTGGACTGCCTGAAACAGAAATAAACGATAGATGATTCGTTCCCGCTGATATTCTACAGAGCGCCTGACCATTTCGGAATTATTCTACTTGGGATGTACATGGGGTTGCACATTGCGCGGATGGCATTCGAAATGCTCGCGCGTTTTTATGCGTACAAATTATAGCTCAGCTATTTCAAGTTCATTAGAATGTAAACGGACCGATTGTTTCGGCAAACTTTGCGCTCGTATTCTCGCGTTGCTTCGAGAACGCTCCCACGCTATTCTTTCACGTATATACAGCGTAATAATGTATTATAGTGATGTTATACAGGCATTCTGTAAACTATGGAGTATCGACGTTTCGCTTGACGGGATGTAGAAAACGCATTCAGCCAAATATCGTACGTTATGATGATCCGTTTTCGGTTTGAATATTGAATAAGGATGTTTCATTATTGCAAAAGTATTGCGTATGCACAGCAAACGAAGAATATCCAATGCAACGACGATTCATTTCTGTTAATTGAATATAATAAATAAAGCTGAAAAAAATAGTCCGGCGTTTGAGCGGAGAACATCGGCATTTGGAAAGTTATTGAGTATTTAATAGCCCAACCCAAGCCTAGTCTCGCCTCATTCGTTTAACGTCGAAAACTCAGGCAGACAATTCGTCGCTGTTTGCAGGTCAATTACCGCGGGCACGCGTCGCTTCTCGTCGCTGCTCGCTCGCAAGCGGCAAACTCGAAAATAGCTTAGGCACAGTATGCATAGGGTCCTACAACGAAGAGACGCGAAAGAGCATTTCCACGAGAAATTCGCGTCGCGCTATAAGGTGATATGCCCTAGCTAGGGTGCGCATTAGCCAAATGCTCCCGCCGGCGGCCAAATACAAGCATCGTGTTATGAGCGCCCAGCGTCTCCACGGCTCGAGCTAGACTTCAGCTCGCGTTTCGCGCATACGCGCGCGATGGAAATTTTGCGCTTGGCGGGATGCTCCGAGGAATATAATTGCCCTCGCTTCAGTGTACTCGGTGCTCGGGCTTTTGTTTGTAGCGTATGAATAAGCTATGGTGAGAGTTATTTTGTCTTTGTTGAGGGGTTTGTCACCGCTGGAACGTCACTTTTTATCACCTTTTTCTTTGCACCCGCACGCTTTGTATATCGGTAAATGTTCTTTCATCTCGTTTCGCAAGAATTCTCTTGCATACGCGTATTTTGCAGATGTACTAATTTATTGCTTTTGCCTCGTTTCATTTTCGCTCTCCCCAGAAAGAGATTCTTTTATTGCAACGCCATCTTATAAGAGGATTCCTCGACCTACCATATCAAAGCTTTTTGTTTTCATATACTTGTTGCCAGAGAATAAACCTCACAACTATCGAAGATTCACACAGACATGCATATGTGGAACTATGGTAGTGCATATTTTCGTTTTTTATATTAAAAATAATGACGTCTTCTATGATTACTTTAAAATAAAAAGCACATAATATCCAGTCTGTTGGCTCGTTGCGAGCATTTAACACTTTACATGCACGCTTGAATTAATCATATATACTCATGCTTCACTCTACGCTGTGCAGTCAATTGCTGTATGCCAATTGTAATTGGCATAAATCAGCCACAACAAAATCGTATTTACACTGTTAGACAGCCATTTCACGACACAGCAGACGTAACCCTAACAAAAGTCATCCATTTCGCTTTGAAATAACATTAAGCCATATTATTTCTTTTTTCGCAATCTTATTTAGAGCATAAAAATCGGATCAGAGTCGCGGCAGAAAGAAAAGTCCCCAGCGTGAAATAAAACGTACAACGTCCGGGAGGAGGCTAGGCGAGATCCTAAGCAAGCTCGTCCCGGAAAAAGAGCTTTTTCCTACGGTGTCACCCGGGCGATGCAGGTGCGCATATCGGGGAGCTGAGTACGATGACATCGCGGCCCACTTTTCTCGGACACTCACTTTTTTCTCCTGTACACGGCGGATTAGAGACGACCCTGTACAGTCGCAGCACTGCAATTTGCTACTACGCCATCAAGCGATTAACGTTAGTACGAACTCACCGTCATTATTCTTTTATTTTCTTTGTTTTTTATTCGTGTGAAGCTTGGACGGGTCATTTATCAAACGACGGTACGGCTGTCTTGTCACCACGCGAGATTCCGATCAGAATGTATAATCACGTTGCGAATTCATCGATTATTAATTAAAAGGCTAATGACGACGTCGATGTGCGCTCAAGGTTGTATCGATTTCTCTCGATTAAATGCGGAATCGGAAAATTAATTGTGCGAAACACGTATGTCGGGGGATTGATGACGTGTTAATTCAGCAGTGCGTCCGTGGCTGCACGTACGTGGTTGCGCATTTTATGCGCGAGAAGAACGTACTCGAAATGCGACGCGTACGCGCGTATCGAGAAAAAGCTGAATCCCTATTTCGTTTTTACCGCGACGCATCGAATGTACGAGTCTTCGACGTGGGAGAGAAAAAGAAAGCGAACGAAACCCTCTGTGCGCGGCGCGCATATCCAGCTCGCGGTCGAAATGCATTTTTCAAACTCGAGCAATAATTCGCTGCAGCGGCGAACGTCGAGAATCCACTTGTTCTATTTTCCTGTTACCTTGAAAAAATACTAATGCACGTTTCGCTGAGCCGACTTCGCAAATTAACTTCGTGTGCCGCATGTAGGATTCGGCTGTTGTTACGTGGGGCGTGAATTTGGTACGATGCGTCCCCGTGGTAGCCTTGTGTAGCATGTTAAAGCCTTAGTATTCGCTTTTCTGAAAATATTTTCACTCGTATTTGAGGCACTGCGAGAACTCCAATTAATAACCGCATGTCCGTAGCTCTTATTTTGCCTAGGCTTTGCATACACGCACATGGATGGCCAATCAATGGCGTTGGAATTTACTGTTCATCCTTGCAATATATACTTTTATTTTGATTTTCTGAAAGACAACTTGACGCTAGGGAATGCCAAGCTATAATTGATTTCCAAGTCTTTTTGAACGTTAGAATTGCTGAAAGTGCAACTCGCTGAAAGAATGCACGAGAGAATACTTACAAAGAAAAGGACTGATCGAACCAAGTAATTCCCCCTACAAAAGAACGGATACGAAGACAAAAAGATAATATCTTTTTATACCATGGTCACTCGGTAATGTACGTACCATTGAGAGAAAGAGAGAGAAAGCAAAGAAGTACGATGGCAAGTCGAGGAGTTTCAACAAAAAATATGGCACATATACAACACGAAAGCTCTTGTACAGAAAAATTTATATTAACGTTTTACCCGAATGCTTATGATATAATTAACTAATAACTGATTAACTTTTAGAAATAAATTCTCTAAACTGCTACAGATCCATTTGAGCAATCTTTCTCTTATCGAACTAAGGAGCAATGAATTATTTTATACTAAATCATAAGCGCGACACACGTACTTGTTAGATTTGTTTACCATAGAGGTATTAAATATTGTAATCCAAATTTTACATAGCATGGTGATATTTACATCGCAAGGAATATTTATATGCAAAAAATTGTGTGCGTGCGAGAGATTATATTCAGAGATCACAGTGATTGTTACTTTGTTATATTCTCAGTCTCAAACGGCGCAAATTTGTTTATTTCTTTGATTTGCAATCGTTGAACGCTACGTATATTATGCCTATATTGGTTTTATAACAATTCCTTTATTTTATTGCATCCGATTGTCGCTTTATATTGTTTTCAATATTATAAATACGTAACAGCTCAGAAAATTTACGTTTATATTTTTTGCTTTTCTATGTCTAACGCATACATTTTCATAACCGATGACATATTTATCATTTATTGGGTGTTCAGACAATGCAGAAATGGTATTTATACCGCCATGTTTCGACAATCCTTTGTTTACTATCACTACACTTATGAAATTTTCAATTGTTAGAAGCATTAAAACGTGTACAAAAAAAGGCGAAAAAATGTTTTGACTTTGACTATGAACTGCCGCTGTGCGGTATCCTCGTGGTTGACCTGCAACCAGATGGCGTCGACATGCCCGCGAACGGTAGGATACGCATTTGTTGTATGTATGAACTTGATAGCGACCCGCACACTCTGTACGTTTGTTATAACGACCGTCGAGCTTTACTTCACACAAGTCCAGGCGGTAATATTGGAACGAAATGCTTCTACTTTTGCCAACCTCTTTTCATCTCTGACTCCTGCTCCGAACCTGGCTACGCTTGCTAATAACGCTCAGCCGAAGCCATGATATGTAAATTTTGAATTGTGATTTTTAGCATTTTTATGGTAAATAAATCTAACAAGTAGACTTATGCCGCACTGATAATTTAGAAGCAAGCTATTGAGCTTTGCATTCATTGATCTTTAGATTGATTAGAAAAATTAATTACATTTCTAAAACCTCTCATTTCTGAATAAAAATATATTGCTCAAAAGGATCTGCAGCAGTATAGAGAATTAATTTCTGAAAACTATTCAATGATTAATCAATCAATTTCATTCAATCATGGGTAGGTTTTTGATATTTAAGAAAGGAGAAAAAACCTCCAAAGAGGTTTATTGTCACAATAAACCGATGTAGAGCAGATCATTACAATTTGCGTGAATCCCTAAGCAGAATAAAAGTTGTAACAAATCCTTTATGCGATTGTAATGAATTCCCCGAAAACCTTAATCACCTTATATGGCAATGCCACCTGTATAATGACGAAAGAATAAAATTGTATGAAAACCTCAGAAAATTGAATATACAACTACCATCACGAATAGAAGATATAATAGCACAACCAAATATTAAAGCTTGTAAATATGTCTTTATATTTCTCAAAAAATGTAACAAATATGTTTAGAGACGAGAAAAAAATAAATTGTCCTCAAGACACTAATTAGAAAACAAATAAGTACATAAATGTAAAATATATACCATATAGTTCATAAGCTTGTGTATATACAAAGACAACAACAAAACCAATGTAATGCAGATGTAAACCTCTTACGAGGTCTAAAATG